AGTCCATTTTATACTATAGTATGATATCTACCATTCATCTTCTACTATAGTATGATATCTACCCTTCATCTTCTACTATAGTATGATATCTACCATTCATCTTCTACTATAGTATGATATCTACCATTCATCTTCTACTATAGTATATCTACAGTGCATCTTCTACTATAGTATGATATCTACAGTGCATCTTCTACTATAGTATGATATCTACAGTGCATCTTCTACTATAGTATGATATCTACAGTGCATCTTCTACTATTGTATGATATCTACAGTCCATCTTCTACTATAGTATGATATCTACAGTCCATCTTCTACTATAGTATGATATCTACAGTCCATCTTCTACTATAGTATGATATCTACCATTCATCTTCTACTATAGTATGATATCTACCATTCATCTTCTACTATAGTATATCTACCATTCATCTTCTACTATAGTATGATATCTACCATTCATCTTCTACTATAGTATGATATCTACCAACTGTTGAAAGCATGAAATATCTTGGGGTTAGGGTTAAAGGTAGTGAACTGGTTATGTATTAAAAATCATTAACAATTTCTTATACAAAAAAAAAAAAAAATTAAAATCATCTAGTAGTGATTGTAATGTTTGTAAACTGATTTGACGCCATTTAAAAAACAAACAACAAAAAAAAAACAACAGCAAATATGTCATCATTTTTCCTGAGCATTTTCCAGTAATAATGAGTGCAGCAGCATTTATGTTAGGTCACAAATATCTTGGTAGATATCATACTATAGTAGCACCAAATATAATATATATATATATATATATATATATATATATATATACACACATATATATCTCTAGGAGGTAACTCCACAGATTTGTAATACCTAAGGTTTAAAATGAATTTTTTAAAAATAACAAAGTTTTTTTTTTATTTCAGCATTAATTTCAAGTAAATAGATTAAATTTAATATTCCCAATAAGCCAAATACTTTGCTATATTTAAAAAACAGTTTAAATTGACTGTAAGGATTTTTTTTTGCTAAAAAATAGCATTTTAGCAACATTTTTAGCCCACATTTATTGCAATGTAATTTTCTTTACTAAAAAATCTTCCAAAAATAAAATACACTTTTCTAAAATTTTTTGTGGAATATTAGCTGATTTGTTGTGTTGATAGGTTAATGTTTATCTAATGTAGTTTGATGGGGCTTTACTCATAAAAAATTAATTGAATATGAGTACCTTTTCTATATAATTTTTAAGTACTCAGTAATCTTAATGACTTATTGAATTGTAGAAATTTTGGCTTTAAATTTACTATAGATATCACTCTTATTTTCTGATAATGTTTTGTATGAACCTCCATATTTACAAAAATTAGTGTCTATACACACAAAAAAAATTCAAAATTCTTTTTAAAATATTGATCTTTAGACACTTTCTATTTGATTAGTAAATATAATTTTTACTTAATATCATCTAAAAGGGTGAAATTAATACAGAATTTTAAAGGTTTAAAACTTAAATTATTCTAATTAAAACTTAAAGTAATTATAGTAAAAATTCATTGTTCATTGAAAAAAATTTTTTTCTCAAAGCAATAGTATCCTTAATGAATACCTTATTTATGAAAGAAATTAAAAGCTTTTCCAATTAAAAAATGTCTTAGTTTTATTGCATTTTTATTTTAGGATTCAGATCCGATTTTTGGTAAATGAGGTTTCTGTTTTACAAAAAAAAAAAAAAAAAAAATAATGATTTAAATTCTCCAAAGAGTTCTGCATTTAGCTAATATAAATATGAAATGGATAAAACTTAATATTTTGAAATTTCATAAAATTATGTGAAGTGGGATGTAACAGAAAAAAAAAAAAAAAAAATATTTCTAAAATAAAAAAAAGAATTTAAAAAAATTCATTTGTCTGAAAATTTCATTAAATCTGGCAATTATCTGATTTTTGCAAGAATTTCCAAATCAATGTGTTTTTATCAGATGCTAAAATTTCCTATACTGATATTTGCCTAAATACTGCTATATGTCTTCAAATTTCTGTCACATTTTCAGTTGTCTGTTACCCTGATAGTTAAATTTCTGTATCCGCTTTGGCATAGAGACAAATACTGTTAAGAGCTAAAAGGAATAGGAGGTTGTGGAGAGCCATGTTCTGATTAGACACAGCACATATAATAGTAGGGCAACTGGAGCCCTTAGTTCTGTAAGGCACTCCAACTTAGGTATAAGATTAGCAACTCAATTCCATACCGATAAATAAACAAACCATTTTTGTGCCTTAAGAAGTAGCAACATCATTTAGTATGATTGTAGCGCTATGCTGCTCAAGGAGTTTGCAGGATGAGTTGAGTTGGGGAATTTTATTATATCTCAACTTGTGTTGAGTTAATTAATGTCTAAATCTGATTTTTTTTTTTTTTTTTTTTTTTTACTACAGTTGAGTCTATGAGTTAGGTTTATATTTGAGTCAGGAAGGTGGCCCCTGTTGGGGTAATATACCCCTCTTCTGTGGATGCAATCAGCTGGCAAAAGTTTGCAAGGCTAAACAATATAAAAGCGAATATTTATAATCAAACAGCAACACTGGCTTATTAGTTTACAGTAGATAAACCACTCGAGAACATTGAATAATGTTATATATTCATCTACTTTATGAAGAACATTTTAAAAGAGATATATACAGGAAAAGTTATATACATTGATACTCTGTTTAGAAGGTGATTTTTTTTTCTATTAAAAAAGTGAAGGTATTAAAATAAAACTACAATACATGTATTCCAATAATCAAGCAGCTCTTAAGACATCTAAGAGAAGAAATTTATAATTTTTTTAGAAAGACTGACCAGAAAAGAAATATAATAAAGGGGGAGATAACTGGGAAAATTCCCTTTAGTAGTGATGCAGTATATAGCAACACATAACATACATAGAATAACCACTTATTTGTTGTACGTCACTATTAACTACAATATAAAAAATGATTAATTGATTGATTTGTTTTACAGCTTATGATCACTTTGTGGGTTAATTAAAGCCAAAATTTTTTTTAATGTTATGAGAATAATTTTATTTTTTTTTACTTTTTTTTGCAAATAGATATTTTATTAAAAATTCTGAGGATAAATATAAATTATATAACAATGATTTTTTTCCAGATACAACTTACATAAAGATAAGTTGTAATTATAAAAAACATTTTTCTTAAAAATAAATATTTTTCTAAGCACAAACCATAGAAATAGATCATAAACTTATATTCTATCAGAGAACAATCTCTTTTACAAATTGCAAAATCTAATTTGGTATGGTATTTTTGAAGGATTCCTTTTAAAAATGTTTAATATGATTTAGTAAATAGTAACAGATGACAAATTATGATAGCAGAAAAATCAGGTATGGTAGAGTATATCTGTAGAGCAAAAGTCACACATTGAACTCTTCAGGATGACATTCAGATAAACAACAAAGGAATACTGCTGGAGATTGAGAAAATTGTAAGAAATGTCATTTATCCGTTTGTTAGCCAACTGCATAGATCAAGCTGGTATATATTTCAGCAATATTTTTTCTTTGATAAGGGTGGTGTTCCTACTATATATCTCAAGATTCTTGACAAAGTTCAAAGAAGGGTCTGTAATTGATCCTGACCTGGCATTTTGACTTCAGTTACTTCCTGTCTTTTCTACAAATGGCAATTGTTCTGATGAGTTTTTTCTCCTTAGCGCCTTGACTGCATGAATTGAAGAGGGCTACTAGATTGGTACCTAGGTCTCACTGTTTTGCTGCTGAACTAACTAGAGGTAACCGCATATTCCATTCTAATAGTTTCTTTTCTTGCATTTCTCGCCTGTGGGACTCCCAATTCTTGCTTCCCTTCCACCTACAATCTTTAAAAATTTAAATGTAATGCTAATTGTAATCTTCTATCTACTGTTCTTTTATTGTCCTTTCTAATTACTAAAGTTTTCTCACTCTCTTTCACTCTTAGTAACCTCTTATGCATTAGTGGCATTATTGCTTTGCTTGGGGTTAAATGATAAAAAATAAGAAGATATTAAAAAAAAAAAAACACCTAAGGCTTTCCCAAATGAAATATTGATGCAATATTATTTTCCTGGTTTCATTCCCCACCCTCATTTGGTCTTTTTCTAATTGAGCTTAGCTTAGTTCATATATCAGCAGACATTCTTTCTCAATGCAGAAAAATACATTATGATTGATATGCTTCCTCAGGTGCTTATTATAATGAGATAGTTCTGAAAATTTTAAAGATATTCTTTGTTAGTTCAATACTCCAAGAGTTACAGTATTACAGGTTTGTGCCAGACTAAAAATAAACTTAGCAAATATTCATACTAAGAAGAAAGCTTTCATTGTGGTTGAGTTAAGTCAGTAATGTGTCATGTGTGATACACGCTTAGGCGATCATGTATCTTTCGATACATGACTGATGAGGCAGATTTTTTCTTTCTGCGGTAGACCAGTTGCCATTCAAGGCTATAGAACCAGGTCTGTCCTGCTATTTATCCATAGCTGGGGACAGAAGAAGAGGATTCATACCTTTCCCAAGGGTATTAGCAAGTATGTGAATGTAATGGAATTCAACTAGAATTTGAACTCGGTGTTCCAATTCCTCAATCCGAGCCACTATCCATTACTCCACCATGATTGAGATAGTTGTCTATTTTCCACTCATACCAATAATAAACAAAATAAAGAAAAAAGAAGGAGGATTTTGAATTATGAAAAAATATAGAAGGCCCAGTCTACCCTGTTATTTAACTTGGGGCTGAGAAGAGAAGAAATGGATTCATGCCTTTTCAAAAGGCATTAGTGTATAGTAAACACAAACAGTTTCAGTCAGAGTTCGAACTTAGTTTGCTAAGTCCATTTTCATATCTGTTAGCCATTCATCTGCCAACACCTCCTAATAGTTAATCCTAAACAGAAACAAAAAAAAAAATACAACAAATTTCCAATTAGCAAAAATATTTTACTTACCATTGGGCTGTTTGCAGCAACAATGAGAATAATGTGAGTGTAAGCTGATAACTCAGATAGTTTCAATATCATATACTGAAAGAAAAAAAAAAAAAACTAAATTGTACCAAAGACAAAGGATCAAACAAACAGGAAAATAAACATATAAACAATACAAAATTACTCAGAATGGCTGGTTTGTTTTAAGGCATATCAACATTTTCCAAGTTATCTAAGGCTGAAACATATTTAGATAAGCAGATATATGAGAAGCAAAAATTTAGACAGATTTGGTTTGCATGAGGGTCAAAAAGGTAGACATGGGTTTAATTTTCACAAAAGTCATAAAGGTAGATATAAGCTCATTTTGAATGAGGGTCAAAAAGACAGACATATGTCTGATTTGCACAAGGGTCAAAGTGTAAAATTGGGCTCGGTTTGCACAAGGGTCAAAAAGGTAGACATGAGCTCAGTTTGCACAAGGGTCAAAAAGGTAGACATGAGCTCAGTTTGCACAAGGGTTTACATGTGGGTCAAAAAGGTAGATGTGGGTAAAGAAAACATGAGGGAAGCTGGACACAGGATAGTTTGTTCAAGAGAAACCTTTGTCCAGCACCTAAAAATGCTACAAAACTAAAATATTGACCTGTGAATTTGAGTCATGTCCTTAAATTGTTTTGTCAAATCTAGACTTTCATATGGAACTCCTGCATGCTGTCCAACTCATTCAGAAATGTCCAAAGTATCATCTGTATATAACAGTTTTCTCAGATAAATGGTTCAAACAAATTGATCCTATAAATCTTAAAGACAATGAACCGTCATCAGACCCTATAGACTGACAATACAAAATCACAAATGAAGAGCTTTGCCAAATAACAAAAACCACATCACTTGAAGACTTCCAACAGTAGCAACAAAAATAATGGGTAGCACATGTAACTTGAAGAGAAAGTAATGATATTATTAAGCTGTTAACTTTCCACACAATCAAAAACAAAAAGTTTGGAAGGAAACTTCCAGTATTAGAAAGAACTATAATTTTTAGTCGACTTGAGAAATCTAATTTCCTGAAAAACTGTTTTAAAAGAAAGATTTTATAAATTTCAGCTGATAGACAAATTGCTCAGTCAATGAAAGACAAAGGTTTCCTTATAAGAAAATGCCTAATTCTACCATTACCATATGATTATTCTACTTGTATATACAATTGTTAAACTTTTTTTTCGCATCAAAATGTAGTTCCCTTTTGAACTGTAATTATTTATGCTTTATGACCGTGTTACATAATATTTTCAGCACCATTTTTTTTTTTTTTTGATATGTGTAGGAATATGTAAAAACAGAACACTGGATTACTAAAAGACAAAATGGCATCAATAGAAAAGCAAGTATTAGTCATTATAATGTGTGGAGGACAAAGTGTAGATTTCAAATAAGGGGTGAGGTGAAACACAACATAATTGCTTGGTGCTTAATAGGCAAAACAATGTAAACTTTGCCACTAAGCAAAAAGGAATTGGAGGAAATTAGGGAAAAGCCAAGTATAGCCATAAAAGGAAGTGAAAAGAAAGAAATGCTAGAGAAAAGGGAAAAGAAAACAAAGTGAAAGAAAAATTAAATTGGGATTTTTTTTTTTTTTTGTTTCATCCCAAGCAAGGCAACAATGCCACTAGGATGCAGAGAGTTACAAGGAGTGAAAGAGAAGACTTTAGTAAGAAGAAGTGAGAAAAGGACAATTAAGGAATAGGGTTCAGCTAGACTGAAGATAGCAATCGATGTTGCATTTAAATTTTTGAAGATTGTAGGTGGCAGGGAAGCAAGAAATTGGAAGGGAGTTCCACAGGTGAGAAGTTTGAGAAAAGAAACTATTAGAATAGAAGTGGCAGTTGCATCTAGCTAATCCAACATGCCTAAAAGTAAAGCACAGTAAACTGACCAGAATTAAAAGATTGTGAAAGCATTTTTTTAATCATTTTGACAGAAGCAAGGTGATAAAAGTCACTAGGATGCAAGGGGTTACTGAGAGTGAAAGAAACAGAGATGGATAATAAAAAACAGAATTAATGGAGACGGATGACCATTAGCCTATTTACTTTTGAAGTTGGTGTTCGATAAAATTGCAAAAAGAAGTTGGGATATCAGAATATGCCATCTTATTGTGTCCCAAAGTAACTGACTAAAGAACACAAATTCTGGTGTAAGGACATTTTTTTTTCAGTTATGAGAGAATACCATAGACAGAGCATGTAAGCAACAAGGAAGTTTCAAGGAAAATGAAAACAAAAAGGACACTTATACTTTGAATCAGAAAGAGACACATAATTAGGAAAGAAGGCTTGGAGAATTTGACACTCCCAGGACCTATTGAAGGTGAAATAGAAAGAAAACCTTTTTAATGAGCTTGTGTAAATGAATGGCAGAAAAGTGAATGGGAGGAATAGTAAATTAACAAACATTCCTAAGAATAACAAAACACAGGAAATTGTGGAGAGCCAGGATCACCCACGTCCTGAAGAAACATAGAAGAAGATAAGAGAGTTGATAGGGATTTTCTGTCACATATATGACTGGTGATGAGATCTGGGTGCATCACATTACTCCAGAGACAAAGTGTGATTGCCTAATGACATTGATGGAAACTGTTGGACATGTGGGCTCCACATTGCATGCTCAAACAACAGTCAGATACTATGAAAGGTTGGACAAACTGGGAGTAACTGTTCAGTGAAATGGGAGTAGGATATTTGTATAAGGGTATCACATACTGTAGCACAACACCACCCTAAATGACAGACTTGACAAAAGTGTGGCTTACATGATATAGCTGGGATGTTTTTACTCCATCCACCGCATAATCTGAAGCCAAATCAGGACTATCGTGTTTGGGCCACTCAAATAATATTTATCCAGATGGTCCCATACAGATTATATGATTGTTGCAGAGGTTATAATTTTTTAGATTCTTTTATAACATGATCCTTGCTTGCTTTTAGTGGCACCAAGCATGCTTTATATTACCATCACAATGGATTTTCTCATTATCCAAATTGATAATCTTTACCCAAAATCTAAGTTTAGTGTTACAGACAGAAACAGAAAATGTCAAATAAAAAAGTTGTTGAACACCTTAACAAAAACAAACTCCTGAGTGACAAATAGTTTGGCTTTTGCTCTTCTAGAGCTACTGCTGATGTCTTAAGTGTTGATAATAAAAACATATCAAGAGTGATAGCCTTAGATATCTCGAAGGCCTTTGATAAGACCTGGCAAAGGGGATTGCTACACAAACTTGTCAGCTATGAATTCTCTGAGAGTCCTCTCAGTTATTGAGTCTTTCCTGTCATGTAGGTTTATGAAGGTTGTCATTAATGGAAAAGTCCTCTAAAGTACATGAGATATGATATTCTCTGTTCTGCAACCCTTATGTCATAGATGAAATGTTGCTACTCTATTGCTAATTACTATGGCAGATATTCTGACAAGTTACATTCCTTAGTTCCACCAGTTCAAACCTTCAGCTAGAATTTGCCTGTGTTCATGGTAACAAATCATCCCCAATCCCTTTGTGTTCCTTTGATAAGGAGCAAGTTCTACTCAGAATTTTCTTCCCAGAGCTGTTACAAGCTCCCAAGAGGATAATTCTTCCATAACTAAAATCTTGGTCTCATCAAATCCAGGGTCAAGCGATGTGTATCCCACATGTCCTCATAATATGTACTTCTTACTTTCACACAACAATCTCACTCAGTAACACTCTACCCTGAGTGGAAATAAAAAATTAAATCTTGTTTTAAATACTAGTTTTCAGAAGACAATAAATTTGCTTTCATTAATGCTGTAGAGATAAGTTTTTAAAAAAATTAAGATGAGAGAAGATTATTTGAAAATGTCTAAATAGAATCTGATACGCTTAAATGTAAAGATTGGTGCACCCAATGTAAAGTGGTTTTTTTTTATACAGTTTAGTATTCATTTTTTTTTTCTGGTATTATAATTTCAGAGAGAATCAATGAAAGATAATTATTAATACATAAGGATAAAAATAGGAAATAAATTCAGAATCTAACCTTTTTGTAGGATTTCTTAGGAAGAAGAGCTCTTCCTTTCTGAGAAAGGTTTGTACAATTGGAACTGAAAAAGAAAAATAAGGAATTTTTTTCAGTAAATTTAGGACATGTATACATGGTATTTGTATCTTAGAAATTTCTCTATATAAAAAACTGTGTGTGTTTATATGATCAAATTAAGAAAATCTTTTTCAATCTAGATCTTAGAATGCTGTGCTTTCTTCTTTTTTTTTTTTTAAACTGAATACTTTTTATTCTTTTTTTTTTTTACAAGATGTAATTATTTTTACACATATTAGTTTAATTGAGATATATATTTCAAGAGGTTAAGATTACTGTGCCTTTTTTTTTTAATCATTTCACCTCAGGTAAGGTAATGAAGCCACTAAGACACAAGAGTTATTGTATGTAAGAGAATATTAGAAAAAAGAAAAATGATTGGGAAAGCATCCTCTCAGGAGTCTGTTTCAACAAAGCAGTGGCTCTTGAGAAGAAGTTGTCCAACTTCCTTCTGACCACTGAAACACAAAGAGAATGTGGATGGCTTTCCCATATGTACATAGCATGATGTGCCTTAGCTGTAAAGGCCTGAACTGGTAAAACTAACGAATGTAGCTCATCGAACATTTTCCATGGAAATAGTGATAGAGTAGAAATATATTCTACCCTAATATGGAGATGGAGAGTCCTGGTTGGCTCATTACATTGTCCTAATGGAGGTGAGGGAGACAGTTTGTATTAATTTCATATTAATGTATTCTCCTCCCAGCTTTGGGTTAAATAGTGAAGTAAACTAGTCTTGGTTGGCAACCAGTTCAAGCGAAGGACAACTCTGAATTTATTATGTAACCCTCTACTCTGAGTGGCCCCTGGGCCTTGTACAGAGTTAACCTTATTGTAAAAAAAAAAAAAAAAAAACTATAGAGAAGGAAACAGGAAGCCACTTTATGTGCTTTCTTAAGAACAGTCATGGCAATGTACAGTTCAGTAATATTAATGAAAATAAATTGTGGGGTGCCATAACCACTTACATTCTACAATGGACATAGAAAGGGAAAATACAGAAGCACATTGTAAGTCTTGATTGAAATAATAACAATAATAAAAAATAGTCTGTTATTGGAATGTCATGTTTATATATCTTGTCTTGCCACAGACTCTGACATTCAAGAGAAACTAAAGTTGGATGAAATTTCCCCTGAAAATGGTAATATTAGCCGTTTCCCTGCAAGAAAACATTTGGTATTCAATAACCGAGCAGCCAGTACTGTTGTCAGCTGAAATTTATAAAATCTTTCTTTTAAAACAATTTTTCAGGAAAATAGATTTCTCAAGTGCAGGATTTTATATATATTTTTATAGATTTTATATAAATTTTATAGATTTTTTATAAATTTATAAATTTCAGCTGACAACAGTACTGGCTGCTCAGTTAATGAAGGCCAAATGTTTCCTGTTATCACTCTTTCCAGTATTGATGAGAATTTCCTTCTTAACCTTTTGTTTAAATTAGTGTGAATCACCAACATCTTGATTATGTCATTATTTTCTCTTTGAGTTACATGTGCTATTCATTTTAGTTGTTGCTGCTATTGGTTGTCCTCACATGATAGGGTTTCTGGTATTTGGTACAGTTTTTGGTGTTTCTGTAGCACCAGTCCACAATGTTCAAAGAAGGATGGTCTTTGCTGAAACTCTCAGACTTCACTAGTTCAAAGCCATTTTTTTAACTATTGATCTCAGAAAGTGGTTGTATACAGCTGACAGTTTAGAGCAGTGGTTTCCAAATGGTGCCGCATACCTCAAAGGTGCAGCAGAAAAGGATAGCAGGTGAGGTGGAATGATTGAAAGACAATCAAAGATTTAGAAACAGTTTAAAAAAATTCACATGCCAAAAATAAATGATTTCAAAATTTCAAATATTATTATGGATTAATTGTAATTGCATACATGAGTCTGAGTATAGTTATAAATAATTATTGATCGATTTTATCATTGTGATATTTTTGCCTTATATTAAGTAAAATGTACTTTTTATCACATAAAATTTGGTGAGGTGTGAGCAAATTTACATTCTGAAAATCCGACCCAGAGAAAAAAAGTTTGGGAAACATTGGTTTAGAGAGTTAAAGAATGAACTTGCCAAGACAAGCTGGAATATTTAAAAAGAGATTTATTCTGAATAAACTCTGACACTTTTCCCAATATTGCTAGAATTGGAGTGGAGAATAACCTGTATAACTTACCAGCGCTTTTGTCCTTGAGGCAAGGTGCAGGCACAGATCCAAGAGTCAGCAAGCTGCAGTAGCAAGAAAACATCCAATTACAAAGACAAAAATATATATATATAAAAAAAAAAACATTTCACTTAAACCTGTTCGATGGCCTAGATAATTGTGTATTTCTCACCAGTGTTCAGGGATTGATTTTTAAACTTAAAAAAAAAGTTATGACTTGTCTTGTTTTGACTGTGCCCAAGTACACTGCCCAACCCAGAGATTGAACTCTCAGGGACAATAGCTTAGTGGAATAAAGTGTTGGCTTATGAATTTGGTAATATATTGTGATGAAGGTCAGAGGATACAATGCCTGAAATAATGTGATAACAACAACAATGGTGAGGATAATAGTCTGCATGTAAACAGTGTACATATGTATACTAGTTACATGCAGATAATGCTTCATCCCAGAAATTCAGACAGAAACATGGTCAGTTATTAATTTTTTTATTGTTGTTGCTTTTTATCACAATCTCAGGCTGTCATCTTACAGTTGTAAGTTAAAATTGTGGACTAATTGGTAAGATAGATGCCCTGCTCTGGGAGGCTTCCCAGGGATAAGGGATGCAAGGTTGAATCTTGCCAGAGGCCTTTTCTTTATTTTTGATCCAAATGTTAAAGAAGAATCTGGGAGTTGCAATCAAAAAACAACAGAAATAATGAAAAAGAATTACTAAAAAAGAGAGAGAGGATTTTCAAATGCTGATGATCAGTGGGATAGAATATTACAGTATTATTTCTCTCTGTTTAGTCTTCTTTAGTTCCACCAGTTCAAACCTTAACGGTTAATGCCCACCATGTCCCACACATTGTAGCCAACCACCCTCATTCACCTTGTATTCCTTTGGTGAGATGTAAGTGCCACTGGAGTAGCTTCTTTCCTCCAAACAAATGCCTTGTAGAACTGACTCCCAAGATGTTGCTTCATCGATCACTACAATCTTAATCTGTTCAACTCTAGGGTTAATTGTTATTTTCCACATTTATCGGCATAAGCTGTACCTCTTACTCTGTAACTCTCTACCTTGAGTGGTCTTTGATCTTGAACAGGGTGAACATCAATGTAAAAGAAAAAGAAGAAAATATCAAGCACAACACGGACACGTGTGTGTATGGTTGATCCTCAGTTCATTTTACAATGAAATGAAAGCTTTATTGAAAATCTCAGTGAATAATTAGGAAATCTAAAAAAATGGGTCACATGGATACATTATGCCTCAAGTGTAATTTGGACATATGATCTCTAGGTTAGTAGGACAATGCTCTAAGCTTACAAGGTTTAGTACAGGTGAGTTGGAGAGGGGAACTACAAAGTAGAGGATAAAGAGTAGATTGTTTCAAATAGGTACAATTAAATATAATTAACATATACTAAAGAAATAATATAATTGGAGAGCCTGCTTTTTCCACAGGCGTCAATATTTTTGTTGAATCCAGATAAACAAATTGAGATTTTTAAAACAGAAAGTACACAAATTTTGCAGAAAGGTCTAACATACACATTCTACCTCAGTTTCATTTGGACTTGTGACATATTAAGCTAAGCTTAGTATGTCACAAGGCTGATCATGTATGTCACATGAGCTTAGTATGTCAAGGTTTATTAGTTTGTTACATGTGCTTAGAGTGGGATGTGGTCTGAGCTAAGAGCGGAACTTTGTCTGTGCTTAAAGCAAGGCATGGTCTGAGCTTAGAGTGGAACTTGACCTGTGCTTAGAGCAGGACATGGTTTGAGCTTAGAGCTGAACTTGGCCTGCACTTAAAACAGGACATAGCCTGCATTTAGATTGACTTCAGTATACAGAAGTCATGTGAGTGATGGTTGAATTTAATGCTGCATTATGTCATAACCCAACTTGGCCATTAATTTCAAATATCCATTGTAAGTAATTTAGTTTATCAAACTAGTCAAGTTACCAAGCTTTTATAGCAAGGAAATTATTCAGTGAATATCAGAACATTCATTGCTTAATTTTGCCCAAGTTCCACTTTAACTTCACCAGTTTCTTTTTTGTGCACTTCCTACCTGTGAAACTCCCTTCTGATTTCTTGCTTCCCTGACAACTACAATCTTCAAAAATTTAAATGCAACATGAACTGCTATCTTCTGCCTTCTTGAACCCTGTTCCTTTTTTCATCCTTCCCTCAATCCTCCCCCATTCTCAGTTTTCTCATTCTCTTTCACACCCTGTGTTCTAGTGGCATCATCAACTTGCTTGGGATAAAACAATTATGAAAAAAAACTTAAATATCTAAAGTGTGCTTGGTTGAGAACAAGAATTGATGTACTAATCTTGCAGGCCACTATGCTATTATTTTGGCCTTGTACCATACTAAATTTAGTAATTATATAAAAGGCTCCTGGCTTTAAAAAATAGTTAAGGAGATTGTCTGTTTAATTATTTTAAATCTTATGAGTGCCATCTTGTTACTGTTGCTTTTTACCCCAAGACACTGGGTTGATATATCCTTTGACTGCCACAGTAGTCAGAACAAAATCAAAAATAAAACAGTAACCTCTGAGAAGGCTTGAACTCACAACTCAAACAGCAGCAACTTTGTTATCAATAGACATATCCTGAAGTAATTTAGCTTTAAAAAATCTGATGATTAAAAAAGACAAAAATGTGTCATTCAGTCACCCACTCTTGTCTGAATGCTTGAGAAGCACTCATGGTAGAGGATCACTGAATGAGGTGTGTTATATGGAGGTTGATATGTCCTGGAAAGGGATATATTGAATTGAAAGTGGTTTTGGCTACTATAACCAAGTAGTACACAGTAGCAGTAATCAACTGGTACTTGTAGTTGCAGGTAATAAGTGTAGATCAATAGAATAGCCAATGGCATAGTCCAATGGTCGTCAGACTCTCTCGTACCTACACATCCATCTATATTTATGATGGACACCAGCCAATCATATTACAGTGAGGGGGAACTTAGGTGTATGCATATTCCACTATATCGGAGGTAAAAGGAAGTGAAGATTATGAGCATAAGGAGGGTAGATAACAATCCCTGACTTGAAGAGGTTAAGACTGTAGTGTTCAGGGAAACATCCATGAGGGAGTTTGTTCCATAGAACAGAAGTTCTCTTTGGTCTGTCTGAATGGAACTTTCTCCTTATAAATGGAATACAGAGGAAATGAAATATGGAGTGAATTCTATACACAATCTTTGACTATTAACTAATAAAAGGAATTTAAAAATTTATTATGAAATTTTCAGGTGAAGCAGTTTCCTTGTTATTATTGCTTTATTACAGGTTTTACTCTAGCAGGTGAAGAGTGCACTGACTCAAGTTTATAATAAAAAGAAATTAAAAGAAGATGGATTAAAGTAATAACATAATAATGTGTAGGCAAAGTGATGAGACAGATAAACACATACACAATGAATGTCCCAAGTTGGCACACACAGAGTATAAATGACAACAATGATTAGATTGGTACAAGAATCCATTGCTAAGTATGCCATAAATTTGGTCTCAGTATGAAAGAGAAATGGTATGAATATCAGCCAGAAGCAATGGTATAATATGATAGTCAAAAAATATGGGATTTCTCAGTCTAGACAGATTATGTCTTTGAAACACAAAGATCCAATCTTAGTGAGATAGATATTGTTGGCTGGTTGTTTTATTTAGTAGCATATCAACTTCTATTGGTTATTCAATGTTGAAATCTAAATAGTTTCTAAGTAATTTTAAGTTTTTGGAGATAACAATAATTTTAGTGATACAAGTCTTACTAATTAACCCATAGCTGGGGAGAAGAGAGAGGGGGAATTCATACCTTTTCCAAGAGTATTTGTAAATAAGTGAACATAAACTCAACAGGAATTGGAACACTTCTCCAATTAAGAATTTCAAGCTATTATCCATTACACCACCCACAAATCTAATCTTACAGCACCTGGTATTTCCAAGCAGTCACCCATCTAGGTAATGACCAAGCTCGATGTTGCTTAACTTCGGTGATTGTATGGGAACTGAGATTGATAAAGAAATTTGCAAATGTTCAATTATTGATTTTATTGCTCCATATGATACAAGAGTGGATTCCAAAGAAACCGAACGTTTGAAAAATACCAGGATCTTGCAAGGGAGTTAAAAATGGAGTTAAACATACTCTTGGGGTAATTTCTGTAGTAATTGGTGCACTTGGAACACCATCTTGAAACCTGAAAAAACACTTATTCTATAAGGATTCTCCACAAAGCTCTTGATTTGTGAGGAGTCTTGTTAACAGTATGCCTTAAGAACAGAATTTCTATTGATGTCATCAGTGTGCAACACCAACATAATAATAATAGTGAAAATATTAATTTGGGTCTAACTCATTAACTGCAGCAGAAATTTCCTTCATTTATAGTCGAACTGCAATGGTGGAAATTCCAGTCTTCAGCAGATATTGGGTGAAGTGACATAAGCTTGGGAGGAGGTAGAAAGTAAAATGTGACCCTTAACTGGACATTAAAAAAAGATCAAATCTCAAAATCAAAGAGGATGACTCATTTCAATAAAAATAATATCTTTCAACTCATTGGTTGCCACCCAAGGCTATAGAACCCAGTTTTCTCTATTATTTACCCATAGCTTGGTAGGGGAGAAGAGTTGGATTCATAGCTTTCTCAACGGTATTAATGAATTCAGCTGGAATGCAAACCTGGCTCTCTGATTCCTCAATCCAAGCTGCAATTCATTACTACATTAGCTAAACTGTCAAAAAAAAGGTTAAAAATGATGTACATAATATCAGGATGGAGGCTAATGTTTACAGACATGATAGACTACCAGTGCTTGAACTGAGCTCAATTCCTGAGCCTAATTCCATAATACTGTAAAATTAAATATAAGTAGAGTGGGAAGTTTTCTATGTCAACAAATACAGTCTAAAATACAGTATATATACAAATATTTTCTATTCAGAAACATAAGAGAAATAAAACTCACCACATCACTGACAGCTGTAAAGTGATCCAACTCCATATCTCCAGGTACAGGAATAGGAGACACCAAATATTTCACTTTGGAAACCTTTGCAAATAAGCAAATATTGCGCTTATATACATTTTTAGCCAAAAAAGAAAAATAGCAGAATTATTTACATATATACATTGGCAATCTTGTGTAAGATCAAAGTTTCTTTCTCAGTGCTCTACTTATGGTTAGAATGTCATAACTAAAAGGCTTGAAGCAACATAAATGTGGTTCTACAGAAGGATGCTGAGGATAACATGGAACAACTATGTGAACAACAATGACATTTTAGAGTAAATGGAAACAAAAAGGAAACATAATTAACATCAGGATTTAAGATATAGAATCAACCTGTCAAAAATTAATTATGAAGAAAACATCTCATCTGAATTTTTGTAAAGAAAAATTATTATACATTGATTTATTCAAACTGGTGTCTCCATCTTGCTGGTTTTAGTCACAATATTTTGACTATTTCTGGGATGAGTAATTAATATTATATACTGATTTATTCAAACTGGTGTCACCTATTTTAGTTGTTATAGTCACAATATTTTAACTATTCCTAACTTGGAATTATCATTATATTATTTATTCAAAATGGTATCTTCATGGTAGTTGTTGTTACTATTTTGAACAGGAGGATGCCGAGTATATCTTGAACCAAACATGGGAGCAACACAAAGTTTTAGAAAAAAATGGAAAAGAAAAGGGCCCTTATACTTAACAGCAGAAAAAGACAAAATTTCTAGGGCACATGAGAAAAGAAGACTTGGAGAATTTGATACTCACAGGATAGATTGAAGGCAAAAAGAGAAGAAAACAACACATGATCTACTTAGTGAGTTTGAGTAAATGGATGGTGGGACAAGGTTTAGAAGAAATAACAAAAAGACAAAATTTATTCAAGTTTACAAAAGACAGGAAATTGTAGAGAGCCATGATTGCCTATGTCCTGAGGGATCATGGCACATAAAGAAGAACTGCACTCTACATGGAAATAATTACACTTACTATATATCAGCTATTAAAAGTTCTCAGCCTCCCAACTTTCTAAAATCTGATCAATATTATTTTTTTAAAATAATTTATGGGGTAAGCCGAGAATTTTTCAGTACACTTGTCTATGGCTTTATTCAAGTATTATCATCTTTTAACAATATTTAAAAAGGAATAGTAGCCATTAAGAATAATTACAGCAGTGAACAAACTTTATGATTCATGCAGACGAGGCAGTATTAACAGCAAACACAGAAAGGAAACTACAAGAACTTCTACAGAAGGTATTGAAGGAAAGCAAGAAGAAAGGACTAAACAGAATGCATGGTTGTTAGTAAAAGGAAGAGCCCAAGATGCAAATTACAAATTGGAGATATCAAAATCAAACAAGTAGAAAAATTTAAATATGTGGGAAGTGTGAGACTGAAAAGTTTCCTATCCCTCCTCTCTTGACTCAATTTGAGGTGTTAACATCTGCTGATAAAGCAGAATGCTTTGCTTGTAAATTCTCTTCAAATTCTGCTTGACTCATTTCGACTATCTTTGTCAGACATTCCACTTAGAACTCAGTCTATATTGAGTGATATGCATAGAACTCCATCCATGGTTTATGGTATCATCTCTAAACCGAATCCCCACAAAGAAGGTGAACGATGCTATCCTTAGAATAGTTATTAAGAAATGTGCTCCTGAAGTGGCTCCTGTTCTTTCTAAACTCTGCAATAAATCTCTAGATGCTTCTTGCTTTCCTACTTGTTGGAAATCCTCTTCTACAGTTCCAGTCTTTAAGAATTCAGGTGAACCATTCTTTCTATCAGCCTATTAGCCTTCTCTCTACCTTTTTTGGTAAAGTACTGGAGGCTCTAATCAACTCTGTATTGCTAAAGGATCTGATGTTGCAGGGTTTTCTTTCAGAGAAGCAATATAGATTTTGCTTCTCTAGGTTAACTATTGATGTAGTAACAATTATTGCTAAAAAAAGTCTATCAAACTTTAGATAAGAATGAAGCTCAGGCTATTGCTTCAGATATCACAAAGGCATTTGACAGGGTTTGACATACTGGTCATCTTCACAAGATGAAAGGTTATGGTATTTCTGGAAAAAAATTTTTAATAAACTAATAAATATTGCTATTCTCAAGATCACTAAGATGAATTGTGAGTATTAAGGATTTACCTGCTTTTGGTGATAATTCCAAGATGATTTCTCTTGAAGAATCCATGGTGCCTCAGGATCAATATCAATTGATGTCTTCCAGGATCTCATTGGACGGGTTTTTCCTGGATGCTCAAGAAAATGGGTTTGGAGAACTTGCTTTTTAAAATCTAAATTATTTGTGATCTGAAAAGGGCAAAATCATCATAATTGTCTCAAAAACAGCTAACAAAACAGGATCTATTGACACACTAACACTAATATGAGACACATAGCATCAAATTACATTCAGTCATCACATTACCTTTTTTCAAGTAAATTAAAAAGTGAATGGATGAACATGAATGTTACATATAGACAGTTACTGCTTTGTTAACTGTAAATGTTAATTAGAAATTAGTTGAAACTTGTCTCAAAATATATTTTATTTCAACAATAATTCAATGAAACAGTAAATTTGAAGAGACTAAAGCCAGTGACTAAAAATGCTCAATTCATTTTTCCTGGTCTTTCATATTTTCTCAGGAAAACGTATGTCTTTTTCCATAGATTTTTGTTGAAAGTGGTTAGGCAGAATAAAGTAAAACATTTTTGACAGATAAAAAAAAAAATAATTCCAAACATTTCTCAGACTATTGCTTTTATTTCTATCTGAATTTCTGGGATAAACACTTATTTACATTATTTAAAATTGCCCTAATATCCCCATCCGTGTTGTCGCTATTAACAGTCAGACTAATATCCTCATCTGCATTGTTGTTATTTACAGTCGAACTAATGTCTTCATTTTGTTGTTATGATGTTTTGGCCATTGTACCCTGCAGCCTTAGTAGCAATGCAACTGTAAATCATGTAAATATAACTTTTATCTTTACTGTTTTTAACCACAAGATTTTAGCCAATATATTCTTCAACCATCTGTAGGTTTATGTTGAAAATTGTAGTCTTTAAAAGTCACTTAGTATTTATTCATCAAATCACAAACATTACAAGAGTACAGAATTGGGGATCAAAAATTTGTGCTGGCAAGAGAATTTGTTAATTTCTAAAAATATACTTTGATAATATGCATAATGGTGTTAAATCCCCAAGGGAGATTGACAGAAAGCTTTCCATTAGAAATACGTAAGATGAGTGCCAGTTATGCTAACTGAGGATGAATCAGTGTGTATTATGAATTATGGACATAGTAAAGGATTAGGTTAATAGAATTAACTGCAAAAGGCACTTAATTACAACAAAATGATTTGGTGCCTGAAATTGTCTGGTTTTGAACTTGCAAATTAATAGGATTTTAACTAATATGACTGTGAAACATGCATGCACCCCTCACCAACACTTGCCACTGGAAAAATGCTAATAGAGTTAAATTTGCAAACTTGGAATTTTTTGTTTTATAATCCCATTCATTGTCTTGACTGTATATTATATTATGCCTTTGAATTCCTTGAGGAACATAGGGCTGCAAGATATTGTTGCAATTTCTATAACAAGCCAATTTTTACATGAGTAGGTTGTTAGCCTATTGCACAACCTCCAACCTAGAAGATCTAAACCAGTTGCCACCCATGGCTATAGAACCCAGTCTGTCCTGCTATTTACCCATAGCTGGGGGGATAAGAAGAGGATTCATACCTTTTCCAAGAGTATTAGCACATAAGTGAATATAATGGATTTGACTGGAATTTGAACTCAGCTGTCTGATTTCTCGATCTGAGCCACTATCCATTATTCTACCATGCCTCCATGGTCAAAACATTATAAAAGTATAAAAATGCCTTTTTATAGTAAAAATACCAGCAATATATTTTTGAAAAAAAATTTTTTTTTTTACCAGCAATGAATATTTTTCTATTCATACAAACCTATCATAAAAATCTTGTTGGCATTAAATAACCCATTGAGGTGTTGATATGCCGTAAAACAAAATAAAACAAATCAGAAATTCAGATAGAAACAGTGTGATAAAAACAAGATAATTTTAAAATAGTGTGGAATAATAAAAATATTTCTTCATGGAATCTCAGGCAGTAGGAAAAAATGATGTTCAGATTTAATTGTTGAAGTCCATTCTGGTATTAAATTATTTAAAATCTACTTACAGAAACTAATTGCACTAAATATATTTAATTCCACTGACTTAGAACTTCTAGCACAACCAATTGAAATTAAAGCAGTTTTATGATATCTGTTTTATGCCTTACTGACTTACCTGGTTAGTGGTACGGTCAACCAAGTCAAACAGGGCTCTGTTGGTAATAAGGACTATTTGACGACACCTAGAAATATAAATAGATAAGAAATAAAATGTTGCTTATGCTGAAACAGGTTCAACAAAATTATACCACTGGGAATTTCAGCTGTTGATTAATGATAAAAGAATGTAAGATGGTTAAATAATTGAGTGTCAGACTCACCAAACTGCACAAAGGTGATCAGTAGAGACCCAAGCAAAAGGGACAGCCGTTGTCTGTAGATAGAAAATAAGAAATAATTAATTATAAAAATAAAAAAAAATTAACAATTTATCCTCTATTTAAATAAATAGAAACAACTATTATATTTTTTTTTTGCAAGCTCAATCATATTTTCCTTCTTAGAATCAGAGTGTAGTATCTGTTCAATCCACACCCCAAAGGGTGAAAGAAGAGAAAAGGCTTGAAATAACTGTTAATCTTAGTTGTCAACACCTATAGAATTTCCACATGCCCAACTAGCATGGATGGGAAACAAAGATTGGTTTAATTTACGGCATATCAACCTCAATGGGTTATTTAATACTGACAAAATTTTCATTGTTGGTAATATTTTTTCCTTCAAAAATCTATTTCTGGTAAGAATTTTCCTTCGCTGGTAATATAACTTATTTTTACACATTCATAGTATTTTGACCCCAGTTTGAGGGTTAACTATTTGCCCATAGCTGGGACCCTAACATCAACAATTAAGAGGTGGTTCTACACTCCCCAAAAACTCCTGATCAGAGGCCTTGCTGTTGGACGTAGTTTATCGTCTTACCCAGGACAGACAAAGATTGGAAGGGATAAGGGAGACAATGAGAAGATACAGGCAAAGAGCAAGAGAAGAGCAAAAGCATGAGATAACAGATAATCTTAGCAGTAAACATCAATGGAATTTCTATGGGACCTGCTAGTATCTGTTAAAAAAGGAAAAAACTGAATGGTAAAAATTCTGTTCAAAAGTTGATGGTTTTGTGTGTATGCGTGTATGTTTTGTTAAAAATGACTGACAAAATACTTCTATTAAGTTTTTAATTGCATTTTTCTTGCATACAAATAAGAGATTGCTTTTTTGGATTTAGAGAGTGTAGAAATTGTCCAAATGGTTGTTCGTTTTGAGTGCTTTCAGTTAATCTATTAGCCATTTTCAAGAGTTTTGATTGTGCTATTGTAAATGGTATGTAAGTGCTATTGTAAAAAACTTTTCAACAACCTTAAGCCTGTTTACAATAGAATTTACATAGAAAATAGAACAAAAAAAATCCTTGAAAATTGATTGAATCAATTGCTAGATCTGCTACTAGGAAAATTGGTTGTGCTAGACAACTTTTCTCTCCAAAGAATCTATTTTACACACTTGTAAGTCTACCATTCATCCATGCATTGAATATTGCTGCCAGACCTGGTCTGGTGCTTCTGCTATGTATTTAGAGATTCTTGATAAAATACAAAGAAGAATCTGCAATGTTATTAGTCATGACTTGGCATCTCAGCTTCAATCACTTTCTCACCACCATAATGTATCTTCCCTGTGTCTTTTCTATGAATACTTTCATGAGAATTGTTCTGATGAACTTTCCTCTATGATAATTAGACTTTATGAATTTAAGCATGGTTCTAGATTGGTGGCAAGATTTCATCATTTTACACTTGAAAAGGCCAAATATAACTGAAAGTTCTATGCTAACAGTTTCTTCTTTCGCACTTTTCATTTGTGGTACACTTTTCTGGCTTCTTGCTTTCCAGTCAACTTTGATTTTTGTATGTCTAAATGGGCATCTGATTGTAATGTGTCTTTGTAATTGTGTATGTGTGTCTGTCTACTGGGAGTTTTATCTTTGTTTGGTCAACCTGCACAGCAGGGTGTCATAAGGTTCTAATTTGTGGCTGACCTCTTTAAAAATGTATTTTTTGTATTAGACAGATATAAGTTAGATTCTTTAAGAATGGATTCAAAGAAAGTTGGCGATGTAATATAATGTTTTAGGCTTGTGTTTATAGTTGGTAATAACATTATTACCAACTATAAACGCACACCTAAAACATTACATCGCTATCTTTCTTTGAATCACATCTTGTCTATAAAAAGAATACCCGCTCGGCCCGGTGGCTAGGATCAAAGTGTAGTATCTGCGCTTTGTGAGCTGCCAGGTCAGGTGTCTGTCGAACTCTCTGCTTGCAGAGGGGAACCCGGACGAGGCTCCGCCGAAGGGTGGGGTTTCGTTCGGGGAGGTTGACGGAACTAGCCCGCTTGGACGGGTTTAGATGGGTTTTATTTTTGGCTGGGCCTACGGGCTCAGACATACCCACATTAAAAAGGCCTTGTGCCACATTCAATTCCTGTGGGTGAATTGATAAATACCATCTTTCTTTGAATCCATTCTTAAAGAATCTAACATATCTATCTAATGCAAAGAATACATTCTTAAAGATGTCAGCCATAAATTAGAACCTTGTGATACCCCGCTGCACAGGTTGACACCAAACAAAGGTGAAGATGGAACTCCCAGTATACAAACACACATACACAATTACAAATACACATCACAATCCAATACCCATTTAGACATACAAAAATCTTCACAAACCTACATACACAGAATTATCTATAGTTTTAATACACATGACATGTATCTGACTAATGAGAACTGACTCAAACATAATTGAAAATACCAAAGTTTCTGTCTTTTTGCCTGTTTTCTCTCAATCTCTGATAAAGCTTTAATAAAAGTTAGATTGATAAATGTTTTCTATTTGTTCTTTATCATATATGTATGTATGTATGTAAAACAATGGTCATAAGGCATGTGAGGAAAAAAGGGTGGATTGTACAATCTTGGAAAGGGTTCTTCAAAAGCAAGACATGACCTCAATTCGACCTGAGAATACATGCAACAACTGTGGTAGGGTCTTCTTTTCTAAAGCAGTACTTGCTAGTCATCCAAAAACTTATTACGGTAAGCAATCCAAAGAAGACTATTTTGATAGCTATCCACAACTTTAATAAATTTATGTCAATTTTGTGACAAAATATGTGGGATTAGTATCAAGTCTGAATAGCCGCAAAACAGTGTATAAGGACTGGATAAACTTGAAGACCATACACAAATCTTTCTTCTGTTATATATGCAAAAAAGGCTGCAGAAATAAAGCAGGCCTTTTGAATCACTCAGTCCAAAGAGATGACTACCTTCTACTAAGTAGTGGAAATTAATGTTAAACAGAATATTGGTTACAAAGACTGCTGGTATTTACTAATGATGACTATTGTTGTGCTTTACTAAGACATTTTATATAAGAATAAATAGCCAAAATGGCTAGGTTAATTTAATGAGATATCAACTCTAGTTGGGTGATTTTAGGCTTAAATCTGATTTTTTTTTTTTTTTATTATACTTGAGTCAAAAGGGTAAACACTGGTCCAGTTTATATCAGAGTCAAAAGGGTAAACACTGGTCCAGTTTATATCAGAGTCAAAAGATAAGCTTTGATCTGGCATATACCAGAGTTTGCAACCATCAACCCATAAAGTGGCTCCTTTTGTGGTGTTGAGATGCTTACCCTTTTGCAGGGGATGTAGTTAGTTTATTGTAAGCCCTGCCAAAATAGCAAACCAAAATGCCAGGACTCACATTATACATTAGTGCAATATTTTAACAATTTTATTTGTCCCAACAAAATAGCAGCTACATGCTTTGTTCTTCAATCTGAAACATATCTCATTAAATAAGAGTAACCTGTCTCAGAAGTAGAACTTTGAGACCGGTTGATCATAATGTGATAATCCAGCAAAAAAGTGCAAAAATTAAACTAAATAATCCATTGACCCTCACTGAAGAGGACAAGGCTATTTACATTATTTACACTCAGACTAATGACCTCGACTTGTCCCTCTGACCTTCATTCAAGTAATCTTCAGGGAATTACAAACTGAACCTTTTATTTAATCTACAAGGATACATTGTTTTTATTACATTGTCAGTGTCTATGGATATTTCATCTTATTTAGTGCCACCCAGTTATTGCTTGCTTTGTTTCCAATGAGTCTAAGTCTATCCTATTTGGTGCAGGGATTGAACTCACCATTACCAAATTCACTTAAGATATAAACAATGTAAGCATCAATTAAAACAATGAAAAATAATGTAAACTCACTGCAGCACTAATTGACACGTCATCATTAGCAATCTGAAAATCAAGAAAAACAAAGACAATTATTATAAAGAAATATTTTTTCACATGTTCTGATGTACCATCTTCTGTCTACTTGAATCCCCTTCATCTTTTGTTCTTTCTTCAATCCTCCCTATTCTCAGTCTTCTCTTTCACTTTCTGTAACCCCCTGTGTACTAGTGGCATTCCTGCCTTGCTTGGGATTAAATAATTTAAAAAAAAAAAAAAAAAAAAATTTAAGTGCAGATATAATGTACTTTGCAGCATATAAGATGAACTTATATTTTCAAAATCTGTATCTCAACATCACTCTACCCTGTACATGAAGATCAGATCTCTACAGATTAATCAACAATAACAAGCAAGACAACATTAGAATTAACATTTTCAACATATCTGATGGTAAATTTAGGATGCATTCTAAATGCTACAAGATACAATGTGTATATATATATATATATATATATATATATACACACACACACATACACATACAGGGTTTCCCAGAAGTCACGAAGATGTGTAATGATTAATAAAAAGAACATAAAAGAAATTGTTTTAATTAGTACTCACGTAGTACTTATGATTATGATCAATAAAGGTGTTTTTTTACAAAAAGCTGGATGGCGTGTGACTTCTGGAACATCCTATATATATATATATATATATATATATATATATATATATATATATATATATATATATATATAAATGAGGGAATGTAACAAAGGAAGAATCTGAGCTAAAGTGATAGATTGGTCAGTGTCAACATCAAATTCATGGTCACATGACCAGGAAATTCAAAACATAGAGAGGATCTTTCAAGCACCATGAATTCTGTACAATGTTTATTTTGTTACAGAATACTTTTTTACATGCCTCCATGGAAGATGTGGATTGCAATAGGAACATGTTGAGAAGACCCTATACCCACAAGAAAGATACCTTGATTAATGTTTAGATACACACACACACACACACACACACATATATATATATATTGTTGTATCCTTAAAGAGGTTACAAACAGACAAAGGTGGTACTTGAGTGAAGGAACAGCAACACATGCGTAGATGAAATAAGAGAAGTTTATTGTAAAAGAGAATGCACTACTGAAAGACAAGGAATCAGGTGGCAGGCTAGTAATTCCCGAAGCAAGCTCCCGTAGGTATATCCTGTGCTCACTATATATATCTACTGATATAGTCAGTCCACAGAGGCGATAGGGAGTGTGAGGCATTCCATTACAATACCTCCCCCGAGCTAATTTTCTCATAAAATTTTACTCAAACCCTCTTTTTGGAGTCAGAACATAATTGTTTGACTTTTTCCTCTTCCTAGTACTTTTCCATCTCACCAGCACAAAATAAATATATGTCTTGAATTAGCTTGTCTAATAATAATAATACACAGTAATAAATAATATTTATATTATAATGATGCAATTTCTGGATTTGTTACCATAAACGTAGTAATAATGAGATCATACACTTCTATTAAGTAATGCAATTAAAATTCTCTAAATTAGACAATAAAACAATTTTTAATAATGTAATCCTAGTAATGAATTCAATATAGTCTTTCCAACACATGTCAGCAGAGAACGTTATCCCAAGAAGGTGCAATGAGTTCCTTTCCTGGAGGATAACACCAACCTTGCTGATGGAAGGGAGAGAGGGGGGCTCTCAGATGATTATTGGTGTTTTAATTATACCATATTGTATCAGCAGCAGTGAGGTTAACCCTGTACAAGACCTGGGGGCCAATTGAGGTAGAGGGTTACATTAAGGGAGCAGTTTATATGGTTTGGTTTCTTTGTTCAACAGCATATCAACTCCATATGGGTTATTTAATGCCGAAATTTTATTCTCTTGTGAGCTTTTTCTAATTTTTTTACTATGAAAATGTATTGTAATTTTTTCTAATGTATTTTTATATTTTCATATTTTGAACCCAGTTTGGAGGTTCACTATTTGCCCATAGCTAGGACCCTAACAGTTGTTACCACCCTGGGTCAGGGTGGACCTGGAAACAACAACAATTAAGATGTGGTTCCATGCTCCTCAAAACCTCCCAATCAGAGGCCTTGCTGCCAGATACAGTTTAACATCATACCCAGGATAACAATTTCTATGGATAGGTGGGGAGGATAATTGTTAACTAGACTTGAACAGGTTAAGATTGTAGTGATTGGGGAAACATCCTCTTGAATTTCTCAACTACAAAGACTCAGAGACACTTCTGAACTCTATCGAGACTGAAAAGTGAGGACTGGGCAGCTCCTGCCCAAATATGACAACAGTACTCCATTTTTGGATTGTGAAGAAAGGAGATATATTGCAGGATCCTGGACATAAATTTACTATAGGGAATTCCAAAATCAGTGCACTTTCAATACATCTTTGCCTTAATAAATTACTTTCTTTCCGAATTAAAATTGCATTCTTTAAGTTGAAATTATGGTCAGACCTAATATGATGAACAAATAATGCATTGAGTTTATTGTTTTGTAAAAGATTCCTTTAAAACAAAAATAGTGCTGATGCTATGTAGGATAATTAAAAACCACAGCAATAGAATTAAAAGGAAAACAAAACAAAACAATAAAAAACTAAATGAGATCACCTAAGTTAAACAACTGGCTACATCAGACATCAAAACTTAAATTTAAAACTGAGTGTCACTGTATCTTCAAAGCTTTCTGTCCAAAATATAAATTCTATAAATAAAATAACTTGACATTCAGCAATATTCACTGAAGGAGTCATTTAACCCCTTAAAAAGGTCAGAAGATCCCAAATGCACCTACAAATTTCAGATACTTACAGTTTGGGAGTGCCTGAATAAACCTGCAATTGGATAGCAATGTATTTCAATACAGAACATTAACACCCATCACTGGAAATGTACAACTTTTACAAAATTGTAAATTTCCAAAACCATATCTCATAACCAGTTGTATGAAAGGGGGTTACTTTTTTATGGTTTACCATCCCTTTGTAGGTTATTTAAAGCTGAAACATATTTTGGATTGCAAGTATAATTTTTTGAGTCATGTTTTTGGGGGAGATGGATTTAACCATTCCCAAGAGTATTTACACGTAAGTGAATATAATGAAGCTGACCAGATTTGAACTTGGCTCTCAAATTTCTCATTCTGAGCTGCTATCCATAACACAAAGGGGATTGATATTTCTTCATAACAATAATAAACATTCTACTTAATTTGTGCTACAAAACACATGCTGATAAAAATGTTAAGAATAGATATTAATAAACTATAATGGTACATCAACACCTACAATACATTATTTTTAGATAAAATTGGAAAACAACCTATCTGGTATGTTCAAGAAGCAATAAAAATGACAAAAGAATGTTATAAGGAAGGAGGAAGAAGAAAATGGAAGAGAAAGAACTTACATTACTGAGAGATGTACTCCAAGTAGGTACCTGGTAATCCCGTTCACCTCCTCCAGTCGACACAATTGTTACATTAGCCAGCACAGTGTCACTATTTTCGGCCCAGTAATGATTCACTTTCTTATAGAAATTCACCAAGTAATTGTCCAGAGATACCACTACAGAAAAAAATGAAGAAATGAAATAAAATTACAGGATTGTTCCAAAAGTTACTTAGATTCGTTTTTTTAATGACTTTGTTGTTACAGTTTTTCAACTGATCTCTTCAAGAGTCCTCACCCAGGCACCTTCATTTTTATTTATTTATTTTTTTCAATAGAGTAAGAAATCCTCTGACAAAAAATTAAAATTAATTAATTATAAGGCTCAAAAACACATATTGGGTAAATTGTTGCCATTTAATATTTTTAATTTCACGCATGCGTGTTGTTTTTGATTTTGTTGACTGCACAGTATAGTGGAGCCAGTTGGGCACCATTTATGAGAAAAAGAGTACCATGATGCAATTTACTCCACCAAAAATATGGAAACAGCATGCTGTACTGCTTGGCATTTATACTGGAAGCTCCAATACAAACATTTCAGAGTGTTATGATGTAAATCTGAATACAGTGCAGAGGGTTCGGAAAGAGTTGGATGAGTCTAATGCTGATTACAAAGGTATGGCATCTTGGAAAACTCACTCTGATAAGAAAAGAACTCTCGAATACGTTGGTGAGGATCTTAGACTTAACATGGAGGCCTACATCAAGTGCCTTGAGGAGGTAATGCTGCCCAGGGTCAAGAGGGTGGCTGCTGCAAGACCCTATGTTTGTGATGGCTGTCAGACAATTTCTGCAACCACATTATCCCTTACATCTGGCCACCTAACTCCCCAGACTGCAACCCCCTTGATTATTATGTGTGGGGCGCAGTTGAGCAAGAGACCAACTCCTTGTAACACCAAAGATGAACTAAAGACAAGAATTATGGCAACATTCACCAACTTAAACAAGGAGAATGTCCAGAAGTGTTGCAGAAGATTCTGAAGTCGTCTGGAGGCTATGGTTGGAGCCAATGACAATTTTATTGAATAAATTTACTCTTTAGTATTTCAAGATATTTTTGTGTAATTTTGGTAAATATATCTGTTAAAATGAGACATCAATATTACTTTCATTTTTGTATATTTTAGACAATTTATCCATGATGAAAATAACAGACATATAAAATGACGACAATTTACCCATTGCACTCCGTTTGTTTGTGTGTGTGTATATAGTTTATAATGTAAATTTCATTTTATCATATATATTCTTATTGAGAATGTCATATCGTGTTGACAGTCTCAAATTTTTTAAAAACAACCTAAAGATGAAACTTCATTTTCCAGGGCCAGCGACTGTTGTAAAACTGTTTCATCATATGAAAAGACTTCAAAAATTGCCAGAAACAAGTAACTGCAACCAAAATGTCTAGGACCAAAGTGTAGTATCTGTTGCAGCGTCAGCAGCAAGAGCCAGTCATCCAGTGGTTCCAGCCAGCATCAACAATACGTGATAAACTGTCCTTTCCAAGACAACACTTTTCAACAATAACAAAACTCTCCTCCTCAGGACAACACTCTTCTCACCCTCTACATGAACATGCAGAGATATTTTTTGCCTTGTGCACTGCATCCTTATTTTTGTTAATGTTTTTTTTGTTAATCTTTATCGAAAATAAAATTGGCAATATATTTTTTTTTACTCAAGTTTTTGTTTCGATTTGTTTGTTGTCTTCTGTCATTCAATATCTATTTGTATATTGTAGACTAATATACCACCCACAACAAGAATATTGATATTTTTTGGGGGAAATGGCTAGTTTTATTATGAAAACAAAATGCAATACAAATTTTCATTTATAAACAAATCCAACATATATAGACCACAGAAACTTATTTTTGATTAACAGAATATGCTATATATCTGAATAAATTAATATTTTACTATTCTACATATTAACATAGGAGCATGTTTTTTTTTTAGAATTGAGTTCACGCCAAGCAAGGTGGTAAAGCCAGAGACACGGGGGGGGGTTACTGCGTGTTGAAGAATTAGAAAACAGAAACATTACTAAGGAATGAGAACAAAAGAAAAGTAATGAGGAATACAGTAAATAGCAACTGACATTGCATTTAAATTTCTAAAGAATAGAATTGACTGGAAAAGCTGGAAGAGAGTTCCACAAGTGATAGGTGTGAGAAAAGTAACTGTTAGCATAGAATTTATGGTTACATCTAGCTGACGCAATTGTAAATTGATGAGACTTTGTCGCAAGTTCAGTACTGAGCTTAAAATCACATAGTTACCATAGAAGAAAGATCATCTGAACAACTACCATGAAAGTATTTATAGAAAAGGCACAGGGAGGCAACTTTATGGCATTGGGGAAGTGATTGAAGCTGAGACACCAGATCAGGACAAATATTATTGCCAATTCTTCTTTGGATTTTATCAAGGATCTCTAGATATATAGCAGGACCACCAGACTATATGTAGCAGCAATATTCTAAGCATGGTTGAATGGTAGACTTGTAGATATCATAGAGTAGAAACTGGAGAGAAAAATTTTCTAGCACAACACGTTAATACACGTTCCTGGTCTTTTGAACAGGATTAGAGGTTTATCACTTGTTCCCCGATTAGGATTGGGTTTCTGATTCCTCCTATAGTGTATGCCTGAACTCTGAAATTCTATTCACTAATTTTTTCCTCCCCCTCTCTCAATAGATGTAGATATGTTCACCTAAAATTTGGTTCACACTCCGCCCCAGCCTTTTGAACAGGAGTAGAGGTTTTATCCTTTGATCCTTGTCTAGAATTGGGTTTCTGGTTCCTTCTAAAGTCTGTCCATTCTCTTGTTTTCCCATGATCACAATAATATTAACCTCTTCAAGTCTAGAATTAACCATTATCTTTCCTGCATAGCCACATGTACATCACATCTTGCCTTTTCTTATGCTCATACAACAACACACAGTAACTTTCTACAATGAGTGGCTCTTGGGCCTTATATTGAGTGAACATCAATAAAAACGAATGCCAAATTTGAAACTGCTTATGTCATTGATATCTGCATGTGAAAACAAACATTTTTGTTATTTTACAAAAAGATTTTCAATAAAGAACAAATGGAGATATACATGTTTATGTCTGATTTTATGAAAATATTTTAAACAAGCAATTGTTTGGCAAAACAAAGTTTTTTTCATCTTTTGCAAAAAGATTTTTTGTCATTAAAGAACAGATAGAGACTTTTTTTAGGGTAGTATCACATTTTTAATTCAAGAATAAAAATTTACATTAAGAAACGTATAAAAAAATGCAAATATCAATGATCCAAGCTCATTTTCAAGATGCAACTAAATAAATTTAAAATAAACTAAGTACAAATAACTCTGTAAAAGTCAGTGATTGATTTGACAATGTATCAATATTATGAACAGGACCCCTTTCTAAATTGGTAAAATGAATATTTTTCAATTTGTTTTTTTTTTTTTTTTTAACAAGTGGACCTGTCTATTTAAGTAGTGCCTAGGCCATTACAAAATATAACGTTGAAAAAGTCATCAGAAATGTTAAGATTTTTCTTAGAAGGTAAATTTCACAAACCTGGCTGTTGGTGAGGTGTGGCCTGTGTAATGATAAGATGGACATGGTGAGCAGCAAATTGGGGTAATGAAAACAAGGCACGGGCAATGACCCCTCCCTGGAAGAACAAGAACAAACAAAATATAAAATCAATGCCAGAAACAAGATCAGAGGTTCAAAGTTGGGTAAGTGAAAGATTTATAGTTCAATGTGAAAAATGACATTACATTTATGATATCTAATAAAATAAATTGAACATTAAAAAATAATGATCCTTTACTGATATATTCAAATTGTTGTTCTTGTTTTTAATTAATCACAATATTATCAGTGATTTATATTATTATTATTATACACTCATACACTGATTTATTCAAAATGGTGTTCCCACTTTGTTATAATTAAAGCATTTTGGATATTTCTGAGATGAGGAATTATCATTATTATACACCAATTTATTCAAAATGATGTCCTCATTCTGAATGTCATTATACCAGCATTTTGGTAGTTATATCCATTGGCCTTTTTTAAGTGTTTAATGTATTTGTTAACCTTCTGTGGAGGGCTTACAGCCGCATCACGTTGAAACACCAGTTCCCATAGGATCACCAATGTTAAGCAACATCAAGCCTGGTCAGTACTTACATGGGTGAGCACTCAGGAATGTCAGATGCTGCAAGCTTGGATGTGCAGGTAGTGTAATGGATAATGGCTCAGAATTGTTAATTAGAGAGCTGGTTACGAGTCAGGTTTCTTATATTCACTTACTCACAAATACCCTTGAGAAAGGTATGAATCCACCTCTTCTCCCCCCAGCTATGGGTTAATTAGTAATTATCTCCAAAAATAAAATTGTGTACAAAATATTTAGATTTTGGCATTAAATAACCCATAGAGATGTTGATATGCTGCTAAACAAAAGCAACCAACCAACATCTGTAGAGGAGAGCAGAAGGTACAACAACTGAAACATGGTGACTATAACAAGGACACTAATGTAGATAAATCGAATTATAATAATAATTCCACATCTTAGGAATAGTCAAAATATAGAGATTATGACAACTAAGATGAAAACACCATTTTGAATAAATATAATAATGATAATTCCACATGTCGAGAATAGTAAAAATATTGTGACTATGACAAATAAGATGGAGACTTCTGTTATGTGCTGTGTCCTTTCAGGACATTGACAATCATAGCCCTCCACAATTTCTTGTCCTTTGTAGCTATTGATAAATTTTGTCTTTTTTGTTATTTCTCCTAAATCCTGTTCTGCCATCCATGTACTCAAGCTCACTAGGTAGGTTATGCATTATTTTCACTTTTCTCTCTTGCCTTCAATCTGTCCTATGTATATAAAATTTTCCAAGCCCTCTTTCCTCATTACGTGCCCTAGAAATTTCTGATAAGTATAAGGACCCTTTTTTGTTTCCATTTTCTTTAACACTTTGTTGTTGCTCACATGTTTGGTTCTTTTGTGGCCTGTTTAGGGGCCAGAAAGAAAGACACGAAAGACAAAGGTAGGTTGAACAAGTGTATTAAAATAACAGATATATACAAAGCAAGAGTGTTAGTAATAAACAGATAGAGGTATACGTCTGAATGGTAGGTTAACACTGTGTCTCCGCTTACCAACCAACTGCCTAGGAAGTCTCGCAGTTAGTATTTATGAGAGGAGGAAGAGTTCATTCTACTGTAAGTGGGGGTTTACCACAAGAGGTTCATGGTATTCTCAGCATCCTCCTGTTCAAAATATTATGACAACAACAAAGATGAAGACACCACATTGAATAAATAATATAACAACTCCACATGTTGGAAATAGTCAAAATATTGTGACTATAGCAACTAAATCCCAGAAACAGTCAAAATAATGTGACCAAGACCAGCAAGACGAAGACACCAATTTGAATAAATCAATATATAATAATAAGTTTTCATTACAAACATTCAGATGAGATATTTTCTCGATTCATTTTTGACAAGTTGGTTCTTTATCTTAAATTTTGTAATTTTGGGAAGAGTCATTCTCATTCCAAAAGTTGTTTAGGTTATTGATATCATTTTTTTTTTCTTGATTTTATGGTTATCACAATGTTTCAGCCAATAATTTCTATCAGCTTCTTCAGGGGTACATCCATATGGAACAAAATGAGGAAAGAAGTAACTTTTTCTCAGTAGTACAAACCAGAAAGTGGCAGCTTACAGAAAAAAAAAATGGTTTCCTCAGTGATTTCTAACTTCTATATGGAATTGTTTTTTTAAAAAGAAGAAAAATTTTCCTTAAGAAATAAATCAGATGTAATATCTACCTATAGGGCTAATTATAGTTCAGGTGAGAAAATAATGTATATTTATTATTAATATAAATAAATATATATTTATTAAATATTAATTTAATTATTATTTATAATTATTAATAAAGGGGAATTTATTCAGATTTTGGCTCCATCAAGAAAATGTAAAAAGTTCTTATGTGAAAACAATTACACCTTCTATAAATTTCATGACCAAATAGCATCAGAACAAACTTGATTTGTTTTGTTTTTTTTCGATGTTCTGTGTTAAGAAAAGATATTCTCTTACTTTTAACATCAAGAAAAAATTATCATTTCCAATTCTAAGTATCTCAAAGAAGGCTTAAAGCATATAACATGTACCCGTCAATATATGCAAGGGAAAAGTGGACAATTTACATAGGTGTGTTAATGTTGTATCCTTAAAAACATTACAAACAGACAAAGGTGATACTCGAGCACAGGCCTAGATGGAAGAAAGAGAGGTTTATTGTAAAAGAGAATACACTACTGAGAGGCAGGGAATCGACTAACACTTCCTTAAGCCAGCCAGACAGACTGTGGTATGTCCTGTGCACACTATATATATTACTAATATAGTCAGTCCACAATAGGTAATAGGGAGAGTGGAACATTCCATTACAACAGTTAATGTATCAGGTTCAGCAATAGCTGAACATTTGATTAAAAACCTACAATGTGTAAAGTCTTGCAGCCCCGACATGTTCTCAGTACTAAGTAAGGCTAATACCGATTTTCACTTGAAGGTTTTAGCATCAATATACATTAAGTCCTACTAACCATCTCTCTGTAAGCATAAAGAATAATTGGTGGGTTTACAGTAATTAAGCTTTAATGTTATATTTTTGTTTCCATATAATATTAGTCTGGAGTTGTATATTTTTAATTCATTGTGCACATTTTTTTCCTCAATTTTGGCACTACTTCTATGACTAATACTGCACTACCAGGCCCAGGGATTGAAATCACAATTACTATATCATGAATCAATGCTGTAATTTACTAAACTATTGTCCCATGTCAGTAGAAACAGCGCAAGCAATAAATAAGTAGTACTGAAAAAGAACAAGATGAGATATCCCAAGTCAGGGACAATGGAATAAGAATTATCTATCCCTGTAGATTGAATAAAGGGTTCAGTCTGAAATGCCCTGAAAGATACCCAGGTTGACAGACACTTGAACAAGACCATTGGGTACTGTAGTGAAAGAGAGAATCCCCTACCTCGAAAAAGAGTTTGTGTTTTGTGTGCGATCTGCCAAAGAAAGCTAACCAAAAGTAGTTAACAAAAATCTACTTTAAGTATCAGAATCTATGCTAATGTTCTTTCTTCTCCTGAATGACGTGGCCAATCAGAAAAATCATTCGGAGAATAAAAGCAGTTGTTTTTCGTTTACAAGGGTAGGATTTTTCTGAGCTTGGTGGACGAACATGTGTTTTGCTGGTGAGAAGTGAAAGTTGGATTTGTGACCGGATTTTGTCATTTCTATGTTGCCTGTTGGACTGTTATGACGGACTATCTTTTGAACTGTGATTTGGCTACAAGTGTTGAAGTTGAGAGACAAAAGAAACCTATTGCAGTCACTTATTGCTACTATAAGTTTACAGTTTTTTTTTCTTTTCTTTACCACAACAGTTACAATGACTGAAACATAACAATAACAAAGATGAAGTCAATAGTCCCAGTGTAAAAAACATAGATGAACAAAAAGAGTTACTGAACAAATTATTTGATAATGTATTCAAGAATTCTACTAATTCTAGTTTAGTCATATTGAAATGTCTTCCTTCTTTGTTAGAACCAGGAATAAAAAAATAATTTAAGAAACCATGGAAGGAACTTGAGCATTAATTCTTATTCTTGCATAAAAATTAAGCAACCCAAACACTGATCAAAATCCTAAGTTGCTTATAGAAAAAAAACAAAGTTACCATTTTCTAAAAAAAAATCAGTTTTTCACTTTTTTCTTATGGATTATATACACTTGATTGGTCAAAACATTCTGATAACATCGGAACATAAAAGCATTCTGATAACAACATTGGAACATAAAGGAGTTCAATTATATTCACAAAATTTGGAATGTAAGAGTCATTTTCAAATAGCACAATAATTTTTTTTTTTTTTTTATTAAAGTTGGTCCTTCCCCAAGAGAATTGAATGACTAAAGATTATATAAATAACATCCCACATAAATTATATACCTCTGTTATTTGAAACAGCATAGGCAACAGAAATGTGGTTCTATAGAAGGATGCTGCAAATTCTTAAAGAAGTCTTAAGAAAAATGGAAACGAAAAAGACACTTATACTCAGAATCAGACAGAGACAGTTGACATTTCTTGGACACAATAAGGATGGAGGTCTTGGGCTATTTGACATTCAAAAGTTACATCAAAGGAAGAAGTGGGAGGCAACATGTAACCTACCTGACCAGTTTGTGGAAATGGATGGTGGAACTGCAGGAGTGGGAGGAATGCCAAAAAGACAAACATTGCTAAAAGATACAAAGGATAGGAAGTTGCGAAGAGCCATGAACGTCCACATCCCTAAGAGACACAGCATATAGAAGAAGAACAGTGCACATCTTGTTTGTCATACTCAAATTTCAGCCAGCTTTCTTCAGGTGTCTATCATAGAACTCGGTAAACTTTTCGGAATTTTTAACCAGATTTTCTCAATATATTACAAAAATAAATAAATAAATGCAATGAACAATAAAAGACAAAAGTAATTACCATAGAATGACCAACCAAAACAACAGAGGAAGGTGGATTACGAGCTTTCTTGTACAAACTGAATATCTTCTTAATACAGTAATGGACATATTCTGAAATGGAATAATAGTCAAAGTAGACATACTACATTTTACACACACACACACATATATCAATTCAAATTCAGATGAATCTGTTCATTGTGACCACTTTGGAGACAGGGTTATTTTGATTACAATAACTGGCTGATGACATTAATCAAAGGAAATAAAAATTATAAATAACTATACATTATAAAAAATTAATACAAAATGTGTTTATTATTCATTTTCAATTAATTTTAAATAAAATGTTTGGGACTGACTGATTTTGATAACTGTAACCGGTTGTTAACATTAAACAAAGGAAATAAGAATTGAAACAATTTGAGTTCATTGTTATGAATTCATTATTATAAATAACTTTACATACTGGAAAATTAACATAAAATTTACTGAGTTGAAATTCTTATTGATTTCAAATTCATTTTAAATAAATTGCTTGGGAGTGACTGATTTTGATAATAAATGGTTGAGAACAGTAAGCAAAGGAAATAAAAATTGGAACAATTTTCATTCATTGTTATAAGCAATAGTATTTAAAGAAAAAAAACCCCAAAAAAAACAGAACATTGATGATAATGATTAAGTTCATCTATATAATAAATGCAAATGTCAGTGTGTCACTGTGTCTCACTTTTTCAACTTTACTCCCAGAAGCAATAGCCCAACATAACATACAATTTTGGAATCAGTCCGATGCTGTGAGCAATTTAAAAACATTCTGGGCCAGATCTGGAACTGCAATCCTGAAATTTTGGATTCCCAACTTTTCATTAATGTGGTTGTTTTTTGGCAATTTTTTTTAATGTGATTTTTTTAACTTGGAAATAAATTTGGGAATAATCAAAATTAATTGTGAAATCCAACGAAAGTCACCCATGAAATAAAAATAATTGTTTGTATGGAAAGTAAGGACCTACATACATCAAATGACTTTTAAATTAAATGGCAGCAGAAGAATTATTGTTGAATTTTTAAGAGGTAAGCTTAATTATCACAATACTTAAATTAGGTACCTCCACGGGATCGCTAAAAAAAGAGCATAGCATGATGAAAAAGATGCCAAACTTGACGAAAACAAAATTTTATCGTCTAAATGTTTGTTTTTTGAGTCAGCAAAATTGACCATTTTTTTCCATTTTAAAAAAAAAACTGGAAATCTAACTTTGAATTTTTTTAAATATCAATTATCATTTTTCAAAACTTATTTTAAGAAAATCAGAAATTATAATGTTTATTTAAAATATTTTGAACCAAACTTAACTTAGCTTTTGTGCCAAAAAAAAGATGTAATTTGAAAATAAAACAAAGCAGGTCATAAACTTTCGCGTCTTTTGACACGTGATGAATGATATATTTACAAATTCCATGAGGCTAATTTGTTCTTTGAAGGAGAAAAGTGAAATAATTTACATTTACGTGAACAAATTATTTACCCGTTATTTTTAACGAAAACTTTCAGCGGTCTAATTTTTTTTTTTTTTTTTTTTTTTTTTGTACTTAGCTTTCACCTTTACGTTTATGATGCTTTATGGGAAATATATTGTAAAAGAAATTAAAATAAAACTGTTAAGAGTGACATTAAATTTCATATTTCTTAAGAAAGGTATCTAATTAATTTATAGGTACCTTTCTTATGAGATTTTTATCAGAATTGTACATAAAATACTATAATTTTATGTACATTTATTACATTCTACTGTTATTTGTATTTGCATTCATTTTATTATTAATTTTGATATTTCATTTATGGAAAAATGTCGCTGAGATTAATATAAAAATAAGATCATATAAATTTCATAAGATGATACTGATACTTGTAGGTACCCTTCTCAGTTGAAATTGAAAAAATCAAATTAACTTCTCCACACGTGTTTAAGAAAAGTAAAGGCCTTAACAGCGGAGAACAATGCTTAACTCAAATAACTAAACTTAATTATATTCTGGTTGGTCTTCCGTATTTTATAATTACAGCTCGATTATAAGCACAAAAATTACATTTCTTAATTACTGGGGATCTTCTGATTAGTCAAAATGATACAATTTACAACGCTTAAAAAAAGATCTATCTCATAAGGACACTTATGAAAGCCGAAGCTTTTAACTAATTTTATAATATTTTAACAACTTAAATGTAAAATCTATTATAATTAATGAAATAACAAATAATTGTATTAAAAATTCATTTTCATCGAAAAAAATTTTTTTGCTTTCAGAAAATATTGTCCATATTCATAAAAACAACTAAAATCAAATAAAAGCATTTGAAATTAAATAATATCTTTGTTTTATTGAGTTTTGTATGTTACAATTCAGAGCTGATTTTCAGGTACTGCGATCCAATTAAAAAAAAAAAAACATGATTTGCATTCCTCAAAGCCCTGTGCTTTTAATTATTGTAATCACTAAAACCTATGCGATGAATTTCTAGCGTTTTCCCAAAATTAGTTGGGGGGGAGGTAATAAATATTTTTAAAAAATATTTCTACCATGACTTTCATAAAAAAAACATATTATAATAATTTGATCATCTGTGAATAGTTCCTGAAAGTTTCATTAACATCCGATAATTATTTCTATTTTTTGCACGATTTTTCAAATTAATGTGTCATAAAAAAAAAAACGTGCTAAAATTGTCTATGTTATTTACTAGTTTGATACAAATAGAAAAAGGTTTTTTTTAATCAAAATTTAGAATGTTCTAAAAAGAAGGAAATTTTTTAAAATAATTAAAAAAACTTTGGTCTTTCCTCTTAATAATAACATAAGCATTTAGACAATAAAAATTTAGTTTTCGGCAAGGTTGGCGTCTTTTTCATCAAGCTATGCTCTTTTTTAGCGATTTCGTGGAATTACCTAACTTAAATGCAGCAATCAATTTTGAGTTCTTCTGTAGTTTATTGTTGCCTATCATATCTAATCTTCCCTGATGTGATGAAGGCACAATCAAGAGCCCTCTGCAGGAGCTAGCTTAAATGCCTCCTGACAGGGTGGCTTTTAAGCTAGTTTTAAATACACATGGGTTCCCATACAATCACTGAAGTTAAGCAATGTTGAGCCTGGTCAGTACCAAGATAGTGACTGCTTGGGAATATCAAGTGCTGTAACCTCGGATGTATGGCTGCTGTAATGGATAATGGCTTGGAATTGTTAATTAGAGAGCCAAGTTCCAATTCCTGTTGGGTTTGTTATATTCACTTGTAAATATACTTGGGAAAGGTATGAATCCTCTTCTTCCCTCCACCCTCAGCAATGGGTTGACTTAGTATCACTAAAACATTATTATCTCCAAAAGAAAAAAGAAAAAATTCTTACAATCTGAAAGTATTTTAAATAACCTTTACATAACCTACAAAGGGTTGACAAGCTGTAGAAAATGAAACAATTAGAAATCTAGGGAGACCCATAAAAAATAAAGAAATATGAACACACACACACACAAATAATAAAAAAAAACATCTCACCAGTTTGTTGCTGGAGTGTACCTCCCATCATCCCTGAAAATTCCTACATGAATAAATAAAAATGTTTGGGAAAACAAATTAGGGCTAAGAACATTGGTGGAATCTAAATAAATGCAGTGTATATCTTTAAAAACAGGTAATCTCAATAATTCTGGAATTCTAAGATAACATAAGGCCAAATTTAGAATCTTCTATATGTAGAGACTTCAGGAAAGATGAAGTAAAGCATCAGTTTTAATGATAATTTACCATACATATGAAATGATGACCAAACAAATATGTGCAAATAAACCTTAAGTATTTTAATAATTCTATTATTTGTTCCTGCAGCAAAAAGCCAATTCCAATGAACTTTAGCAAAGAGAGGTTAATTTCCTGAAGATTCACTGTCATTTAATCATTTATCAAGAGAATTCATCCTTCAGTTTCTCATTTACTAATCATCAGAATGCCTGGTTTGCCAGCCTCTGGAATACCACATACATACACCCAAAATAGGCTTGGCCACCTCCAGAATGCCACATATTTATGCCTGAGCCAGACTGGGTTGCATCCTGAATTTCACACATGCTTGAACTATCCTTGGCATTCACCAAAATGCCACATTCACCAAAGGCTCTCTATTTTATTAGAGAAATAATAAAAGCAGTGATATTAAAAAGCAATTCCTAACAAAAAAAAAGAAAAAAAAATCCTAAAAAAAATTATAGATTACCATAAAATGGTAATACTCAAAATACTAGGTGTGGCAGAAGTGCCTCCTATATAATGGTAAGACATTAGCTTGACCACTGCCACTAATGTTTTACCATTATGTGGGGGGGTATTTCTGTATTACCATTTTATGGTTATATATATATATATATATATATATATTTGTTACCCCTCTTTTTGTATCATGAATTGCTTTTTAATATGTCTTCTTTTATTTCGCTAATAAAATTTTGCACTATTTTCTAATTTTAACCTAAAGATAAATGGAATATTGGTAGAAAAATTGTACTGCACCAATCTTTTGAAGAATCAATCTGCCTTGAAAATTAGTTGTCAAAATTCTAAACTTTTGTGCCAATTTCTAACTTCTGGCACAGAATGTAAAATAAAGGCAAGTCAGGGGGTAAATATTTTTTGTACTCTTTCATTTGATCTTAAAATGCAAGTTTTATTTGGAGAATAGCATACAAAAATTATGAAAACAGAAAATTCATAATACAACAGTGTAAGTTAAAGATAAGGAACAGTAAGATTTTTTTTCTCTTTGTTATTTTTGTTTCTCAGTTTATAAATTCTGTCACACTAAAGTAAAGAAATATATAAAAACTAAAAAGTTAATCCTATTCTGATTCAAATGCCCAACTGGGAGGTGATCAGGCAAGTGACATATTCATGACACCAGCATTTTCTTACTTGCTCAGTATGATAAAATGTGCTTACTATTAGGTTGAGTCATAAATATTTTCCGATTTGGGGAACCAATAGTAACGAAAAATGTATTATCCTTACTACTAATCATACATGACAGTCAAGAATAAATCTGAAATATACTGCATAATAGTGGCAGCATACACAGTGGATTAAAGAAAGCATGTTGTTCTACTCCATGACTACATACAGCAAGAATGTCATAGGAGAATGTTTTGAAATTTGGTTGATCCATTCTACCACACATACCACAATCGATTATTACCTTTTTTTGAAAATGATTTGATGTGAAAATTTCTCTAATGAAAATCAAATTCAAGAATTTGGAAATATTTTCACATCAAAATTTTACTCAAAAGGTATTGAAGAGGTGCCTGATAAGTGGCAACAAGTCATTGCAAATGAGGGTGAATATTGAGGAAATTGTAGGACAAAATATAAAAAGTTTATTTGTGATGCGCTTCATCCATCAGGACATCATTGTGCTGGGTTTATCCCACTTTGTGATAACAGAAAATCTGCCAAGAATGGTGATACATTGTAAGAACCTGGACGTAAATTTACTGTGGCTGAATTAGTGATTAATTCACTAAGACAAAAATGTCTAGAAAGTGCTTTAATCGCTAATTCAGCCACAGTAAATTTACATTCAGGTTCTTACAATGTATCACCATTGTTGGCAGATTTTCTGTTATCACAATGTGGGTTATTTAAAAACAAAGATGTTGGAAAGAAAAAGAACATAGATGAATTTGGATAGAATGCAAAAATTATTTCAAAAAATTTTGAAACTACCAGCATCTCTCATTCATGCACATGTGCAGCCACAACATCAACAAACCCAATCCAATGAAGTGCTGACTGATAAATGCATCACAAATAAACTTTTTCCATTTTGTCTTACAACTTCCTCAATACTGTCCTTGATATATAAAAATATATATCATTATCTCATATCAATGGTGAATATGTAATTGAATAAAATGTAATTGTACTTTATTTTTTGAAAAATAAAGTTTATAAAATAAAACTAAAATGGAAATTATTTATAACTCAACCTGATACAATAGAGTGCACAGATATTAGACTAATCTTAGGCAGAGGATAGGAGCACACAGATACTACTATCTGATCCTAGGCAGAAGAGCTGATCCTGTCATTTGGTGATGCCTGGGGTCAACTCTTTGGTTGTATGCCCCTAAAACTCAAGTAGGGGAGGGGCTACAAGGCATAGTACTGAGAAATGGCAAAAAGGAAGACATTTTAAATATGTAAAAACAGATGGAACATGAAATAAACACTGCAAACAAAAAGACTAAAAAAGTAAAAATAAATTTTTTAAAAAAATAACAGGTATGTGAGCCACTTATATTCATTCAACATAATAATTCCTCAGATAATATCTACAAATTTTAAAAGTCATCATTCCCATAGTGTGGATTTCAGCATAGTTTGGCTTTCTCTGGTCAGCAGAGAGGGAATTGGAGAGCATCTCCATCTATAACTCCTGTGTTACACAGGTTGCAATGAATGATATTGTATCTGTGGCTTAGTGTTGTTGGGAAGGAACCAAGTTCTTTGATATATTTTACCAAAGTTCTTTTCTGTTTTACCAGCAAATTTTTTTCATAAAAAAGAAAAATATTAAAAAGAAAAGAAAGTGAATCCTCTCTTTCATTACAGATTGTATATCCAAAAATTGATCAGTCAAACTATTTTAGTAACAACAAAAGCAACTGTATCTGTCTATATTTCTGAGATGAGGTACTATGTACATTATTTACATTATTCAGACAAGGACGCATGGCACAATGGATAAAGGTGTTGGTTAGATCCAGTGACAGGACCCAAAGAGTGTGAGTTCAATACCCGGTTAAGCAGTGGAGAACTTGGAGAGGGGAATTAACAGGAGATAACTGATAACTGACATCCATTAAGCAAGGCACGTGGAACTATAACAGTCTACCCCAGTAAGTGAAATAAAGGGTTCAGTTCGACATTCCAACCACCTGAAGAAGGCCGGAGCGTACAACGGCTGAAACGTAATAAATATGGTGACAAAGATGAGGACAATAGTCTGAATAATGAAAAGCAACTGTTCCTGCAAGTGGGTCAATTATATGATACAAACACGGAGACTACAAAAACATGTTGGCCACCAAGGGAAGAAAAACAACTCACTGCAACACTATAAATTGTGGAATGCACAGTCCACCATTGATTGTAGCCACTCACAAGTTTCTCTCAATGGCTCCTAGTAGCAAACTATCTGCTACTTCAAGCAAATTCTTAAATACATGTCAAACTCGTAACTATTCCTCAGCTGACGGTATTATAAGGTTCACACTTGCACATGTACACTTCTCGCATTGCAAATGGCTGTCTACATATGAAGCATCCTGCTAGTTTAGCTTCAGGTAATTTGTTACAGCAACATGAAGACTGATTTCAATTATCCAAACACCTCTTAAAATAAATTATATTCATTATCAGTTTTGACAAATTAGGTCAGCAATACTTAGATTTGGGATAGAGTACAATAATAGGCTAGGGTGGATTTCTACAAGCTGTGATTTTCTTTCCAAAGAAGAGAGGTGATGCAGGTGATACTAATTTATATAAATTAGTATCAGCTGCATTATACGGGTTACTTTGATTAGTATGATCTGTAGAGTTTTCATTTTTGTTAATGAACTGATTTGGTTTGTATATCAAACAATACATTATTTTTTTACCTTCAACTATCTCTATAGAAAATAAGCCTCACTTTTTTCTTATGGATTGTGCACCCAAAGAAGGCTGTTGAGTGAATTGGCTGAAACATTGTAGCAACAAGAAAAGTAACAGAAATATTTTAAGCAACTCTTCTAATAATGCATCTGTATTTTCCTTTACTTTTCTTATATAATATCTTGAGAAAGTTGTTCTTACCTCATTAAGATCGACAGAGAAGTAGTTGAAATGAAAAGCCATATTCTCAGCTTTGCGCAGTGCAACAGAGGCTAAAGAACGGACTGGAAAGTAAAAAAGGAAAAAGTTAAAAAGAAAGTGCATCTTTGAGAAGCTGTGTTGATAGACATTTAACAAATTACAAACTATTATGATCATGACAGAACAAATATTAAAAATATAGATATAATGAAAGTAACAGCTTTTAATGTCATAACAAAACAACTGTGAAGGAAAATAGAATATTTAAGTAAAAATACCAATAATCTGATGCATAACATATAAGAGTCTCTTTCCTATTTGCATTTGACCCATACCCTCTTGGCTTCAGTTTAAACCAGTGTTTCCCAAACAGTGCAGCGCACCTCATAGATGCAATAGAAGAGGATAGCAGGTGAGCCACAATCGAAAGATACATGATCGCTTAAGTGTTTATCACGTATGGCACATAACTGACTGATTATATAGGGAGGCTAGGTACAATTACTGCTAGTTCATAGCATCTGAATAAATAGTAACCTCCCATATACCTCAACTTTACATCTAAGACAGAATTGATATTTGAATTAAATCAGTATCATTACTGAAAAGATTTTCCTGCTGTACTAATTACAGGTTTGTTCAAGATTTTTTTCCTTTATTACTCAACGTGATTATAAAGAATGGCCTAGAGCCATGAAATATAAATGTTATTCCAAATATTAATCCAATCCCACAGCTCAATACACTTAACATGTAGTTTCTTGAGATTCTTTAAATCTTCAAAGAATAAAATAAAATAAAAACTGTTAAGAGCAATGTTAAAATTTGCCTAGTCTTTCTCTAGGAATTTTTTTCACCATAATCAGCAAATCGCATTCAGATTATCATCTGAGAATTTTTGAGACCATGAAGTCTAAGCAGCTGTCACTCTGCAAACAAAAGTAATGGCTGCTGGGTCTAAATGTAATCTCTTTGTAATTTACATTGCTGATTCCATGGTACTCTTTTTTTTTTTTGCACTCCCCATTTTTTTTTAGTCATTGTGCACATATTTGTCCTCAATTGGCTTTGAAGAGCAAGGATTGATAACCAGTTAGCCCCTCTTTGTTATATTTTTTTAATCCACCACTTTTATGGTGAGTAATATTTTCTTATCCTTGATCTTCCACCACTTTGTTTTATATATGTTAAGAGTATCTTTTTATATTGATTAAACATTCAGGGTTGTTTAGATCAAAAACTTCAAAGAAGTCTTTGATGTGGTCGGATAACCTAACAAAGTGAGGGGTCTTCATCTGGGTTTTTGTTGGTTGGTTCCAAAAGAATAAAGTGAGTTGACTGGCAGAAGCTGTTGTAAAAATCTTCTTTGGAGCTACCTGCTAACCACTCATGGGACATGTAAGTATGCAACAAAAACATAACTTCTGACTGAAGACACTGAATTAATTTTAACTTCTAGCTAGTAAGCATTTTTTTTTCTTTTAGCCCACTGACCAAAACTCTAAATTAAAGTAAAATTTCTTTTGTTTACTATAAAGAAACTTAGTTGGTTTTCTTTTTGTTCCCTTTGCTTTATCTTATTCCTTTTGTTGCACATGTGACAATATATTTGCATCTACTTTTAAAATTCCCATTTTTAAAGTTCTAATAATATTAAAAAAAAATAAAAAATACTGATGTTTGGTCATGTAATTATTTTGTTGACTAGATCAAGTCCAGAAGTTTTCAGCACCCTCATATACTACAGCAAAATATATTTCAATAATACTGAATGCTTACCCATACATACACATTAAAGCTTTTTTTATTTATTATTTCCTGTTGAAATTGAGGGGTGGGGACCTTATAAGCCATCAGCTACAGTAGTTAATGTTATAGTATCTTACCTTGTTTGTAGCTACCAGCATTTCCATGGATGAATAGAACTGGAATGCCATGCATATTGAGTCGTCTGGAAAAAGATTCAAGGGAAAAAATCCATTATCTAGATAAATTTTGAAAGAGCACTAAAAGATATTGAAAATTCCTTTTGACTCAAAGGGTAGATCAGAAGTCCATCCATATAGTAAGTGTTGTGAAATACTGCCTTGTCTCGTGACCCAAAATTCAGTCAATATAAGAAGAAGAGAGCCTGTGGAATGACTTCTCATAAAATCCCTCTCAAGAAAAAAAAAAAAAAAAAAAAAAGGTGAGAAGGGAGAGAAGGCAGGCCTTAAGTAACAAGGTGGTAGACCTGTGCATCCCACCACTTCTGGTAAAAAGATTACAAAAACTAGTGCTTTGAAAAACAAGCCATGGCAAACACTCTGCCTACCACACGCAACCCTACACACACAGCTAATTTCACTTATTTTTCTACAAAGAATAATTGTCTTATGTGAGATAATATTTTACAACTTATGTATAAAGTTTGGTTAAAAACTAACAAAATTTGGTACTTATTGATTTTTGTATATTTCTGACCATTTTCCTTGTTTCCAGTACATATTGAAATATAAATTACCATACATATTTGCATATTATGCAACATTTGAAGACCTAATTTTGAAGCTAATTTTAAGAGGGTAATATAAAAAATATAAAATTAGCATATGTACTGTTGGTCCTAGCTACACCATTGACCAAGCTATATATCCATTTACTGTAGTCAAATTAGCTTCAAAATTAGATCTTTAAAGGTTGCATGATATGCAAGTATATATGGTATCTAACATCAGAGTAGTTTTATCTTTCATAAGTTATCATCAAAGAGTTTTTATTTTTGGTGCTATGACAGTTTCATTGTTTTTCAAATACCATAATTTCACGTGTTATGTTTTTAAAGAGCTGCTTTTTCATGTGACAGTTCATGTATCATTTTATACACACATGCACGCATACATATTATATATATATATATATATATATTAATAGTTAACAGGAAAGAGTACATATCACATACAGGTATTTGAGTGGCACAAGATTTTTTTGATTTTTGGGGTGAGGAGTTATCATTACATACAGTTGTATATATGAATATATATATATATATATATGAATATGAATATATATATATATATATATATATATATATATATATATATATATATATGAATGAATGATATACACTATATTTGGCATCCAACAATTTACAAAAGGTGGTGACCGTGATTTACCAAAGTTCTGTAGCATCCTATTATTTCAAGTTTCTTCTGATAAATGCATCCCCTATTGTTATTATAACACAATATCAAATATAGTCTGGTTTCTGCTTATTTGTTTTTATTTAAATTGTGTCTTAAAAGATTGCAAGGTAGTTTACAAGATCCAATAGTTTCTTTGGGGTATTAAACATAATTATCATATTTCCTTAACAAAAAAACAATGGTTTCATAAATAGTGAAAGTTTTTTTTTTATGGCTATTGAAAGACAATATACATTTCACTTTCTGGTAGGTCATTATATATATAACTTTTATATACATTACACTTTCTGGTAGGTAATTGGAAGCTAAAATACAAAACTTAATACTGTCACATTAAGTCGTGAAAAATTTTCCAGGTCGATAACTTCATTGATTTCCTTCTAAGGGTAAACCAATTCACACAACTACCACTCTGATGTCACCATCTCCTTTCACTTCCCATTTGAATAAATGCTGAAGTTGGTTATAAAGAAATTGGAATGAGAACTACAGGTCATTCTGGATGACTTATCATAAGCTTTACAGGATGTTTAGTCCAAGTAACCAGTTCTACTCGGTGTAACCACAAAAATGACAAAGATGAAAATATGTCAGCCAGGATTATACCAATACAATAAAGGCATCAACACTTTTAATTATAAATAAATGGCATATAGTAATTCAAACTTTGAAAGATATGAAAGATTGAATCACTGAACTTACCTTAATGAATCTGCATAGTAGCTGAAATAGAAAAAAGAATATGGTTAGTATACAATGTCAAATAAAAGTCTCATTTAATTGTACTGTAAGTGGAAAGTAAATTTTATAATATCAAATATTTAATTGATTTTTTGGATGAAGCATTGTCACTATTTTCACTATTTACATGTGGCCTATTTTTCTTCATTTTTTGTTGTTATCACAACATATCAGCCTTGCATCCCTTATTCCTGGGAAGCCTCCCAGAGCAGGGCATGTATCTTATCAATTAGTCCACAATTTTAACTAACAACTGTAGAATGACGGCCTGAGATTGTGATAAAAAGCAACAACAATAAAAAAAAAAAAAAAAAAAAAAAATTTAATTCAAGGTGCTAATAATTAAAAAAAATAAAAATATTAAAAATATGGTCAAGTGATATTTAAAACGGTTTTTCTATTTACTTAAGGGATAATATTTTTCTACATCAGAAGATTAACCCCTTCCCTAGCATAGACATGTATATACATTTTTACCGAAAGTGTCTTTTTTGACATGTATGAATAAACATGTCAAAAGCAACTACAGACATGTTTATAGGTCAATCTTGATTCTTTTTATGCCCTTCTGAGCTTGAAACGAGTCTCCAAGTGTCAACTTATATGTCTGTTAGAGGTGTTAGCCACTGCTCAGGTACTTCAAGGTGCCTCCTCAGTTTCTTAGTTACAATATTAAAAACAAATAAAAAAATTTGTCTGAAAATGAAACGTTTTTTCCAAATTAATTGGTGGGTAAGGGGCTAAGAAGAAAAGAATTCAGCTTCTGCAAATGCAGGAAGAACTAAATCCAATTAAAATGACTATAGTGTATAATTAGCATCAAAGATTATCTTCAACTGGATTTATAAATTTGGCAAAAGCAATATTGACTTTGAAATGCTTAAATACATACATATTAATTCTTATTTATCTTGATGTATAGTTTTGAGTTGAGTATCTTTGATGGAATGATTTCATACTTTTTCCTGCATAACTTCTTTTTTCTTTCACTAAAGAGGGCTTGGAGAATTCAACACACACAGGACATATTAAAGGGAAAATGAACAGAAGGCAGTGGGCTTACCTACCTGATGAGCATGGATGGTGGAATAAGGGGTGAAGGCTTGGCAAAGGGACAAAAGTTGCTAAAGGTTACAAGAGATAGGAAGTTGTTGAGAGCCAGGGTCACCCAAGTGAAGAGACAACACACATAAAAGAAGTTAATTTTAGACTTTTTCTACTGTTGTTAAATAAAATAATAAACAGTATCTAAACCTGTTTTTGCCCGATGTGTCCTTTTCACTATAAGTCAAAATGTTATTCCCCACCTTTCTAAGATTGTCCGACTCAAAAGGTGCATTCCAAATAATATGCACATATTACTGAAAATCATTCTTTTTCATATTAATGTAGGGGAATAAATTTTCTGTGCTTCACCATTGTAAACAAATTTAAATTGAATAAAAAAACAATCCTTTAATAAAATTAACTATCAATGATTATTTTTTCATATTTTATTTATATTTTGTAATCTAAACCAGTTGTATGAATAAGCAACAAATTGGCAAGATAACTGAATCAAGTCAATTTAGTGTGAATCAACCTAAAAAGAAAAAAAAAGAAAGTAAATATGACCCCAGTATCTAAAATTTGTGCTAAAGCTATAGTAGAGCAATTTCCTGATGACTTTTATACAGAAGAAAATGTTATTTTATAAATTCTGTCTCCATAGTGTTGACACAAAGATCACACCAAAAACTCATTTGACAAAAAAGTCTTAAAAGTCAGCTCAACTGAAACAGAAGACAACCACAACTTTGTTGAAGAGTAAAGAGGATCAAGATGATTTTGTCCTTAATTTTTTGTAAATGTGTACTTTGTCTGACATTCCCCTGCACAAAATTGACAAAATGAGGCTATTCATATTAAAACATTGTAAAAAAAGGTGGTGCTATTCCAAGTGTCAATTGTGTCAGCCAACTTCATCTACCAAAATTATTTGCTTGTCACTTTGCTGTCCTGAAAGCCAAGCTTGCTAATCAATTAGTCAGCATTATAACAGACAAAACAACTGTCATGACCACAACATTTTGAATGTAATTGCAAGCATTCATGGGGAGTCATCTCTCATTAATGTTGTAACCTTGTGAGAATGCAATCATAAAACTGTAAGTCAGACATGCATCCGAGCCGTAACTCATGTGGATATTGCATTTAAGGATATTATTGCTTTTGTAATAGATTCTGCAGCCTATTGCAAAAAGCTCATAAGGAAGTGTTGTCAAATGTTTTTTGTTAACAGTTGCCATGTGTTGTGCATAGCACATATTTTAAATCTTGTTGATGAAGTATTTTCACACTGGCCAGCATTTGATAATGTTACCCAACTCACTGCTTTCATCAAGTCAGCCTTTTTTATAAAGCCTAGTCAGAAAAAGTGATACTTAAAATGGCTTGAAGCTTCTTTGCCTAAGGAACAAGTGAAACTACCCCCTGTACCAGTGGCAACCAGATGGAATTCCTGGTTTAATGCAGCCAAATAACACTCATAAGCAAAAAAAAAAAAGAGCCATGGCCTTGCAGTAGATAAGATTCTAGAATTAGTACATGATGGTCAACTACATCATGCCTCTTACCATAATTTGCACATAAATCAGAATTTTATAAATGAGGACTGCACTCATTTAATAACAGCTTTGACAAACTTAGAATAAACTAAGTCTCCGCTTGCATGTGTTACATATAACATGATGGTACATCAAAATCAACATTTGGCCTAGAAACTGATTGTCTTCTGTCTGAACTAGAAAACACAGAGAGAGAGAAAGTTATCTTAAATTTCCAAGATTTTTTCAGCACATCTTTTTCAAAACTGAATACCTGGATACCCACATTGTGTATAATTTTTACAAGGCAGCTCACCTGTTTGATCCTAGACAGCTACCCTGTATAGGTCATGATTTAGACAGTTTTGTAACCATCAAGGACTTGCAATGTCCTACTGATCTTGAAGAATTACAAATGTATGTGAATTACCAAGATGATTTCCCAAATCTTTTTAATATACCATCATTTTGGAATGCATATAAGAGCAGATTTCCTTTTCTGGAACAGATTGCCAAGAAGCTCATATGGATGCTTGTTACTAGCAGAACATTCATTTTCTCAATAAAAATTTATTCAGTAAACAATATTTAAACACCTGGGCTTCAACATAACTGTTGATTTAAATTTGAAATCCATCCAATATTTAGATGTGGAATTGAACCTTACTACTAATACATAAAACCAAATACTGCCCTAAGGTATGTGAAATCAAACCACCTTCCAAGTGTTATCAAGCAGAATCCCAGAGGAGTTCAGTACAGACTGTCATGAAATTCGTTGAATGGAGATATTTTTAAACATAAAAAAGTGATTTACGAAAATGCCTTATGAGAGGAGGGGCATGCTGCTAATCTATATTTTCAACCACAAGCTGGACCTGTCGGTAGAAAAAGATGCAGAAACGTGATTTTGTTCAACCCCTCTTTCAACATCCAGTTGTAAACCAAGATCGGCCATATGTTTTTCCATTTGTTGGATAATCATTTTGTGAGAAACTCCATTTTGGCAAATGTGTTTAATAGAAACACCATCAAGCTAAGCTACAGCCATGCAAGCAACTTACAAAACATTGTAAAAAGCCACAATTTGAAAATTCTGGAGGCTCGTGATGGCAATAAAGACAAAGATTTACCCTGTAATTGCAGGAACAAAAACATTTGCCCTTCAAACAGTAGGTGCTGTAAGATGGGTATAGTCTATTTGGCAGAAGTTAGTGACAGTAGCAGCTTCAGAAAAGTGTACACTGGTTGCACAGAGGATCCCTTTAAAAAGAAGTTTTACAATCATACTACCTCATTTAGACACAAAAGTGATACAAAACTGAAGGATTGCATCTGGAGCTACAAACAAGAGAACAGTAGAGATCCATGTGTGAAGTGGAAGATAATTAGAAAAGTCAACCCAGGCAGAGTCCATGTTAAAGGCTGCCGTCTATGTCAGGAGGAGGAGCTGGCAATAGCAACTTATCCAGACAAGCAAGTGTTGTTCAATAACTGGAGTGTTAACTGGGTGCAAACAATTAAGCAAATATTTATTGAACAATTACGAGCCTGGATGAATGTTTTCCCCTAAAATTATTTTTTTGCGATCCTCCTCCTTTTTAGTCCCACTCCCACCAATACCATCCACTTCCTAGTGTTCTGACTCTCCTCTTCTAAGTCCCACAGTGTCCTATAAATTTGTTGTGGAGTTCACTATACTACAGCTTTTTGCAATCTGCCTGAGGAGATCTAGTGATCAAAACCCAGATAGCATGGTTGTGAGAGATTTTTTTCCAAGGTGTGTGTGTGCATATATATATATACATACACACACACACACACACACACACACACACTGGACTCTCCTGTCGTTTTCAACATATGAGGGTCAAGCAACTCAGTTACTAGGAACAGACAGCCAGACACCTGCTCATATGATTTGAATATAGTGGTGAAGGATTTGTGCAGAACCAACCACGCTTTTTGAAGCACCGAATACAGACCTGGTGCACCGTGTGCCACAAGGTCCCCAAACAACCCCCCACAGGTTTTGAATTCAGAGTTGTCCTTCTCCTAGACAAGATGCCATCCAAGGCTATAGAACCCAGTCTGTTCTAATATTTACCCATAGCTGGAGGGAGAAGAGGATTTATTTTAAGCCATTTATGTAACCTGTCATTATTAAACAAATCCAATAAAACTTTCACTAAAACAGAGTGTAATACAAAATTCTGGTGTTGGGGGAAAAATGTGTAACAATAACTCTAGGTATATATTGGTGCCAACTGCATTTGAAGTGTAATATATTCTGGCAAACTTTTAGCCTTTCTGGCTGATTCTTTACTTGCCACTTGTATTTTCTGCATTCAGAAACAAAACAAAAAAATAGAAGACTAACTACAGAATTTGGAGTATAAAATTTCTTTGAATTTGTTTCAGTACATAATATATAGCTGCATATTGAAAATCAGGAAAAAAACAGTATCAGTGATCAGGAATTAATAAAAGCCTTTCTGACTGAATACTGCTATAATATCAATGTCATAAATGTATTGTTAATGTCTTTACTAGAGAAATTAATTAAAAATTTGGAAGAAAAGCATTATCTGCAATCATGAATTAAAGCAAGCATTGCTGACAGAATAGTACTCATGGTTTTATTATAGAAATTCATTGAAAATCAAAAAGAAAAGGCTTGTCAGTGATCAAGAAATAATGAATAAGGCTATTATTATAGGTATAACAAATGATTTAACCATAGAGGTGCATTGCAAATGATTCTACAAAAATGCATTGTAAATAAGGAAGAAAAGGATTGTCATAGATGACGAATTAATATAAGTAGACAGAATAAGGCTCTTGTTACAAATGTAGTGTGAAATGCATTGTTTGTTTAGTGGCATATCAACTCCTTATGGGTCATTTCATGCTAAAATTTAATTGTTTGGGAGCATTAGTAATTTCTTTTACAAAAATGCATTGTTGGTAATATTTTTTTTTTTTAATATATTGCTGGTAGTAATATTTTTTTTTATAAAAATGTATTAATGGTATTTTTTTTTTTTTACTATAAAAATGTATTTTTATACTTTCATAGTGTTTTGACCCCAGTTTGGTGGTTAACTATTTGCCCATAGTTGGGATCCTAACAGGTACTACCACCCCAGGTCAGGGTGGACCTGGGAACAACAGCAATTGAGAGGTGGTTTCACATTTCTTAAAACCTCCTGATCAGAGGCCTTGCTGCTGGATGTAGTTTATCGTCATACACAGGATGCAAAATGCATTGCGAATAATCTTTTTATTGAAATAGATTACAAGTGTTTACTATAGAAATGAATTGAAAATCAGGAAGAAAAAAATGGAATGATAATATTATCTATTAGTTGAATAGTTAAAGAAATCTATTAAATAGTATTTCTGCTTTAAACTCTTCTCCAATATGCTTTTTTGGGGGAAAAAAACCAAATAACATTGAGTTGTAGCAATTTAAAGGACCAACCTTGTCACAAATCCAATGTCATGTTTCTTTATGAAATCAGATCAAATTTATAGACTTACCCTTCTCCATAGACATAAAGATTATAGCGTGGATACTTAGAGTTGACTTTTGATGATAATGGCACTTTCTGTAAGAAAACAAGCAAAAAGTTTTAATCCTCAAGTTTCAGGACGTTTTTCTAAAATTTATACATTAATCATGAACTTTAATATTAATTTGTATTTTTGTTTTTAAGCATATAACAACATTTTGCAAATTATTTTTGATGAATAGCCTTGTTTGTTTATGTTGTAACCTAGAAAGGGTTACTGAGTGAGAAATAACCAAAACAGAGGTTTGAAACGAAATGGTAATCTTTATAACATCAACAAAATACAGTACTTGCCAGTGGCATGAAGTAGGTAAACCACTGCTAGTGGTGGACTACTTAGCATATTAACCCCCCCCCACTAACAATAGTGTCCAACATATTTATGTGCATTGGGACATAGCCATTGGTGTTTATAGGTATGGCATATAACAGTTTAACAGCATATCAACTCCTTATAGGTCATTTGAAATATGTTGAAATTTAATTGTTTGGGAGCTTTGAAGTAATAAAATATATGCTATTTTTTTCACAACTGAATACATGGTAGATGATACCCAGCTTTTGTGCATATATTTGTAGATAATTACTAGAGGCGGTGACAGGTGTTTTATGTTGTAGTTTTGTTGAAGTTACAATTTGGAATACAGTTTCATTTGTAGGATATTGTATGGATTAATGCCATGAAAGAGTTCTTTCATGTTTGGTTGATTTTGTTTAGCAGCTTGTCAACCTCTATGAGTTATTTAATGTCAAAATCTAATTATTCTGAACACAATTTTATGGTTTCAATTAAATATATTTTGAACACAATTGCATGCCTTCAACTACAGATAAAATTTATTGTTGGTAATTCTACTATAAAATGTACTGCTGGTCATTTTGTTATAAATATGCATTTATTAATTTTACTAAATAAATGTTTTTATATACTTTCATAGTCTTTTGTTTTTGTTTGTGGAGGAGGGGGTTACTATTTGCCTATAGCTAGGACTCTAACAGGTGCTACCATCCCGGGTCAGGGTGGACCTGGGAACAGCAGCAATTAAGAGGTGGTTCCACACTCCTTGAAACCTCCAGTCTCCTGATCAGAGGCCTTGCTGCTGAATGTAGTTTATTGTCATACCTAGGACTCACTAATAACATTGCTATTTCTTATGGTGAAACAGATTATTATATTCAGTTGACACTTTTACACTTAGAATTCTCCAAGTTCACAAATTGGACAAATCATTTCACTAAAGCATATAAGACATGAAAGAATCATTAATGAGTAGTGCTTGATTATAAGTTTTAAAAGTTTCTATTGATGTAACAAGTAAGTAAATAAATAAATAAAACTTCCTGCACCAGGCTGGGTGTGGTACCAAAATCCAAGAGATTTAGGTTTAGTACTGTGGTGGCATCTATTAAAATTTTGAAAGTATTTTGGTACATGGGTACTAAAATACCAAAATTGTCTCAGTCTTAATTTTGGACCTTTGGTTGCTTGCTAATCAAAATAAAGGAAATATATCAAATGCAAAAAAAAAAGCAAGGGTGTAGATGAAAGGGAAGTGAACTTCTTATCCAGGTATCATTTTTTAAAAACTTTTTCTTTCTTTCAGGATTTTGCAAATCAATTCAACTTTTGGGGTCCCTTTTTTAAGATTGGATCCCCAAGGAATGCATCATCATTTTAGTTTAAAATGATTTTTCTTTTTCTTTGAGCTGGTTGGACAAACCTTGAACTAACTGTAATTGATCTTTAAAAAATCAGTGTACTGGTGAACATTACTTTTGGGATTGGTAACTTATGATACTAAACACCTTAATTTGTAAGTGAAAAAAGTATAGTTTAAAAAAAAAAAAAAAAAGAAAAAAAAAAGGACCTAACATTCTGGCATTATACCAGATACTTTTGAAGCGATTTCCCTGATCTAAGAACTTGATCAAACAAAATAATAAAATTTATGTAGGCACCAGGGAATTGGTGCATAGGAACCATTTTAGTACCTGTATATACTTACTAAAATTTCAGAATTAAATGGACACCACCCACTAGTCATGCTTCCAGTATCTTACTTGCACATCTCTGAATAGTGAATATGAATTTATTTAATGAGGTTGTCACAAGTATACCAGCTGCAGGACATTGGACATGAGAATACAACCAAATATGGATGGTGATTCACTCAAATAGCTCCCGAATATTACAGGTGTAAGAAAATAGCAAAATTTCAAACAATGGTGGCATCATAAATGTCTTTGAAAGTTCGACAGTATTTATGTCGTCTTGGATTTATTTTTGGTACTGGTTCCACTCTGTCTTTTCCATGATATTCATTTGAACATTTCAATTCAACATACAAGAAGACGCATTTAATTAGAAAAAATATCGATATTATTCAGTTCACCGTCGCGGTGAACAAAATAATATCGACATTTTGTGGAAATTCGATCCGTATTGAAAGAAATCGTGCTGAGCAGTAAGAAATGCTTTTTTTTGGTTAAAAAAAAAAAAAAAAAATGCGTCCTTACTCGTTTTTTAAAGATATAAAGTAAAAACTAACCTATGTATAAAAATCAGTGTATTGTCAAAGGTGAAAATGAAAAAGATAAATTATTTGTTTATCTTTTCATTTTCATTTGTTACAAAAATCAAAACTCTGGAGACTTGCTTAGCTTTAGCTAGTAATTGACACAGCTAAAAATGCGTAGAAAGATTCCGTTGCTTCAATCTTACTCTTAGTCTTAAGTGAAGAAGCGCGGGCTTTTTAACTGGGTTCTGGCTCCGACCATTGGCGCTAAGATACTCTAAAAACCTATTTCAGCAACCCAGCGAAACATGTTTGTAAGTTGTATAGTTTAGTTAAGTCTTCTACAAGGCCTTAACAATGGGACATCCAGTAAGAATCGAATTTAAATAATAAAAAAAAAAAACAATCTATCGAATTGGCCCGTAAAACGAGCTTCCAATCATCGTGCCACTATATAGGTGCCCCAACAGAAATTCCAATTCGGTTGAGAAAATTGAAGTCACACAACAAACCAAATTGAGAGAGCTAGCTTTTAAACTCAACGTTAGTAATCCTGGGCTCTAACTCTGACCGTTGATGCCGGAGAGAAAATAGGCAACTGTTTTACTTTCACCAAACCATAAATCATCAGTTCTGAGTTGTACAAAATAATAAGAGTAAGGCGTATACTCAAACTAAAAAAAATAACTTCAAAGTACGTACTGCATAACAATGAAAAGGTGACTGAAATAAATAATGTAATTATTTGTGAACTCAATTTTTCAGTATAACATAACAGATTTTTACTGTTCGGCGCCAAAGACTCAACAGGTATATCGTCAGGTGTGTTCAACAAGGACTTGTTGACTATATCAACATAAATGAAAAACCAACACGTTTAAGTTTTCGACTTTACTGAGTGAATGAGAAGCAGAGTTTTTTTTAAGGGGTCAAGTGAAAAACATTTTTAAAATGTTTACAAATATAAATCATTTATTTTTGTTATTCATTGAATTGAAAGAGAATGCTAATCTGTGAACAATTTTTAAATAAAAAAAAACACAATCTACAACTTAAAAGAAAATAGCCGATTAATTATACAGCTATATCAGTATGACCTCTATTTTACAGTACCTTAAAGCAAGCATTTCGAGAAGTAAAGACCGAAGGTTTGAAAAAAAAAAATAACGCTATGACATTTACTTACATGGTACTGAGGAGTTTCGTACATATAAGTCATTTCACAACCATTCGACTCCACATTAATGAGAATGTCTATTAATCCAATAGTTAAAGCCACAACAACGATCAGAGAGGCGATCACTTTCCACAAAACAAACATTTTTTTTATCCTTCTGGAGTATCTAGAAACCAAAACACGCCGCGAAGACCGCCATTCACAACAAAACCGGTGTTAAAAGCGTGGCTTATCGGTGTTGAGGCTATTATGAATTCCTAACTAATTACAGTTCCGGCAAAGTTGTCGTTATTAAGTCACTTAAAACATTTTTGTCGTTGTTTTACATTGTACAATACAAAGAGTTATTATCTTGGTGTACTTTGGAAAATGTCAGATTTAATTTAAGGGCAGCTTTATAACTTCAGCTCAAAATAGACCTTCAAAAATAACTTTCCGTTTATTATTTATAAAAACATAAAATCGGAAGTTAATGCATGTTGCATATCAAGCAAAAAACCCAACAAACTACTGAATTTCGTATCTTTGCAACATGGGTTCAACAAAGGCTAATTTTTAATGAGAGTTAAGAAGACACATCGGATGAAAAACATTCATGCAATGTTAGGCATATTTTTAGACAAAAAGCACGGTTGACAAATTCGACATAAAACTGGATGTTGCCATTTTTATTCTACTTTTAGTTTTAACGCGGTAATTTTTCTTTTGGGTGAATTTTTTTTTTTTTTTAGCATTCGCTGCAAAGTTTAAAAAAAACTGAATCAGCTAAAATTGCCATTTATTAATTGGTACTGTCACGAGATGCTAAATATTAAAGAGTTTCAGAAAATGTAAAAAGATTATTCAGATAATTAACTTTCTATCACAAAAGCAAAGACATTTAAATTTTAACAACGTAAAAAAAAATTTAAGTATACATCCTAAAATTTAGAAAAGGATTCGCTCCTAATTCTTATGAATTTAGAGTGACTTCCCTTAAGACTTAAGTCTTCTGACGTCACAAAATTTAGTCACATGATCAGTGGGCTTTCAAGATGTCTTCATCGCAATTTGGTTCTCTTCGAGAAGATGTTCTGGTCAACTTGAAGAATGACATGCAGACTGTCGAAAAATTCGACAGTGAGGTCAGTACATTTCTAATGATTATCAATAAGTAGATAATAACTGGAATATATTTTAAGCATGAGACATTTTATTTTAGCAATTAAAGCTGTGCACGCTTTTTAACTGAAGTGAAAGTATTTTTGTTTAATCAATTTAAAAAAAAAAAAACAAACTATCGAGCGAATGTAACCATTTTAAATTTTACTTTACAAAAATATCCTTAACAAAAATGCTTCTGAATATTGGCTTGTTAAACACACAATCTTGTAAAATAAATGTTTATCACTCGAAGTAATTAACAGTTTTATTCTCGGAAAGCCATTGTCGTTAATTTTATTCTGACCATTGCGATGAAAAGCAACAAAAAAATAAAATAAATAAATAATAAAAAAAATAAGTACTCTTAAAGAAGAACTTTAAAAAAATAATCGGCCAACTTTAATCTGCAAAAACTTAAAAATACAATTTCAGTCGCTATCTACTGTCCTCCTATTACGCCTTTTCCCGTTTAATGTTTCTGTTCCTAATTCTTCCACACTCTTTGAACCCTTTTTGTGGCTTTACTGCCTTACATGGGGTGATATCAATTAAAAATAAATAAAAACATTGATATGAAATATGTTGTTTTTTTTTTGTTTTTTTTAAACGCAGTCTGAATGTTGAATAATGCCTGTTTCTAGGCTCTACGGCTCTCTAATTCGTTACCGACTTCTTAAAATGAAAAAATCATTTATGTCTTCACTGCCTTCAGAGATACCACAATACCTAAATTAACATACGGATTAAATAACTTCATATTTCAATCTCGGACATTGTCTTCTTGCTTCTTGTTTGTCAAACAACATTTAGAGTGTTTGTTTCCTTTGACCGCGCCCGCCGCAATTTGCTTTTAGACTTTTGTTTCAGCCGAACCACTGGTCCACTCATTTTTGTTGTGCAATTTTCTTTTTCAAGAAATTGTTTTTTTTTTTTTTTTTTTTTTAAACGTCTAGACAAAATGGCAAATCGCCTTTTTATTGTTTTATTTCTCATTATTCTTGATGCGGTACCGCCCACTGATGTAAAGAAAGAAAGAAAGACTGATGTTCTGTTATGAATGGAATTTAATTTGTCTATTTTTTTTATCTCTTTGTTATTATTGAGAGGGCATCAATCATGGATTTAATAGTTCTACTCTCCAAGTTTGAATAAAAAAATATATAAATTTAAATAAAGACGTAAAATATGTGTGTATCAAAAAGAATGCAAAGTGAAATGATCTAAGGGAGGTAATTCAGTATTTGGTATGCAGAAATCGAAATAAGAGTAAATAAATAAAAAACAAAAAAAAAAAACTAGGTTTATTAAAAAAAAGAAAGTTATTAAAACATGTAATTAAAAAAAACTGGTATAATGAATCCAGATGGGTAATAATAATAAAAAAAAATGTCTTGAATTAAAGTAAAAAGAACAAAATGATTATTGATGGTTTATGAAAGACACATGTATAAAATTTGGTTCTAATCTAAAATGTAAAAAAAAAAAAAAAAATATGGAAATTCTTATGGTCAGAAAACTCACCAAAATAAAGTTTGTGTGTTGTTTAAAGAAATACTGAAGAAAAAATATTTTCTATTGTGTGTCGGTGTTGGGTGATGTTAAAAACCAAAATTTAAATGAAAAATTGAATTCTCAATTAAACTCAAGTTTTACCCGTATACGATCTTTAAATTAATATATTTAAATTATTAAATACACAGGACTAAACTGCCGATTTCGTTCTCGGCTTCTTCATAAGAAAGTAACAACAAAAAAATACTCACTGAAGCAATAAAATTATAAAAACAAGTATACTGTTCACAGATAAATATTTATTTTAACAAATCAAAAATTACATGCATATTGTTCCATATGCTAAGTGGGTAACAAACAAAAATAAACAAAAGGATTTTTACTTACCAAATTAATGTTATCAGTAAGCAGACGACACAACTCAAACATCTTTTCCCCAACTTTTTCTTTACAATAAACAAATCTTGTTATAAAATCATTTAACAGTCAATTCAATTTCTTCAGATTCTTTTGTTTGTGTTCTTTCTTCAAATATTTCTTTTTTTCTTCTTTTAAAACTCTTTTTCACTTCCTCAGGTGCTGAAAGTAAATTATAAAACACAAAGCCTAACCCAGTCTAGAATCTTAAAATATTCTTATTCCATGAAGAATATCCTTTAAAATATTTTAAATCTTATTTTAAAGTAAAGAATGTGAATAAGAGCAGAATTCCCCGCATCGAACGACTCTGCCAGACAAAAAGAAACGTTGACTCTCCGAGTCAACAAACAAATAAATCAAACAAAATGCAATAATTCACCTTAGGGAATTAAATTACTTCTTTTAGCTTTGGATTTTCTACCGAAGCTAACAAAATCTTTTCTTTAAACTTTTTCAAATATAAACAAATCTCAGCTACGGAATTCTACCGAAGCTAATAAAATTTTCTCACAAAGACCTTCGATGCGAAAACTCACCCTCCCCTCTTCCCATCCATAAATAAAACCAGTAATATAGCTCAATATTAACTCTATAAAAGGTAAATAATTCGATATTGTAAGTCGAATTATTAAAGATAACACTTTATTTTACGTGGTAAACTTAATTAACCACGGAGCCAGAATAAAAAACGTCTTAAACGACCGATGATAAATATCTGACTGAGGATAAAATCCTCTGATAAGGAGTCGTCTGCAGCTTCCAATTCCATGAAAAAGAGCGGCAGCAAAAATTATCGTCTGTTTTGCCATCAGACGCGTATTATACAAAATATCAATACATCATCTAATATTTTATCACTGAAGTTATTGAAAAGATTTCTTCTCACTTTATTAATATTCTAAATTTCTGTAGATAAAAATTTTCTAAAATCTTTTTTGTGTTTTTTAACCAATGAGGAAAGTAAATTACACCTATGTAAATTTCAAATTTGGATTAAATCTGGAGCTGATTTGTGGCTGTTTAAGAAGTGCCAGAAAGGTTACAGCTTTCAGATGTGAATGACTGTGGGCTGTTTCTGTACAACCTAGGTCTACAATGATGAAAGGGAAGCAGCAGAGAGAAAAAAAAAAAAAAAACTGGAGATACTACAAGTTTAGAGAGATATACTTTGCTGGAGAATTACCTCAGAGGTCCAAGAGGGCTAGAGTAGTGTAGCCTAAATGTGTGTATAGGATGAGTGAATTGCTAGTGGGGCAAACTGCCTAAGCATTGGTGCTGGAATGACGAGGCACATGCATCATTGAGTCAGATCGAGGCTGGCAGCATGCTCAATATACAAATTCTATGGCTTGGCAAGAATGTATAAAAAAGGCGAGTGTTGAGATGGGAGAAGTCTTTTACTCTCAACACAAATCACATCTGTAACAGTAGCCTTAGCAGAAATAGAAAAACTGCTAAGTGCCACAAGGGATAGGAAGTTGTGAAGAGCCATGATCACCTATGTACTGAAGGAATGTGGTACAAAAAAGAACCACCTTAGCAAAGGGAGGACATCCGTTAAGGGCCAATAGGGGTAGGAAGTTTTGGAGAGCCATGATCACAGTACATAGAAGTACTTTAAGAAAATTTCTTACTTTCATTTTAGCTATCATTGATGTCTGGTAAGTATGGATCCATTCCCCAAGCAAGCACCACCTAAGAGGGATAAAGTCATGAATTCATCCTGACATCTATAGCAGTGGCTGAAGGAATTTGGTTATTATTTTTGGATGATTCTTGTATTAAAAATGATTGTGCTAGATTTTACCTTTGTAAATACATAACCCATTTTTGCCAGTTTCAGTGTTGTAAACAATAAAATATAGGATATGAAGTATATAATTTCTATCTAAATTTCTGGATGAGGAATTTACATTTAAAAAAACTCTGTAACTTCCATGATGAATTTCATATTAACATCAAGAAACCGATTAGACAACTCTAAAAGATCATTATACAACTAAGTAGACACAATATGTCTATATTATACAATGAAACCTGTTTGAATGAAGATATGCTGCCTAAATATGCATATATAATAAATATATATATATATATATACACACACACACCTATGATAAAGCCTAATTCATAAATTTTTCACAATAAGAGTAAGAAAAATAACAAAACGGAACAATTATAACAATGTAATCAAAGTTATGTGACAGAAGACTTCTTACTATACATCTTAGCATCCTCAGCTTAATTTTTTTTTCTTTTTAAGTCAAACATAAAAGAAGCACATTACAGTTCTTCTTTGGTATATCTGAATAGCCAGTATTATTATTGTTTCATTTTGGGGCCATTATTAAGCAAAACTTATTGTTTATATCTGTGTTGAACCACAGGTAACTGAAATTCTGAAAAGTGTGGTGCCACTGCATTGTCAAGATTCAAAATTTATCTTTACAGCAATTCAATCAGCTTGTGCAGATGATTTTCTCATTTCTGGCTGATCCAAGTAAGGTAAGTTTCATGATCATAATTTCTATTTTTAAATTTTCATAGTCTTTAGTTGTACATGTGGTTGAATGAAAGCTAAGCATGTGATTAGATCACATTATTTATGTATATGTATGATTATATGTATGTGTAGGTATGATTATATGGGTTAACCATAAAAATATATCAAAACTATGTGGAAGCAAGAAGTTGTAGAAAGGATTTCACTTGGTTCTTACCACCATTCCATGTGATCAGATGAAATGGGTTCCAGGTTTAATTGAAGCAGAAATCTCATCTTGAGTTTAATCTGTCATTCTTTCTTCAGTCAGCATTTTGAATAAAGTGAAAACGTTTTGAAATTGTATTTAGACAGCCTATTACTAGTTGATGATCACTGAATTATTAACACTAATTGGAGGTGGGGCTCAATATTTAAACTATTAACCAGTTGTTCAAAATTTTAACAACTAGTCTTCAAAAATATCTTTTATTTTATCTGATTTCTCGGGAAAACTCCATTAGACTTAATAATGTTTAATTTGCAAGTTTATTAGCAAACATTTCAAGTATTTCACTAATTTTATATATTTCCTGGGGGGGATTTTTTCATAAGTCCCATTTACAAGGGAGAAGCCTAGCATATAATATTATTATTAGTAGTAGTAGTACTGATCAGTTATTCATTATATTGTATTTATTGGTTTCCTTTTAATTTGTAGTCTTCTCAGCTGTTCAACCAACTTGAAACCTTTGCTGAAGATAACAATGTCAGTCTCCCTGGGTTAAAGAATGTCTTCAAAAGTTTGTTGACCATTCCAAACAGTAAGATTCTTTTTTTTTTATATACAAATTCATAAATTGTTCGAAGGATAAGAATATTGTACTTCAAAGATTATATTTTGTAAAGGACTTTTATAACATTGATGGGTTCTGCCAGAAGAGTTTTCTTTGTTTTGCTTTTATTTTCAGTGAATCATTTTCTGGGTGAATATCAAATCATAAATTGGTGGTCACTGCACTATTGATCTATAGTAAATTCCATCAGAACCATGTTAATAAGCACTGAAATTATTTGAAACTATTCATTTTATTTAATTTGGAAAGATAACTGCCAATGATAAAAAATAAGAGGAATACAAACTCCTATTTTGCTAGTTATGTTATAAAATATATTGGCAAGTGAAGGTTATATGATATAATACTAAGTGAATTGTGTAAACTACAAGGTGTTTCAAAAGTCACATTACCATTAAAAAAAACCCAAAAAACATTGTAAATCTTATAATTATTTACCAAATGGAATAATGTTTCTGTATGTGACAGTATATTATTTATTAAGAAATTTTATTGGTTGAATTATGGAAGATGATGTCATGCAAATTTCCTCTGCTTGCCATTTCACAAATGTATGTTTTCTGCTAATTGTCGCATGGCTTATGGAACACTGTACAATAGTTTGGTTTTGAAATGTAGAATTAATAAAGATGACTTGAAACAAGAATATCTTTATTGCTGCTAAAATAGGAAAATGGGTAATTTTGGTCACCAAAATTTTTACAGGCCAGATTTCCAGAATATGGAGATAAACTTGTTAGAATTCCAGGTGTTATTGCAGGAGACCAAAATCAATTTATATTGTTTAGTATTTGTTGTTTGGTGTTACCTTTTATTTTTTTTTTAAACCTGTTTTTGCAAACTCCACCTAAAATTAGCAACATAGAAATTTAGAGATCTTTCTTTGATCTTATTTCACAGCCAAATAATCAATACCTTACTAAAATGGACATAATCAGCATCGACTCTTACTCCCTTAATTTATTGTTTACAACTCTTAACCAATCAGTGGCAATCATTATGATGGATTTTCTTTGAGTGTTCTTTTTTTGTAAGTTTTGGTACCTAGACATCTATTCAAGTATATGATTGAAGAAAGAAAACTATGGTAGTGGAAGTCTCCAGGAAACCTTTAGATTCATGAACACTCAACAATGCTTAAGAGCTTTTCTTGTCCTTTCTTCACTCAACATAGGTTGACACACCATAAATTAATAAACATTTAATAAATTATTAAAATATGTGAACCAACTATAAGGAAATCCTTATTATTTACCATTCTTTAAAGTTTGAATCAATTGGCAATTAACCAATATTATATCAACCATTCCAATAAACAATCTAATAGTGTTTATTATTTTTGTTGTCAATGCTCAATAATAAAGAAAATGTATAAATTCACTTTCATATCTTTAGGCTTTATTACAATTCTAATCATCGCTTTTTAAAACAATAAACATTACCAAGGTGTGAAGATAATTAAAATAATGTCAATGGAAAAACTGTCCTTTTGACCCTCCATTTTTTTTATTTTTTTTTTTTTTTTTTTTTTTTTTTTGCAGGCACAAAGATTCAAGTTTGCCTAAAATTTAATGTTTGTCCATAGCTTTCACGATAAGTCTTATAATGATGGAAGTATATAGTAAGGAGCCAGTACAGTCATTATCTTATTAGCCCTTTTGGGTGCCATATTTGAATCTCAAGGGTCACAAAGATATGATTTGACTTTTTTTGTTGTTTACAGCAAATATTTTCTAAAAGTCAGACAAAACTAGAAAATCAAAAATATTCATTATATTATTAAATATAACTTCATGATTTTTATCAGATTTTATTGAAATTTATTACAGATGCCTTGAAGAAAGGCTCTACAGCAGCCACATTCCATGAAGAACTTAGAAGTCTTGGTAAGTTACTTAGAAAATTAATTTAGACTCTGTTGCATGTAGATGAAGTAAAGAAAATATAAGTTTGCTTGAAATTGTTTTATGAAAAATTCAATGCTTTAAATTTGTCTAATTCTGTATGATGTGGGGTTGCAACTCCCAGCATCACTCACCAAATGAGTTCAAGTACAATCCTTGTTAGTCACATTATATCAGTACTTGAATTCATATTAAACTTAATAACCAGGCACCAAAGTGCATGAGTAGTGATGCAGACAATATTAACATGCATATTTTACTTTTCTTTCTCTAGCAATTATTCTGACTGTCATTCTGTAAGCGTCTTTTATGTCCGATTCCATGCTCATTACTGATGACTGTAGAATGACAGTAATCATAATGAAAAGCAACTTAAATTATGATGAAAAATACTTGTCAGAAATTACAGATGATTAATCTTGAAAAACAATTTTTTTTATTATAAACGTATTTGGCCATTATGGACAGTAGGAAGCATAATATTTTTGAACTGCTTGCATATTTAGTTCATTTATATACTTGTAAAACCTACCCTGTTCAAACTTCTATAAACTTTCTAAAAAAAATGAATCTATCTAATAAGGTTTATTCACCTTATGACTTAATTTAGAACTAATATATCATGATTTCTTACATATTTTTTTTTTATCTTCTTGTCACATCTTGTCACTTCTTGACCCCCTAGTGTAGTCCATGCCTTGCTTATAGTTTGTACTTTTACTTTGTTGATTCTTTTTTTCTATCACTAGGATTATCAGAAGAAAAAGCAGATTATTTCACTGAGCAGGTAAATTTGTTTTTTTTTCTTCACTTTTTAAATATTTAAAAATCATTTATTGTAATCAGTGTGACAGCAAATACTTTTTTTATAAAAGTATTGAGAAAACTATCCAATCTTTTGATTTTTCATTATTCTTGCTTATTCTGTATTCAATGTTGAACCTACAGAAATAGATTGCATTTATGATATAGGTTGTTTTACATTATTTTTATGCAGTCCTTGGGTATGACGATAAACTACATCCAGTAGCAAGGCCTCTGACTGGGAGATTGGGGGTGGGGTTGAGGAGCCTGGAACCACCTCTTAATTGCTATTGTTCCCAGGCCCACCCTGACTTAGGGTGGTAACACCTGTTAGGGTTCCAGCTATGGGCAAATAATGAAGGCCTGGGTACCCTACTTCTGTAATTTATCCCAAGAATCTTCTTCTCATAACAGGAAGAAGCCGGCTCAATCCGCACAGTAAATAATGAACCCCCTAACCAAAACACTATGAAAATAAAAAATGCATTTTTATAGTAAAAATATCAGCAATACATTTTTATATTAAAAAAAAAAACCAAAAAGGCAGTAAATTTTATCTGTGGTTTGAAGGCATAATATTGTCTAATATATTTAGATTTTGGCATTAAAAAGCCTACAGAGGTTGATATGCCACTAAACAAAATCAACCAAATCAACTTATTTTTACAAATGCATAGATTTTTAAAATATTACTCTGCATTTTAAAGTATTACCTTTTTATATTAAAATGTGATGATTTACTTTAAAATAAAGTCCTGGTTATATTTGCATTATTTGACAGGTTTATTTTAGTCTTTTACTTATGTTTTTGTATTGTCCTATTTGACAATAGGGTCTCTGTATCAATTCTTGTAAAAACAGGTTTCCAATATCTTCATAGTGTTGTTGGTATTAGAAATAGCACAACTTGCTGTTCTTATGATTGCTAGCAGCCCTCACTTTAAGAAAGAAAGGTTGAACAGGAGGTTTCCTTGTTGAAAATTATCAAACCTCTTCAGCTGTATAAAAAAAGCAGGAAAGAAGAATCAAAGTGCAAATACTTTTTATGTTTCCAGGCCGGCCAGGTTTACATAAGTACTTGGTGATGTGCTCTTAGTTATTTGCATTATTTTCTTTTAATCATGTCCTTTTATCCTTTTGTATATTATACAAAGCTACATATCATTACACTTATAGATTCATCTTCTCACACACTAATGAGAATAATTTTTGTGTCCCTTTATTTTAAAGGGTAATTGAAATTACATATTTCTTGATATTCCAAAAATGGAATATATATAAAATTAAATATAAAGGATAAAAACTAAAAGATTTTCCTTATCTGTTATCATCAGTGAAACGTGTATAAAAAGAAGATTGCTTTCCAAATATATATATATATATATAGGATGTATCAAAAATACTTTTACGAACTTTGGGAGCAGGTTCATCAAAACAAGGACAAGGATGTGTTCTGATACCTGGATTGTCTGTAGAATGTGTTCAGCATTGTCAGGCATATGACTGGACCTTGCTCTTTCCCAATCCATAGTTTGTGGTGCCATGGATCCTGTCTCAGCAATGCGACAATAAACAGCAGCAAAGGTTGGATGACTCATCTTCCTTCAGACTGGGAATACAATCTGATACAGTGGTGCAGCCTCACTTCCATTACCATTTGCACAGTGGTATGTAAAAATCATATCTGCCTGCTCACAATATGAATATCCTGCCATTGTTAAACAAAACACTTCTCTGTTAACTCACTATGACACACATTAGACATTGAAGACAGGCTACATGAATGACAAATGTAACTTAGTGTATATAGTAACACAGCACCATCTACTGTAAACTTTCTTTAAACTTAACTCAAAAACAAAGGATTTGCAGACATGTTTATAAGGAATTTCGTCCTTGTTTTGTTGTGAGAACCCCCCACCACCAAAGCTTGTAAAAGTATTTTTGGTAAACCCTCTGTGTGTGTGTGTGTGTGTATGCATATATATATATATATAAATAAAATGTATGTATGTAAAATTTGTCACTTGGCTGATTGATGTTATTTCCAGCATCTCAACACTAGAGTTTCATAGGCAGACCCTCCAGTAATCACTCCATCCACTCATCATGAGCTACCAGTAATAATGTGTGTTAATAGGATCAGAACTAAAGTCGAGAAATCAAACAAAGTGGAAAAAGCTTTTTACTGACAATGTGTTTCACCTCATTAATTTGTCAATTGGTCTTGTGTTAAAAAATTTGCCCTTGCATCTCAAGTGCCAGTTTGATGATGTTCATTAACTCATCTAGTGAGAAGACCTGCAAAATCCATGAAGTAAATGAAAAAATTACCTTGCCAAACAAAACACCCATATGTAATCTGTCAAAAATTGTCATAAAAAAAACTTGGATTTTTATAAAAAAAAAAAAGAAAAAAAAAGCTTTGGCAGCTTATGCAAATTTTCATTTGACCAATTTTTGGTGGCCTGTGAATATATAAGCCTTTTGAGAGATGAGGGCATGTTTTGCCTTGTATGCAACTTGTAGCTACTTTTTCTGACACTTGCAATTTTTGAACTTGTTAACATCTTTTTGAAACAAGCCACAATGTCAAAGTAAGCATAAATGCTAATGTCTTTTAAAAAGACATTTCTATGTCATGCTATGAAAAGCAGCCAGTTCTCTCATGTTTGCTTGTTAGATTTTTTTTATATATTTTTTTAATTGATAACCAATTGGCTTTTTGTAAAGTGACTGTCTTGCCTATTTGTTCTTCTCAGATGCATCAACTTGTGTGAAAAGCTTCATATTTGTATCATTAACATTTTGAGACTTTTTGATTGATTTTGTAGAAAGGAGAAAAAGATTGATAGCAAAATTCACAAAAGATCGAGTTCTGATTTCATTTCCAAACTCCCCTACACAAATGAAATGCTTTAGATGTATATCATTTTCTTAATTTAAATCTAAACATTTTAAAGAAAAACAGTCAGATTTTACAATTTGAATTAAACTAGAGATTAAGATTTAAAGATTTAAATTGTACTCAAGATGGTCAAAGAAAATATCTTAACTTTGGAATCTCTTTTATAGAATGAATATTGCAGATTTTGAGTTAGATTTATTGTAACTGTTTTGTTCTTTAAAGTGGAAGAAAAACATGGCAACTCTTTCCTCCATGGCTCTTGGACAAACTTTGATGGTAAACCGACTTGTTGATGTTGACTGGAAATTTGGTGGTGAGTGTCTTGATGTTACTCTTTTTTCTTCACCTTATTTGTATAAATAATCTTATGAAGCTCATTACATTTTACACCTCACGATACTTGCCTTGAGACATCATACACTTCAAGCATCCCTTCCACTTTTGAAAATGGTCTACAAAGTCCTATTTTGGGATTGCTATCATCTGTCTCATTGCATTCTTTTCCACAGTCTGAAATCTTTCAACAAGGAAATCTTGAAAAACTGGTTCTCATATGATTACTGAAGTTAAGCAATGTCAACCCTGGTCAGTGTGTAGATGGGTGATTGCTTGGGAATAGCAGTTGCTGTAAGCTTGGATGTGCGGTTGGTGTAATGGGTAATGTCTTGGAATTGAAAATCAGAAATCCAGGTTCTATTTCAAGTCTATTTCATTATATTCTCTTAGGTGCAAATACCTTTGTGAAAGGTATGAATCCACCTTTTCATTCCTTGGCCATCCCACCATGGGTTAATTAATAGGACTTGTAAATAATTTTTATCTCCAAAAAAAAAATTCTTGCAATGTAAAACTATTTGCTGGCTTTAAATAACCTGCAAAAGGTTGATAAATTGTAAAAAAAAAAAAAAATCAATCAATAAGGAAAGCCAAATCTGGATTGTAGGTGGGCTGACAAATCCAGAAGATGGTCATTTACTCCCCACTCCCTGCATAAGATATAAAGAATCTACTTCCTCAGTCATTGTGAATGTTTGTAGTCCCACACTGCTCAAGTTCATTCAGTGGTATTTCATTGCTGACTGAGTAACCTCATAGGAGACTCTGTTCATATATGCACTGTATCCGATCAGTGACCTCATTACAATCTTTGTTTTTCACTTGTGTCTCCAAATTGTCTTGAATTATTATTTGTGTCACTTATTTTTAAGGGGTGATTTTTTATTTGGCCACAAATGTGGCACAAAGTCAAGGTTTAAAGTGGGTTTAACAGCAATACCTTGGAAAAATTGCTCAGTGTGAATTTGAACTTACTACTCAATTGTAATTGATCTGGTGAGACAAGCTTGCTAACTATTACACCATGTCGATGGGCCCATCACTTTTTTTTAAGCACCTGGATGTTGTTTACTCTGTGCCAACCAAATCACATAAACCTTTGCTAGGCATAAATGGAAAATACATAGTTGGTGGTGGGTATATGGAATTTGTTTGTTAACAAGGTGGGAAAATTGCACTATTTTTAGCACTCTTATTACAAGAACTGTGAATATGTGATATGAAAAAGCTTAAGACATCAGCTTCTCCAGAACAAAGAAATGTCTTGCTAAATATTTCATTAGTTGGTTCAAAGTGGTTAAATTAGGAAAAAAGAATCCATTTTGTTAATTTGGATTAAAGATTTTTTTTTCCAATTACTTGTATTTTATAATGTTTAAGTTGGAAAAATCTTTCAATTTTGATTTGATAAAAATATGATTCTGTTTATCTTGGCTTTGTGAGTATTGATTCATTTTTGGTGATTGTCTTTTTAGTGACCCTTGCCAGCAGTGAAATTACCAAAGTAGGAAACACATTTGTACAGGTGAGTGTCACAGTTCAAATATGCACTGAACTCTGTCTAAACATAATTTCTTTCTATAATATTAGTATTTACCATACATGATAGCATATAAACCTTTCTTTACACCTCTCTACCACCACCCACAAAAAATTGCTCAAAAACATCTCCCAGGTCAGTCTAAGAGTGTACAGATACTACACTGGTCTTACTCAGAGGACCTAGGATTGACACTTTAATCCCAAGAAGAGAGTGAAAAGATATACTGATCCTGGACTGAAGTGCTGATACATAAATAAATCTGCAATTTTTGATGGGTGTTCTGCTAGTTTTTATGTATTTTGGTCATAAACTGATTATATTTGGGTGGGGGTGGTAGCAAGTATCTATGGTTAATTTATTTTCAATCATTTGATCAATTTTAATATCTCTTTTTTTTTTTTTTTTTTCCTCTCTCTCTGTTTCTCTTTTAGCTTAAACTTGTGCTTAGCAATGGAACTGGAGAACTGAAAAATTCTTACATGGGTAAGTCACTTTTTGATTATGATTCAGTTATATAGGCTTCACTTGTACAAGGCTGAACACTTTGATAGAAAGGCATTGTTTTGCTTTGTCAAAGTTTTATGGTTGACTGCAGACTTTGCTTTATTTGGCTGTAAAATGAAGAGAGCTTAAACAATAGACTGTTTCTTGGTCTCTGACTTCACAAATGCTTAATTTATGTTTCCTGGCCATCTCTCATAGGCATCTGACAACGTCATTAGTTGATTACACAAACTTTTAATTCTGCTAAGCAACTGAATTTAAGATGGAAGAAATATTAGTCAATAATAATATTACTGTTAATAGTACTAGTATATATAAATAGAACAATAACATCAAATATGGTAGCCTTAAGCAATTGGAGTGGGGATAAAGTTTCCTTCTTTAGTGCCACCAGTTCTAACTTTCATAACTAGGACCCACCATACCATATACAGTGGAACAAACCATTTTGTATTTTCCTTTTGTATTCCATTAGTAAGAAAGAAGCTTCACTCAGATAGCTTCTTCCCAAGTACTGCTACTTTGTGGAACAGACTCCCAAGAGGATACTTTCCCAACCACTACAATCTTAACCTATTCAAGTCTCTGGTTAATTGTTATATTTTCCACATATCCTCATATGCTGCACTCCTTGCTTATCACTCATGCAACAACTTTATTCAGTAACCCTATACTTGAGTGGCTCTTGGGCCTTATATTGGGTAAATATTAGTAAAAAAAAAAAAAAAAAAAAAAAATAAATATAGTTTATCTTTTGCCAATTCTTAAGCTCTTGTAGTTCAATTGGTTATAGCAGTTATCATGGTAAGATAGTCTTCTTGAAGCAAAAGGGAGTTTGATTCATTTTGAAAAGTTTTATTTATTCCTAATCCATATTGTTTACTGATAGCCATAAAGTAACACTATAAGCAGTTGCTATAAAAAGTAACTGAAATTAAGATGTGGATTATAATAATTAATAAGATGATATTACTATTAGCCTGTATAAATAATATGATAGCCTTGAGTAATTGGGGTTTGGGATAAGGAATTAATATATATGGTTAGATATGATATTCAAATGATTCTTAAGCCCTTTTAGCTCAACTGGTTAGAGCAACTGTCATGGTAAGATAGGCTTCCTGAGATCAAAGGGAGTGAGTCTTTCTGAAAGCAGTTTCTTTATTTCTGTTTCATTATGACCATAAAATGGCCGTCTAAACAATTTGTATAAAAAGCAAGTGAAATTAAAATGAAATACTAGTCAAACATTAGTTATGGTTAAAAATGTTTTAATAAAAATTCAAGAGATTGACACCACTTATGTTGATTAAAGGAAGTTGTATCAGTGATATAAAAGGTTGTATGTTCAATTTTTGGTTCAAGATTTGTTCATAACGTGCCAATGGTGGATATAAATACATAAGGTAATCAAAAAATAATTTTTTGGTTTCTTTTGACTTTAAAAATATATGCACAATATTTAACTAGAATTTTTTTTTTTTTTTAAATCAGTATTGATATATTTTTGAAATATGAAAGTGATTGTTGGCCTGCATTTTCATTTCTAGAAAAAAAGAAAATATTTGAAATTGAAATGAAGATAAGAACAAGTCATAAAAAATATTTCTTTTAAATTTGTTCATTTTAACCTTTAACACTCTGCATACTTCACATGCATTACTTTTGACACTGCCTCCTCAACTGCAGTGGATTCATTCTGAATTTCAAACAAGGTGATTTTCACTGTTGCTACAGCAGGACATTATAATACAACTTTAGGATTCAAATATAACATTTGTTTAGCAAGTGGAGTCACCTACAATTGTAGGACAAGCATTTTGCTTTGGGAATAGATCATCATGAGAGTGCTAATAATTAATGGAATCAAATTTTTAGTCAAATTATTTTTTGTAATCTTCAGTTAAATCTTACATCAAATCCTCTTATCATAGTAATACTAAATTTATTATTTACTAGCAGCCATACCCAGCTGGTTGATCAGAAATTAGAATGGAGCAAAAACAGCATCATGTTTAGATGTAACAGTGTCTATCTTCTTCAATTACTTTAAAGTACTTTCATTAAAAAACATTTTGAATTAATGCATTTACCGATATAACAGAAGTAGTCTGTATTTATTCAATCGAAGTTAGCCAAGGACATGAAGGGGTAAAACAGGCAACATGAAGACCTGCTTCAGACCACAATTATTTTGGAGTTTTTGAAATTCAATTTGTCTTGTGTACTACCAGTGATGTGAAAGAGGATACATTTATAAAGCAATTGTTAAGTTTGATGAAAATTGGTTGAAAGATCAATGAAAAATAAGAAACCAGTAAAAATTTCTGTTTTTCACTATTTATGCAGGTTTTCACTAAGCAATCAACTTATTGTTGGCTACAATTGAATGAAGTTTGTATTAGATCGCTTGAAAATTGAAGTTTAAAATTTTTTGTGGTTTTTCACTAAACACAGTGGCGTAGAAATAAAAAATGAGGTCTTGAGCTCATCATGATGTAAGTAACTTACATACCTAGTTTGAATAAGGAAAAAAGTTGAATTTATCAATTTTTGATCAGCTTTATCGATTATTGATTTTTTTTGAAAATTGACTTTTTTTTACACTAAGAACCTATCTCTTACATTGTATGTGCCAAGTTTGGTCAAAATCAGTGGGAGGGATCTCGAGTGAAAAAGTACCACACACAGACATCCTGTGTTGTGTGTGTGAGTGAGATATATATATATATATTTTTTTCTTTAATGCTAGACACTGTAACATTTTATTTGTTCACCAACATTTTTTGATTACTACAATTTTGTCCATATGGTGATGCATTTAATATCCAATTTCAATTGCAGATTTCAGTATGGGTATGTTTAATTCAAACAGATGAAATCTTTTTTTTTTTTCAATTCTAAATGTCATCTTAATTCAGTTGAAATTATCTTGGGCAAATTGAAGATGAAGTATTGACACATAGATTTGTTCTTATGTATGCCCAGATATATGAATATCTAAAAATTTGCTTTTTATAATTTATAATGCTGCTAATTAAATATTGAACTTTTCTATTTCAGAGTTAAGCCTCCAGCAGTTTTATTCTTTCTTACATGAAATGGAAAGAGTCAAGGCAAGCCTGGAGATACTGAGCTGATGGAAGAAAAAGAGAAAAAAAAATGTTTACTAGTCTGAGAAGTCATTTTATTGTTATCTTCATAAAACAGGAAGGATACGGCCATGAAATGTCAGTCACTTACCAATCTTCTCCCTGATCTGCTGACTTTGGCCCGTTGCCATGTCTTTCCTATTTGTTCCTATAAAATCATATGTAACAATTCTCATCATTCATGATCATTTAATAAATTATCATTCCACACCAAATGCTTGTAAAATCTTTTTAAAAAGCTTTATATCTGATATTATCAAGGTCTCTTGACATTCATCACTGTAAAATGACTTTATTCATAGTTCAACCAGCAACATTTGTGTCACTTTTTTTTCTTCATCATTTCACTCCAAGCAAGGCAATAAAGCCACTAAGACACAAGGGATTACTGTGTGTGAAAGGATATAAGTAAAAGAAAAACATTATTAAGGAAGGTGAACAATAACAGAAAAAGTATTAAGAAGACAGAAGATACAAATCTTTTAAAAATTTAAATGCAAACTTAACTAGAAAGTTCCATAGTGTAACTGGGTGTGAAAGATAATGTGAAGACTTTAGAGGAACCAGAAACTCAATCCTCAACTGGAAACAAGGGATAAAACTCTACTTCTGGTTCAAAAACAGGGAAGTAGTGTGAACGGGGCCATAGGCAAACCTATCTACTTGTAATAGTGACAATGAAAATATTTGTAGAAAAGGTAGAAGATATATGGCATGACTGGAAAGAAGTTGGCTACCATTCCAGAGAACAAAATGATTAGCTGCAGTGCTTGTTCAAATCAATCAAATAAAATTTTTAAAAAAGCAATTAAAATCAAAGATTTAACAGAAATGGCATAGTATTTCATCAGTCCCCTGCATGTTTCTTTGGTGACCAAGCAATAATTGTCATAGTTTAATAGGAAAGGTTTTATTGCAAAGGATCCATCCTTGAAGCTGCTTGAAAGATGGTAGATAACTGAATGATGAAAGAGAAGAAATTCTATGTAACAGATTTTGTCCCTTGAAAAGACCTCACTTGGCCAAAACAATGTTCTCAAAGATGGAATTACCATATTTTAGGGAATGTAAGATGCATCCATATTTTGAAAACAGTTTTGCCAGGTGTCTAATGAAAATTGAAATATTGATTAGGTAATTACCAATGTTAACGGCATTAAGCACTCTGATTGGTGACATGCATTTCACATTTGAAATTCATACGATTGTTATAAAGAACACAATCAAGGGAACTAAACTATTCATAATTGTTTTTTTAAAAAAATATTATCGCAACACCAAAATTTCCATGTTTCAAAACTGAAACGTCAATTTAAATTCAATCATAAAAATTAGACTTAAAATGCAAAGTTCCATTCCATCATCAAGCGATGCTAAGAATAACTTTTTAGAAATTGATTTACTTAATTTATAAGTTCAGACCACTCTGATATTTTGAGATGTTGGGGTTATATATATATATATATATATATATATAAAAAGGGGCAAAGGTCCATGTATGCACTGCATGCCTTACATTTTTTCCCAGGACAAATCATTTTGTGTAATATGAAATTAATCATTGATAATTTTCACTATCCTCTTTGTACTTGTATTTTTGTATTTCCCAATTCTTAGGTTAATTGTCACAAGCAATATTATTTAGGGTAAGTAGGGAAAATGCTTGTTTAGCAAGAAAAGATGCAAGTAAAAAGCAATGAATTTATTAGCCTTTTTAGTAAGGAGTATGAGAGGCAGTCACTGAAAAGTAGAAATTCTTTTTTTTTGTGTTAGAAAAGACTGTAGGTTTAGCCTTCCCTGTTTTATTATTCCCTTTAAGCTGGGTGCATAAAAAAGAGACAGAATAATAAAGTTGGAGGGGGGGGTAACAGAGAGAAAGCTACCGAAAAAGCAAAAATTCTTGTGCTTGCTTTCCAGCCGAAGTGATGAGGTCTATTTTCTGTGATTAAAATTTCATCCATTTCAATGCTTAAAATTTAATTTTAAATGTTCAAAATTATTTTTTTAAAATTATGCAAAAAATTTGATAATATTGCATTTCATTAAACATGTTAAATTTTGTCAAAGGACATATTTAAAAAATTCACTGCAATACCTAATTTTAAAATTAAATTTAAAGTATTTAAATTCAAATTTCATGCATTAATGTTGGTTTTATTTTAAAGATGGAAGGTGGAACTTTATCTTGGGTAATTAAAACAATATTAATTTAGTTTATGTCAAAAAGGGTATCAAGTCTGGAGTGGATCCTCTTGGTAGAAGTGTATTTTCTCACATTAAAATTAATTCACACAGATGGTTGGGCAGGGAGGCAAATAATTTTCCAGGGGCACAATGAGGCTCTCTTTTTTTTTTTTTTTTTTTTTTCTCCACCTTAATGTTTAGCTTGCATAATGGACTGCATACCCTGGTTCCCAAGTTTTGGGGTGGAATCAACACTGGCTTTATAGTCAGTGACTCAGAAATGACTGCTACAAAAACTGTGTGGCCTTTTTCTAATTGGTTAGAAAAGATCTTTCATGACTGGTATTTTTGGATGGTATTCCAGAAGTGGATACATGGAGTTGGACAAAATTAAAGTCTTGTTTTTGCCATATGTGCTGTGGAAGCCAAAGTGAGCACTTTTGTTTGAATTAAAGAATTGGAGTTTTTGATAGGTTATGACACATACATTAAAATAAGCGTTCAGTCCTTTTTTTTTTTCTTATTTGAAACTGACTTCTAAAAACCTTTCAAGATTATGAAGAGACTACTATAAAATAACCTGTAATGAGTTTTACTTATTTGTATTAACTTTGAACAGAAGAAAGTATTGTTATTAACTATTACTGCTTATTGCAAACACTTAATGTATTGAATTTTATTTTATTATAATTTTTTCATATTTTTTTTTTCTTGTTCTTTTACTTTTATTCATTGGAAATTATTTAGAGAAAGTTGTGCTTTTTAATTTGTTTAGAATTTATTTTTAAACACAGTGGTGGATACTCAACAAATGTACATTTGTTTTAAAATATTAACTGTTAATCAATACAAGTCTTATTAATTTTTTAATCACATTTACTTTTATCTAAACTTTTTAGTTGCATTTTTTTTAAATCACAGATTTACTTAGGCTGTTGATTCTAAAGCAGTGAGTAGGCATATGCATTTTAGAAAAACATTTGTTTTAGTTTGTGCACTCATTGTTTGATAAAAGCATTCTTTTTTTTTCACATGATAAAAAACACTGGTTATAAAATAAACAAATGATTTATTTTGACATACTTTTAAAAATTTTTTTTTAAATAAAGAAAAAACTAAAATACGAGGAAACCAAACATGAAATTGAATTAGACATAACAATTTCATTAATTCTTGATAATTCTTTCCCCAATTTGCAACACATTACTTTAGTAAAATTACATAATAATTGTCTTATTCTGTCAATAACTCTTGTATTAATTCTTAACCATTGACAATCCTCTTGTCCTGATTTTCAATGCATTTTTATAGCCAAGTCACTTACAACACATTTTTCTATACATACATACAACCCTACTCTGTTAGTAACACTTGCATTCATTCCTAATCACTAACAATCCCTTCCTTCATGTTCAACATTGAAAATTTATATAATTTCTGGTTTTAAAAAATCCTTAAATTTTCCCCTATCACAAGAAATATTTACTCTTGATGTTAAAAGTGGCTGAAACTAAGTAAGGAACAATTGGGCATTAATATAAAAAAAAAAAAAAACTCATTCTTAGCTGTAACAGGTTCAAATGCAGTCAACTATTATGTAACTGTGATTATCATTTCATTCACCCAATCCCCAACTGTCAGAAGTTGTGCAGTGGATATGTCTGAGACAAGAATTCTTGACAATACTCCACCTCTTCAAGTTGGTTTTGATTTCTCCTAGATTGTCTGCCAAGTTTTCTTTCTTCTAGACTGGTTGTCATCTCAAGGCAAGAGAGCTGAGCCTGTCCTGCTATTCCATCCATAGTAAGAAGGCAGATTCATACCTTTTGCAATGGAATTAGTACAAAAATAAACAGCTTGAATATGCAAGCCGCTAGATGTAATACAGTTTAATAAATAGAATTGAGGTGTCTATTCCAAATATAAAGTAAGTAATGCAAATGTCAGATTAGAAATAAATCCATTAATTCTTTAGACATTATCTTTTATAAATTCACTTAAGACCAAATTAACTAAATTATCTGTGTCCCCCACCTTACATCAGCAGAATAAAACACATGTTAATGAACATTTAACAGCCTTTTATTTATTTATATAATATATATATATATATATATATATATATATATATATATTACTAACAAATGTGGTTTACAACATTATCAGTAACATTCTATTTGCATAACAATTTTTTTAAAGCATATTTTAATAATTACTTCATGTTATTTATTTTTAATTCAAATTTTTTAAAACTGATGATTGACATTACATTTGAATATTTGAAGATTATAGCAATCAGGGAAGCAAGTAAGAGGAAGTGAGTTCCATTATCAGGAAGTGTGAGATAAGAAGCTGTTGGACATTTTAAAAGAAACAAATATAATCTTAGCTTTTAAAAGTGAGTTTTTTTTTTTTAAAATCTTTTTAGAAGTGAATGTAATTAATTTTTTAAGATATTGAAATTTTTATAAAATTCTATAATTTAATTTTACGTAATGTTAGTCATGCTGTTATTTCCTGCAGTATTCATAGTAACAATTGTTGTCATCTGACATTTCACATTACTACATATTAGTTCAGTGATTTTCATCCAGTGTACCATGGCACACTGGTGTGACATGAGAGTATCATATGCGTGCTGCGAAATGAGTGTACATATCAAAATTAAAACCCCTTTAAATTGATTAAATGACAAAAAATTGCAATTAAAATATTCAAAAGATATTACGTCCTTTTGGTTCTTCCTTAAATTCAAAAGTATTAAAAAAAAGCAATAGAAATACTTTCCAAAGTCATATTTGTACAAAGCAAGCATTTGCTGCAATAATATTTAAAATCAAAAATCTAAAATCCTTAGAAGATTAAGGGTATGCCTGTCCAAAATTCAACCCTGCAAAGAAGATATTCTAAAAAAACATCCAGCACAGGTATCTTATTAAATGTTAAATTAATGAGCAGAAAAATAAATGTATGATTTTAAGAATTCTAATAATTCTAATAAATTGTTGTTGTTTTGTGTGTGTGTATGTGTGTGTGAATAAATAAATCAGGAAAAAGGATACTATATTTTTTTTTTTTATTACCATGATTTAAGTGTGCTTAAAATGGTTAAAAAGATTGTATTAGTTGAATGGAGCTGAAATTTTTTTTTTTTTTACCAAATCATTTAAAGTCAAAATAATCTCTTTAATTAGAATTTCTTAAAGCTGTACTGAATTATTTAACCAATTGAAAAAAATAGTCATTTTTCTGAATTAATTATTATTATTAATACAAACATTATAAGATTATTCAAAGGTTTTGTCCACAGTCAGCTATGTCCAAAATAAGAAATTCCTGCAGAGTTTAGAAAATGGTTATCTTGTTGAAAACGTTTATGCAGAAATATTTAGAGAGGGAAGAGAACTTTGACAACAACTTTTCTCCCACCGTAGGATAGGTATTCAGCTAGTTTTATAACAAAACTTTGAAGAAAATTAAGAATAATTTCATAAACAAAAATAAACATAACACAATAGAATTATTTTATCATAACCAAATGCATCACAATTGTGAAACAGCCATCAAAAAATATTCTTCACAATTGAACATGATAAATATAAGATATGTAAAGTATAAAATAAAATTTAATCTTATTTCTAATTATTGTTATCACAAAATCAATGTTAAGCCATTTTAATACCATTTATGAATATTTTGCCTCTTAAGAGATTGTCTATCTTGTGTTTGATACACATCTAATTCATATGTTGGCCATACAACTATGACTTTGTCCCATATATAACTTTCCCAGTCAGAATGTAATCTAATTATATTGATGAACATATACCAAACAGTTGTCAATAATATTTGCATATTATGCAATGTCAACTGATATTTAAAAAAACAATAAAAGAACTTCAGATTCTTGGTTCATTAAAACAGAGAATCCAAAATAAAGCATTTGAAGTTTTGTATTTCACAATTGAATGAATTTTACTTCTATGTTGCCTTGTGAGTAATATTAAATTCCATAATGGAAATATTTAAAATTTGAGTGTTAAAAAAAAACAAAAAAACAGTAACTATAATCAGTTTTTGTCCACAATTATTATTAAGGTCTTGATCTATATATCACAAAATGTCTGGATTTTTAAGATGGCTACATGAATAGTTTAAAGCATTTGGTTAGGAACTTATTGACCCTATCCTTCAATGAATTCACTTCTGTGAAAATAAAAGTAAACTCAAATATTTGGCATTTAATAAAATTTGTATTATATATATAAAAAATACAAATTTTATGTATTTTTTATACTTTTTATAAATTTTTTATATTTTTGTATTTTATGTACTTGATGTACACCTGTTAGGCTGACCTATATGTGAACCCTCTCACTCATGTTGCATTATATCATCACAACATTTAGTAAAAGAGAGATACTATATAATGGCATACTATAATGCCATTATAAATACCAGTAATAAACTTATTTGTTATTGTTATTTTGTTACCTCTTCTACAAAAACTACACATTACATTCATTCTTTACTTTTACACTGTTGATTTCCTTACTTCCACTTTGGTAACCTAAGCTTCAATTGTTGCATGTGTGTGTGTGTATGCATGCAAAATGTGAAACATCCTTAGATAATGCAATACTAAATATTTATGTGCAAAAATGAAACCAATAATTTAAAAAAAAAAAAAAAAAAAAAAAATGTTTTATCTGAAAAAAAAAAAAAAAAAAAAAAATTTTTAAATCCCTACCCATATATAATGGTGAAAATGGAGCTATGTTCCTAAAAGCTTTTTGAGAAAGAATTTTACAAAAGTTCTAAAGAATATTAACAAGACACAATTTCCAGGGAGCATTGTATAAATATTAATTATAGTAATTTGTATTTTAATGTACATCACATTGATAAAGAAAATCAGTCACTATTCAAAAGCGACTCAGATTTCAAATTCATGTACGAAGAATATGGAGTTCAACTGAGCTGTTAAATATCTTAAAAAGATCCCCTGATAAAAATGTAAAACAACTGTCATGGTACAGCATTTTGATTAAGGGATTCAATGTATCAAATGAACAGCTCAACAAGAGTGAAGAAAAACAATGGCCACAAATGCCGATCTGGGTTTTACAGGGAGCACAATTTTGAAAGAGATTTTTGAAGAGCATTTATCTGAAGTTGAGGTAGTTCTGTAGGATTTCGGGAATATCTAATTTACTGATAAGATGATAGTTCTTGATGCACTGACGAATGCATTTGCGAGCATAAAACATCAATGACTGTGGTGTTCCTAAAAAAGAAAAACAGTAATAAAAAGGATTATTTCTTTAGAAAGAAATGTATTGCTATAAAGAAAAAAGTGCAAAAAATCATGTCTTTATCAAGTGTGTGTATATACATATATATATATATATATATATATATATATATATTAGTATTTAATCATTAACAAGCAGAGATGTTGCTAGGGAACTAGTTTTGTCTAAATAAAAGGACAGACACTTCATTTTATTTGTATAGATCAGTGTTTCCCAAATTTTTTCAGCCCAGAACAGCTTCCAGATAGAATCTTAGCAACCCCTCTCCCCATATGCACATGCAAGCTTTTTTTTTCAAAGTGAAAACAACAATATTAAACAAAATATGTGTTGAAAAATACTAGTTAATTTATTAAAACATTTTATTTAGTTTTCACAATTACTCCTAATGGGATGGAGTGTACTTGGTGTAGGGATATTAGTTTCTTCACATCAGGCTGGAAGTCACTAAGTCATAGATCCCCATGTTTGGTAACTTTAAGTCTGTTCCTTTGCTTGGAAAGAAGCAAGGCAACTGCACTGAAGCTCCATTCTACCAAATATGATGTTGGAAAGACAATAAAATATATCTTCATCTTGTTCCATAATACTGGATAGAAGTCAGAGATTTTTTTTTGTAACTGAAAATCTTGATATGATATCTTGAACTTTGGCCTTAGCTCTAAACTAATTTTTCCTCTGTTTCCTCACTGCTGACATCTAAGAATGGATTGATTACCCAGTTTGGTATTTTAAGATCCCAAAATCTTTCAGACATGTTACTTTGAAGCTCTTTCTGGTGAGCATAATATACTTGAAGGTCATCATCTGATATGCTCTTCTCTTTATCCAATTCAGAGAGGTTTGGAAACTGGTAGAGTTCATGACGGGCTAAGTTTCGTTTGAATAAATTACACTTAGACAGCAAGGTGGAGATAGAAGATTTGACTTTAATAAGGTTCACATCATTTCCTTGCAACAGCAAATTAATTTCACTGAACTTTGTGAATATATCTGACAAATAAGCAATGTCATTCTTGATGTTTTTAAGATCATCACAGAGACCAGAGCAAGAGTCTTGAAAAAATTCTACTACTGTATCAAACAGTGACTAGAAACATTTCAGGAAGTTTCCCTTTGATAACTGTCAAACTTCTGTGTGTAGCAATAAACATTCAAACTCTTCATCATTATCTATGCAAAGCTGTCGAAACAGTCTGGAATTGAGAGACTGTGCCTTGATTTTATTTACTGCTGTGATAACTGTATTCAGTGATTTTTGAAGTCGACCACTTAGGTTTTTTGCTACCAGATGCTGCCTGTGGATTACACAGTGGACTGTAAGCACACCGGGTGCAGTTTTCTTTTTTTAAGAAACTGATGAAGCCACGATGGCGACTTATTGTCAATGGTGCTTGTTGCACAAGCAAGCATGTTAGAAAGTGGAATGTTTTTCTCTTTGAAAAATTTCTCAACAACATTAAATACTGATTCTCCTTTAGCGTCTGTTTTAAGTTGTCTTGCAAATAACAGCTCTTGAACTAACTTTTCATCTTTAATAAAATGAATATAAGCAAGAAGCAAAGATTCATTTCCTGGTAGAGTGAACTCATCTAAGTGAAATCTAAATTCTGTTGTGGCAAGAATGTTGCTCAATGTTTCTTCAATGTTTTCAGCTATTTCATCTACTCTTCTTTGAACTGAGTTATCACTAAGAGGGATGGCTTTTATAATTTTGTCAGGTGACTTATGTAGAACTCTTATTGCAGGCAGAAGAAGTTCCTCTCCAATCATATGAGGCTTACCAGATCTAGCAATCAGCAAAGAAATGTTATATGAAGCATGCAAACCGTCAGTGGATTGTTGTGAAGTGTTAGCAAACATATTTCCAATAGTTTTTTTGTTTCAGAAACTTTTCTTGAAGTGAATGAAAATATGCTATATCTTTGTATGCTTTGTCAGAGTGCATTTTTGTCAAATATTCCAAGAGTTTGGAAAGTTTCATGGCTTTGTTTGAAAACACTTTTCTCACATCAGACACATAGGTTGCTGTTGTGTGTGTAGTGCTTCTACAAATCCATATTTCAGATATTCCACACTATACTGCTTACACTCCTTTTTTGTTTGGTGTGGTGTTGGCATACTTTATTCTGTAAAAAAAATAACATTTATGAAATATATATATATATATATATATATATATATATATATATATATATATATATGGTTTTTCGGGCAAAACTAATACTCAAGATTGCACATTTTGATTTTAAATCAACTAAATAGGTTTTAAAATCTCCATTGATATGTTTGTTATTAATTTTATGATTTACCATCCCATACTTATTCATAGAAGCTCTAACAGAAATATTTTTGCTTCTAATACATGAAACGTGTGTATAAGCTGGTGTTCCAACAGATGAACGGCCTCTTTTTGTTCTAGTTGATAAGTTGAAACCAACTTCATCAAGAAAGATAAAACGTTTATCTTCAACAGAATATTGTTTTTCAGTGTATTCTTGAGTGTAATTAAAACAAGTTTTTAATGGTGTTTCAGTATTATGAGCTGTATTAACAGCAACCATTGTTTTAAGAATATAATGAAACTCTTTTAAACACATATTTATGGTACTATAATTTGCTGTTATATTTAATTTTGTACCTGCTTTGTTAGTGAAAATAAATATACAAGGGACACAATGGAAACCTGAAATGGGACTCACTAAGAGACACATCGGTGACATCAGCAAACGAGGTTATCCCAAAGGAGAATGGATGAAAAAGAAAAAATGAATGGAAGACTGAGAAGATTCTTGACATGATGCAAAGGAGTCAGAAGACTCTGCCAGGATATAGAATGGAATACAGAAAATTGCACAATGAAATAAGGACCAAAGGTAGACAAGCTAAAGAAGAGTGGCTAAACAAAAAATGTACAGAGATTGAGTACCATCAACAAAGGAGATATGCATAAACAAATAACGCAACTAACAGAACAGAAGACATACTTGTAAACAGTCTGCTTAAAATCAAAGGACAGAACACTCATATTAGAGAAGGAAAAATTCTTCAGCACTGGAATGAATATATTGGTGAACTCTTCCATGACGAAAGAGAAAAACCAGCTATACACAGAACTACCAACAGACCTGAAATTCTAAAAACCAAAGTAGAAGCTGCACTTGCCAAAATGAACAGAAACAAGGCAGCAGGGCCAGATGGAATTGTAATAGAAATGCTGACAGCCTTAGAGGAATTTGGCATAGACAAGATCACAGAAATAATAAATGAAATCTACAGCAGTGGGAACATACCGGAACATCTCAGAAAATCTATTTCCATAGCACTACCTAAGAAACCAGGTGCAAATGAATGCAAGTGGGCCACAGGTAGGACAAGAATAGTGCAGTTTTGTTAAAGACACTGGAACAAGGAACACAATATTCATGCTTAGAATGTTATCAGAAAGAGCAATACAAATGCAGAACATGTATCTATGTTTTATAGACTATGCAAAGGCGTTCAACAAAGTACGCCACAAGGATCTACTGGAACTGCTCAGCAACCTTGATATATTCAGGAAAAGTATTAGAATAATCAAGAACCTATACTGACAGCAAATGGTATGCATTTGCATTGAGAATGAGTTCAGTGAATATACAAAAACAGAAAGGAGTGTATGGCAAGGATGTGTCTTCTTACCATAATTATTTAACCTATACAGTGAGGCAATTCTAAGAGAATTGAAGATCCTACCAGGAATCAGCACTGGTGGCCACAATCTTACCAACATAAGATATGCAGACAACACAGTATTGATAGCAGACACAGAAAAGAAACTACAAAACCTCCTACAGAAGGTGGTGAGAGAGAGTGAAAAGGACTAACCATAAACTACAAGAAGACAGAATGCATGATCATCAGTAAAAGGATGAACCTGAAATGTGATTTGCAGGTCGGAGACTCTAAAATCAAGCATGTGCAGAAGTTTAAATATCTGGAAAGTGTTTTGACAGAGGATGGTAGGTGCAACGCTGAGATCCGAAGACAGATTGGAATCACCAAGGATGCATTCCAAAAGCTGGGCAGAGTGGGAGGATTTTTTTGGTGACAAAGAAAAGAGTACTGAGCTGCTATGTAACATCTGTCCTCATATATGACAGCAAATGTTGAACAGTCTCCTCAAAAATGAAGAAGAGATACGAGGCAGCAGAGATGTGATTCTATAGAAGGATGCTAAGGATATCATGGTGTGAGCGTGTGAGCAACAATGAAGTCTTGGAAAGGATGCAAACAATGAGGAAGCTTAGACTTAACATAAGGAAGAGGCAGATGAAATTTCTAGGATATATAATGGGAATGGAAGGCCTGGAGATACTCACAGGTTGAATCAAGGGAAAAAGAGACAAGGGAAGGCAACGCATAACATATCTGGCGGACTTAAGCAAGTGGATGGCAGAACATGGTCTGGGGGGAGTTGGCAGAGGCATGAAACTTATTGAGAGCCACAAGGTATAGGGGGAAGGGGAGAGCCATGATCACCTACGTCCTGAAAGGACATGGCACATAAAAAAGAAAGAAAGGTAAAGTTTAGGTGTGTGTGTGTGTGTGTGTGTGTGTGTGTGTGTGTGTGTGAACATGTGTAGTGTAAACAGTAGTGTCACTGCTAAGCTGTCTTAGGGTTGTGTGTGGGGGTCTCGCCTGGCAAGCCAGTGTTACAAAGGGGAAAAAAAAGGAAACGTTCCGTATCATGTCTAGTTTTTTTTTTAATTTAGTTTCCTGTAGAAAAGTCTGGGATACAGAAATAAGGAATTATGAGCAATACATATATACTTTGGCACATTCTTATGGCAGCAAGATTTAAGTTTCAAAATCCTGACCTTAGCAGAGTAAGGTACGTACTAAAAGTCAGAAACACTTTTAAACTTTAGGTGTTCTTAGAAACACTTTAGGTGTTCTCAGAAACACTTTTAAACTTTAGGTGTTCTCAGAAACACTTTAGGTGTTCTCAGAAACATTTTTAAACTTTAGGTATTCTTACATTAATAGACTCCCAAGTAAAGATTTGTTTTATGCAAGGACTCAGTTTTTGAACAAAAATATTTTTTCTGATAGATTTTGATGTGTTTGGAACAAATCTGATCTTTGTTTTTCTTGGAAATTACTTATTTTAGTTTTATGACCATCCACATTACGAAAAATAATGTCTTCCAAGAAAACAAACAACAGATAACTACAAAACACACCAAAATATATCAGGAAGAAATACTTTCATCCAGAAATGGTGTTCTAAATCTGAAAATACATAAGTAAAAAGCTCAAAGTTACGCAATACTGCTATGGAACCCCGCCCCACTTCGATGATTGCCTGTATCAACAAGAAAACTAAACGAAAACTAATTAACATAACCTAACATGGCTGGTAATCTAAACTAATCTAACTTAACCTATCCTTAACCCCTAATATCATGCTCTGAGAATCGTAAAATAAAACAATTGAGTGGTGTGACAAACTTTCAACATATTTCGCGAGAGGACACTACATAACTCATGAGGAGCCAGACCGAGCCAGGCAAACATGGTGCGTTCACCCAGCCAAAGGTATTATTTTTCATATTTTTAATGGAAAATAAGATATGCTTTTTTTTTTAGTTATCTGATGAATTTCAGAAAGGGTTGGAGAGTGTCTGAAGCCATCTCCAGATTCAGATTACAAGTAAATAGCTTTGTTTAGGAAATACAGACCCAGGCATATACTGAATCTTAACCAACTCCCATTCTGTCACATCTTTAAAAATGCTGAACATTGTAAGATTGAAATTAAAGTGCAGTGTTTACAAACCTGAGACAACCTTTGGACCATGTAGCTTTGTTTACTGACTCTGAGACTGATCTGGCTGGGCACCAAGGTGGCAATTACATGTGGTAAATGTAGGTTTCCTCTAGGAGTCTACTATACGTGTTGTGTATTGGCATCAAGTAAACGTTCAGAATTTTGATTCTGACTATGTAACAGAGCTATGCATTCATTTTTAATTCTAATGTCATTTTTATTATCGATAAATTGCATGAGTTTTTCTACCTTAGTAACTGAGTCTGACATATTTTGCCTTTCAGATCTTTAATATATTTATTGTTTTTATTCTCTTAATACGATACTGTCGCCCCCCAACTACGCCCCTTTTGCACCCCACCCCCGATATTAAAGGACTGCCCCCAGTTAAATTTCTTTGACATTATTTTTTTAATTTTTTCATGGCATCCAGGGTTAACCTAGGCCAATTTTACATCACATATGACATACTCTGTACTTTCTGAGTCTACAGCAGACAAAAAGAAACTTCATTTTATTGTATTAAATATAAATAAATATATATCCACAATCACGTATATTTATCTTACTTGGAGCTAATCAATGTTTCACTTGAAATTTCTTGTAAATAATTTATGTTGCTACCAGTGTCCTATGAAGACTAGAATTTTTTCACATGACTGGTGCTGATAATAAAATGTAATGTCATGCAATTGTGCATTCAAAAATTACTTAATTCATATTTTAGATGCAGAATTTGAAATTTGTTTCATGTATTATGACCATTTTGCTTAAAGTTTGTCTTTTCTTAATTTTAGATGAAAACTTGGAAGATAATAGGCTATGGTAACAAAAGAACAAATTTATTTTTGTTTACCTCCATAAGTTGTGTCTAGAGTTCACATATTCAAGGAAAATATTTAGAAATGCTCATTCACAAAGAGAACAGTAAAAGTGTTCAGTATTTAGTCTATACATGGCAAATTGACTTAATATTACATGTGTGTGTGTGTGTGTGTGTGTATGCATGTGTGAAGAAAAACACATTAGCATAAGTTAGCTTTAAATGATTTGTCAGACATGACAGTTCAGTAGAAGTTGATTGAAAGCAGATAAAAATTGCAAGTTTAGTCTTGGATAGTTTGCAGTCAAGTCCCCCCCCCCCAAAAAAAATTTAAGTAAATAATTTTGAACACTGTTTTTGAAACAGTAAAAGATGCTAAGGTTGGTAAATTGGAGGACAGGAATGTGAACCAATTATTCTTGCCAGAAAATGAAAATTTTAGCTAACCTTTGATAAACATTTTTTTTTTTTTTATACAGAATATCAACCATTTGTAGGTTACTTAAAGCCAGAAAATATTTTTAGATTCTAAGAATTTTTGTGGAGATGAATGAGTTACTAATACAAGTTCTATTAATTAACTCATAGCAGGGGGTGGGGCAGGAGAGATGGATTCATACCTTTCCCAAGTGTATTTGCATGTAAGTGAATATAATGAATTCAAATGGAATTTGGCTCCCTGATTTCTAATTTTGAGCCATTATCCATCACCCCACACCCTATTCAAGCTTTCAGCACCTGGTGTTTCCAAGCAGTCACTTTAGGTACTGACCAGGCTCAACAATACATAACCTTGGTGATTGTCCAAGAATCAGTTTCAATGTAATATGACTAAGTGTTGATATTATTTTTGTATTAAAAATATACTAGTTAATATTGTTATTATACAATACAGAAAGCTAATTGATCCAAGAAATATTTTTAACTTTTCTTATGCTCATTCCTGTCATCAATACTCATATTCCCCCCTAGTGTCAGTTGAAACTGACACTTTCTTTTTGCCATATATTATGACAATTTTGTATTTTCTTGATTTTCAGATGAAAACTTGAAAATTTTCCCCCAAATATTCCATTGAAATATAATTTTTAATTATAGTTTAGGTATATTGAAAAAAGAAAACATCAATCTAAATTGATGTCAGGAGGTTATGGGTTAAAATAATAGTAATATTATTGATATATTAAAATCATGCCAAAAACCTTTAAAATAGCAACAGTGCTCTATCAACAATACAAAATTGTTAATTACAAATACACTAAAACAAATAGAAATTAATCTGAGTTAATATCCTAATTTTTCAGTGACTAATTAAACATTCTGAAAACATATACCCAATTTTTCTTTTTAATATCACAAAGAATCAAATCAACATACTCTCCCAGTTAATAAGAAGATCCCAGTTTTGTGAGTGCTTCTGTGCAAGATCCTTGGAGGTGAGACCTTGATTATTTATGTAGTTCACATTGGCACCATGTTCAAGCAGCAGTTTCAGAAAGTCTGTGTCCCAACCTTGCTTCAGAGCTTCATGAAGGGCAGTTTGATGCATCTTGGCCATATTTACATTGGCTCCTGCAACAATAATTGACAGAGAAATATTTTTTGTTTTATCTGTTTAACAGCATATCAATTCCTTATGGGTCATTTAATGCTGAAATTTAATTTTCTTGAGACCTTTGAAGTAATAAAAAATACATTATTCTATTTTCACAATTGAATACATGGCAGATGATACTCAGCTTTTGTGCATGTACATGTTTGTGTGGACATAATTACTACAGGTGGTGATATGTGGGATTTATGTTGTAGTTTTGAAGTTATATTTTGGAATACAGTTTGATTTCTTTAAGAAATTGTAGGATAGTATATGGATTAATGTCATAAAAGTGTTCTGTTCTGAAAGAGGTGGTTCCATGCTCCTCAAGACCTCCAATCTCTCGATCAGAAGCCTTGCTGCCAGATTTAGTTTATCATCATACCCAGGACACAAAAATAATATACAACAGTTACTTTGCATCACAAAATTGAGTATATAAGTTGTTTTTAACATCAATTTAACACTGTTCATATAAAGTTGTATGATATTACTGATTACACAATATGATTATTGTATTAATGGAATTATGAAATAAACACATCAAATATTCAGTTATAATAAAGTCATATGATTTAAGCAACAAAATGAATAACAAAAGTTCACATCAAACATTGAGGTACATGGAATTCATAGTGGTGGTTGGGGGTGAATAACCTTTATGAATGGAAATTTTTGATGGTGAAGAACAGAGTGGAAAAGAGGTAAAATTGTGCAATACAGTAAGAATTTACTCCTTTACAGTTTCTCTTAACTGTGTTTGACCCAATCAGCCAAACTTTTATGCTTAAACCATATATTAAATTGAGACAATTTTACAAAATATATTTTGAAGGAGTAAGATATAAGCAGAAAAAAATATAGACCGAAGATTTTAATAATAGAATTTTCAAAATAGAAAAAAAAAATGAAACAATTGCTTTCAAGGCCATCAGATTTTGACATTATTTCCGGAGAGGAAAAGCTGAAATGAATTAAAACCAGTTTTATTCATTGATTACTGGAATTATTTTGTTTTATTTAACTGGTGAGTTGGTACTGGAGGAGTTGTTTCCCTTTAGACGTCAAATGGGCTTTAGATGTATAGTAAAAATGCCCTTGGGAAAGGTAGGAAACGAGCTATAGACAAAATAGTAAGTTTGTGGAGCAACCAGTCTAAGATTAGGACAACTCTGAATTCAAGACCCCAGTTAACACATTATGGGTCAGTATGACATACAACAAGTGCAACCCTTGTATTGAAGCTTAATCTGACTGCCATTCACTGCTGCTGATTTCCCATCAGCCTTGGATTCCACATTGCGGCTTAATCTTGGAGATGTTGAAAAGTTGGGTTTGGACAAGTGCAACTCCTTACACACTTAATATCCATTCACACACATTCTTTGAGAAGAACCATGATGAAGTTTTGTTGAGAAAAATTGTATGATGACTTTTATTTATTTGTTGACTAAAGATAAAGCAATCAAGGAAAACAAAATGAAAGGACTGACTACTACTTGTAAGAAAACAGAATGCAGGATGATAGGCAAAAGGGACAACCTATGATAGTTACACATGGGGGATATCAAAATTAAATAAGTGTTGAAATTCAACAATTTGGACAGAAGTAACACAGAAATTTGAAAGTGTATAGGAATAGTGAAAACACTTTCCAGACAGTAAGGTACTAAAGGATCAAAAACTAACATCAGAGCTATGAAGAAAAGAGTGCTGGACTGCTATGTAATGTCTTTCTTCTTATATAACAGTGAATGCAGGAGAATTTCATAAAGAAGAAAACGTGAAGCAACTGAGATGTGCTTCTACTGATAGGACAGTGTATCTGACAAATGAGGAAATTTCTAGAAAAATGGAAAAAAGGAAACTATTGATAACAATCAGAAAGAAACAGCTGAAATTCTTGAATCACATAATGAGAAAAAAAGGCTTGGAGATTGTAACACTCACAGGGCACTTCAGAGGTAACAGAAGCACAGGAAAGCACTACTTGAAATTTTTGTGCAAATGGATGGAAGAACAAGTATCACAAAGAGAAAGAAGTGTCATAAAGATGAAGAAGTGTCAAAGATGAAGAAGTGTCATAAAGGAGAAAATGTTGCCAAGAGCAACAAAAGACAAGAAGCAGTGGAGAGCCTTTATGTTCTGAAGGGACACAGCATATAGTGAGGGAAATCATGACATCATACTAAAGAGAGCAGCAATAAGTATTTAGCTAATCAGAACAGTAGACTTTAGCCAATCAATGAAGGCACCAGAAGAGTAGATTTTAGCCAATTGACAAAGATTCCAGAATAGCAGATTATCAAAAGTGAAGTGATATAAGAATTGATGAATCAGATAAAGCTAAATTGAAGTTGGAATGACAATGACTATTTTGTTTCCAATTTAGTTTCTTGGTACAAGAATGCAATTAATAAGTATTCCATGAAATGAGAGATAGTTTAAGATAAAGAGGGACACAAAATGACACTATACTGAGCCAAAACGAATGAGAGTGAAAAGCTGAAATAAAATTCAATGAAAAATTAGTAAATAAATATAAATAGTAAAAAGTGGGTGCTGAAGAGTTTAATGTCTGACCCAATCCCCCAAATCAATACTGATTTTTTGAGAAGTGATTTGATTCCAAACTTTTTCTCCTCATATAACAAATTACAATGTAATATAATAATATTATTATATAATATGTTACTATTACTACTACTACTACTACTAATAATAATGTGAAGCTTGTTAAATTACCCCCCACTTGGTTTACCAAGATACCATTAAACAGTGCTGTGTAGGAACTATAAAAACAGGACTTCATCTTTTTTCATCTTTCCTTTCTGTATGTGGTAGTAGCACCACCAACATGGAACTCATCCTTAGTTTGGGAATATCTTTCCCCAGGGGACTGTATTATTTCACACATGTGTATGTATCACACAATTCCTAACTGCTAAATTTTAATGCCCTCTTTCTTTTCAGCTATATTTACATGCATACTAGAGTATAGTTATATAAAAATACATGAAAATATCACCTTGTTGAAATTTATTCCATTTTTTTCATCTTAAGTAAAGACAACCTATTGTTTACATGTGAAAACTTTATTTGATAAAGCTTTTAGTCCAACCAGAAGTAGGAATGCAACAAGTTAAGTTGAAGTTGGAATGACAAAGACATTTCTTCTAGGATTTACAATAGAAATCAAAAATAATAAAGTTAATAAAAAGTGTCCCCATGAAATAAGAGACAGTTTAACATAAAAAATAGCATTCTATACCAAACCAAAACAAATGACAGTGAAAAGCTGAAATTAATTCAACATAAATTCAATGAAGAAAATAACAGCAAAATACAATGTAGGCTAGGTATACAGCATAAAATTTATTGAGATAGAATTTCATACCTGCTCTGAGCAAAACTTCAGCACATTTATAATGTCCTTTAAGGGAAGCAACATGGAGTGGTGTACCAAAGTGAATGTCATTAGCATGAAGGTCAGCCCCAGCCTCAATCAGCATTTCTGCACATTCCCAGTTGTCTGAGAAGAAGAGATGCAGAGGCATGGACATAGAAGAGAAAAAAAAAAAAGAATGTGGGTGACATAGTGGCATGCAAAGTCTAGTGGAATAACAAATTAATATCAGAAAAAATATGAATATGACAATTACAAATTAGAAAACAGTATAATAATACTATTAAATGAAGATAGATATCAATAATAATAATTTTAATATACACTCTTATGCAAATTAATTGAAATAACTGCTTTAGTTTCTGTTCTTTTATTATACGGTCAGTTTTAGACCCACTGGAGTGACAGGGTGTAATCGATTTTTATTTTTCCTCAGATTAGGTCATTTGCAGTGGTGTGCAAATATGAATATTTCTTGGATGTATGATGAAATTTGTTTAGCCTTAAAAAATATTCTGCCATCCATGATTGTATCAAATTTTCATCATGCCTAGACACTATTGTCACAACTGTTGGTTAGTTGTCCTAAAGCCATTGTCTGTGATGGATGTTACTCCAAGGAAGCGTATGAAAATTGTAATGCAGCACAAACACATTGGCAAGCCTTACCAGTGAGCAAATCAAAGTACTGTAGATTGGCCTGGAAACTTTCCTGATTTAAATCCAATTAAGAATCTGTGGTCAATCTACAAGGAATGACTTTGTGGAATGAACATACAAAGTACTAACATGTGCACTGGGTCATGTTTCATTCGAAAAATACAAAAAAAAGTAAATAATAACAGAATTATTAGTTTTGTTTTCATTAATTTGCACAAGGGTGTATATATATATATATATATATATATATATATATTAAAATCAGGGTTGATAATTCCTTTTTTAAATAAAAAAAATTGTATCAATTTAAATCTGATGTTTTTATTTGTTATTTTCATTTTTGCACAAAAATAAAGAGCAAAGTTGATATGAATAACTTGTGACATTAAGAGGAACAGTAGGATAATTTAAAGTTGTTAAATTAACAATTTTTGGTTATATCTGACTGACTTTTTCCCAATTTAGTTGATAAAAGGCTACATTTAATTTTTACCATTTTTTAACATTTTGGGTGCATCTACATGCAACTTACAGTTTTGTTTTTTTTTTTTTTTTTCATACAACTATTTTATTCTTAAAGCATTTTAAAATAACAGATTGACATGGCGACCATCAGGTATGTATGATTGATTTGTACATAAATAATCTTGTAATTTTTTTTTTTATGAGTAGTTACTAGTAACATTGCCAGCCAGTGTTGTTTTTTCTTTGTTTTTTTTTTCAGATAAGGACATACAACTATTTTATTATTATATCATTTTAAAATAACAGATTGAGATGGTGATCATCAGCTATGTATGATTGATTTGTACATAATCTTGTAATTTTTTTTCACATAAGGTCATACAACTATTTTATTCTTAGAGCATTTTCAAATAACAGATTGACATGGTGATTATCAGCTATCTATGATTGATTTGTACATAAATAATCTTGTAATTTGTTTTTTCAAAGAAGGTCATACAAATATTTTATTCTTAGAGCATTTTAAAATAACAGAATGAAATAGTGATCATCAATTATGTATGATTGATTTGTAGATAAATAATCTTGTAATTTTTTTACGAGTAGTTTGCTTGCTAGCAACACTGCCAGCCAGTGTTGTATTTTTAAACTTAGATTTGGGTTTTTTAATTCCTGCCCGTGTTGTTTTTTAACTTTGAAATTTCAAGGTGAGTTGAGCAGTGATATACGTTTTGTGGTTAAGCAACTCCTGTCAGCAGTGGCATCATCTTCTGGCGTTTTTCCTGTCCTATGGTGCATTCCAAACTGAGAAACCATGCTTGTACAGATAAAACAGCAAAACTGGTATTTCTATTTAAATCCATGAATGCAAACACCGATTATGCTGAATCTTAAAATCTCTTAATAGTTAACATTTTATTTTATAATAAAAAAATAAAAAATTATTTAGTTGATTAATAAATATTTGACTCAGTATGCTTAATACTTTTCTTCCTTCATGAAATTACATGGGAAACAAAAATTGTTTTATTTTTATATCTTTTGTATTAAATAAAGATTTTTGTAAAATTGATTAAATCCATGATTTAAGAAAAAAAATCATCTGTTCAATGATTTAAATTGAACAACCCTGATTAAAATATTAAGGAAATGATTACTTTACTTGGCTTTTACACAATCAGTCAATTATTGTAGGTTGTTTACAAACCTTATAAAAACATTATTCTCTTCTCACTTGACAGAGTTATTTTTGGACAAGAAAACATTGATTTATTATGAGAAGTCAAAGGAAACAAATTCCTGGTTAGGTCCAGGACAGTTTTTTTAGTCAAATCTACTGAGGGTAAAAAAATTCTATGTTTAATGGAATATAAAAGAAATTCTCTATTCAAACTTGCTGCAGTACAGATATGCTGTTAATATGCAATACTTCAGTGGATTGTTTGACTGATTCAGTGGACTGTAAAAGACATGTTTTTGGACAAAGATGTTGACCAGTGATTTTGCTGGAAGATAACATGTTTTTAGTACTAAATTCTACCAAATATAAAGCTAGAGGGTTATAAACAAAACAGTAATTCTGAATGAGGTGTATGATATGAATGGAAGAGAAGGCGATAGTAAATGAAGATTATGAGGATTAGGAGGAAAGATAATGATTGACCCCTGACTTCAAGTGGTTAAAATTGATGTGCTCAGGGAAGTACTGACATGGTAGTCTCTTTCATAAAGTGGCAGTTCTTGGTAAAAAGCTGTACGAGTGAAAACTTTCTTCTTGCATTTGGAATGTGCAAGAAATTTGGATGATTCAACTCCATGGATGCAGCATGGCATGTCCTTGCAGTAAAAGTCTAAACTGGTGGAACTGAAGAATAGCGCTTATCTGGACATTTGCTATGGAAATATTGATGTGGCTTGCAATGTTGTATCTGTGGAAAAAATGTTGTAGAGTGGAAAACAAGTCATCCCCAATAAAGTTATATAAACAACCTTGAACTCTATCAAGGCTGGAAAGTGAAGATTGAGCCCAGACAGAGCAGCTGTACTCCATTTTTGGTCTAATCTGACTAATCTAAGCATGGCAGAAGGATTCAAGTACAACTTGGAACAATAGAATGATCCAACTGTTTTTTCCAGCATCTTTAACAATGGATGATATATATATTTTGTTTTGATTATTATAAAAATTATTTTTTAGTGGGTATGTGTTTGAATTGATACCAGTTTGGCCTTGGAGATGAGCCTGACAGAGCAGGGTTTGAAAGTACTTATTTAAAGAAAGTATATCTCTCGTTTGGAATTTCTACAAATCTGGTTGGTTGATTTTGTTTGGTGTCATATCAATCTCTATGGGTTATTTAATGCCGAAATCTAAATATTCTGAATGCAGTTGTATGCATTCAACTACAGATAAAATATATTGTTGGTCATTTTGCTATAAAAATGTATTTTTATACTTTCATAGTGTTTTTGTTTGGGTGTTCACTATTTGCCCATAGAAGAGACCCTAACAGGTACTGCCACCCCAGGTCAAGGTGGACCTGGGAATAACAGCAATTAAAGAGGTGGTTCCACAATCTTCAAAACAACCAATCCTCCAATCAGAGGCCTTTTTGCCAGATGTAATTTATTGTCATACCCAGGACTATCTATGAATCTTTATCTGCTAGCTTCAGTTTCATACCCGAAACATGCACAGGTCATTTTTGAAAGGAATTTTTTTATCCAACATTTTTTTCTTTTTATTAATTTAAAAAACTCACTTATTTCTCCATTTCTTCTTGTTTCAAGTGCAGCACAGCAAAAGATTATGTAGCTGCAACAGGAAGCTCTCTTTTACATGAGGCATATTCTTCAAACTGCTCACCTTCAATCTAACACTTCTTTCATGATTTCATTCACTGATTTGTCTGGTCAGCAGTTTCAGTAAATTCATATTTCTTGAAATACTTTTTGGAGTAATGTATATACTCATGTATCGTGACCTTTGAAGACCTAATTTTGAAGCTAATTTGACTACAGTAAATGGATATATAGTTTGGCCAATGGTGTTGCCAGGGCCAGTAGTACATATGCTAATTTTATATTTCTTGTATGATGCAACCCCCTTAAAATTAGTTTCAAAATTAAGTTTTCAAAAGTTGTATAAAACACGAGTATATACAGTATTTATTGTATCAAAAATGGAATTATCCTTTTATGATGGAATACAAACTTTACTTGAAAGTTGACATACCATTATCAAAATCTACATAAATATTTTGATTACTGTAGTGAAAGAGATAATCAGGTACCCCAGAAAAAAGTTTGTGTTTTGTGTGCGATCTGCCGAAGAAACATTACCAAAAAGTAGTCAGCAAAAATCTTATAGTGAAGAAAACGGCGACTTACCTCATCAAACCAAGCGACAGCGCGTCGCGTGTATTCTACGACGGAAAAAAAAAACAAGTCCGTCACAGGAGTCGCTATAACAGTATTTTGATATGCAAATTACAGAGCATCCTATCCCAGCTGTCGACGAATGAAAAAAATAGGTTCTGCTGATAAAAGCAGTTGGTGTTCTCGATTTGGGGCGGAAAATTCGGGCATTTTTGGCTTCGATGTTTATTAGAGAGCGAGTTATTTTTCTGACTGGTTACATGCATTGTGATTTGAGATAGTACCGGCGAATCGAGTTTTCAGCATTTCTTTCTGCCCCCCGATATTCGAGTCTGTACTTACAGTGATTTTTCTTTATTGTGGAAGTAATCTGCGACAAATACTTCCTTTGCTTTCAGAACACTTACATCTACAATTACTGTATAATGATGCTATGAATTCATAATTATTTACTAACCATAGCTTAGTTATGGCATGAGGCCATAAATATGGAGCAGTTCGTTTAGAGAAAAGAAAAAAACAAAAAACAAAAAAAAAACTGTAAACTTATGGTAGCAATAAATGCCTGCAATAGGTTTCTTCTCTCATCTGCAACAATTGTAGCCAAATCACAGTTCAAATGAGAGTCCGTCATAGCAGTCCAACAGGCAATGTAGAAACGACAAAATGTGGTCACAAATCCAACCTTCATTTCTCACAAGCAGAAACGCATGTTTGTCCACCAAGCTCAGAAAAAATCCTGCCATCGCAAGCAAAAAATGACTTTTATTCACTGAGCAATTTTTCTGATTGGCCATGTCATTCAGGGGAGGAAAGAACATTAGCATAGATTCTGATACTTAAAGTAGCAGATTTTTGTTAACTACTTTTGGTAATCTTTCTTCGGACAATTGCACACAAAACACAAACTCTTTTTCGAGGTAGGTGATTTTCTCTTTCATTACATTGTAGAAATTGAACTCACCTGCAATGATCAGCAAAGTCAGCTTATCATCACACCTTGGTGCCCAAATAACATGAATTTATATGAAGAAAAACAATTGCTAAAATATGCTGGAAACTTCTGTATCATCTAATATATTGATTAATAATAGTAAAAGTAATACAATACAAACAATAAGTCAATGCATAACTACCTGCCAGTTTTGAGTTGTGCTCTGAATGATGTTACAAGAGCAATGTTTATTATCAGTAAGTAGACTGTTGTTTCCTCATCTCATCAATACCCAAGGCCTGGGTAGATAAAGGTAGAGGACAGACTGTCAGCCATGTAGTAGGTATCCCATTCTCCAAGTCATTGAAATAGTCCAATGGAAAGACACACATGGTTACAGTGTCATTGCAGGATGTTGTTGAATACAACCATAGGGATTTTGTCTTTGGATTTATCCTCAGGATTTGCTTCTGAAGCCTTTCTCATGATGTATGGCTACAAGGCAGTGGAGGTTTGAAAAAAAGAGTTTTTTTTTTCTTTTTAGATGAACTGCCCTTCAAGGCTAATGAGTTCCCTCTACTTGATTTAAGCTCCCACACCTGATATTTCCAAGTAGTTCACCATCTGACCAGGCTTAACACTGCTTAACTCAACTTTTGAACTCCTCCCTTGTTCAAAAGACAAGAGTAGAGGTTTATCCCTTGTTTCTTGTTTAGGACTGGGTTTTCAGTTACTTTTAAAGTTTTTCCTTCTCTTTGACTTCCAGTAGCCCCTTGCATCTTAGTGGTGATATCAACTCATCTATAAGTAACTGTATTCAAATTTGACTTAAATCTTGAGCAATTACACTATTGATGTAGGTGTGATAAATAAAAAGAGATAAAAAAAAAAAAAGAAAACTGTAAAATTAAACAAAAAGTATTACTAAATGTTGTCATTTTATACAGTACTAGCAGTAGAGCCCGGCGTTGCCCGGGGATGTAACAGTAAGAGATAGATCAAGTATCGACCATCATAAAGACTGAAAAATAAAATTGACAAAGGTCAATTTAAGGTTGACGGACACGCATGTCTTAATTAGTTTTGTTTTGTTTTTTTTTAAGAATTGGTCAAACCCAAACTCAAACAAAAACATTGTTTTCAATCATTATGAGTCTACCGATTGAATACAATTTTTTTTTATAAACAATTGTCTTGTAAATGGAATATTTAAAGCATTCTGAATTTAAAAATAAAAAAAAGTGTGCAAGACAATAAGAAACACTACCTGCTAAAAAAAAAAGTGAAGTTTTGTTGAAATTGGTTGAAAAATATAGGAAATCTAATCCCATATATACATGAACACACAGACACAAAAACAACCTGGCTTTTATAAGTATAAATCGATATGAGTTGTCCCCCTTTCATTCTCGCGATTAATTGTGTTTTCAAATTTATTTTGCACAAAAAACAATTGTGTTTTTCCAATTTTTGGCGCTGTTAGAACCACCGAAAGGTAATTTTGCATAGTTCTGTGAAGTTTTGTTGAAATCGGTTGAAAAATGTAGGAAATCCGATCCAATATATAAACGTACAGACACACATACACACAATCTGCATTTTATAATAAGTAAGATTCAAGAATTTTTCCAATTCTACTAATTTAGTTATATTGGAATTTCCTTCTCTACTTATTAGACTAAGGAATAAAATTTTAAACAATACATAAGCAATTTGTGTGTTAATTCTAGTGCTAAAAAGTAAGCAAGTCGAGGTGGTTATAAAAAAAAAAAAAAAAAAAAAAATCGTATATGGCATGAAAAAAAACCCCACAAAAACAAAAGTAAAATGAAGATATGAATTAATTTTTATTAGTTGAGAACCCTGATAAAACAATTGCCACATACCATTAAACACTGCTTCATGCAGTGGAGATGTAAGAAGCAAAGGGGGGTTTACCAGTGCACCAGCATCAAGTAATATACGAACACAGTCCTTTCTGCCATGACTGGATGCATCACATAGAGGTGTTGATCCGTCAATGTTTCGGGCATTAATCTGAAATGTAGACAGAGAGTCAATTTATTCATATAAAAATAATATTCTATTCACAAAATAAATATTTATAAGTACCTTTTATATATATATATATATATATATATATATATATATATATATATATATATATATAGAGAGAGAGAGAGAGAGAGAGAGATAACATAATTTAGCTCTTGAAAATATATTTTCAACTGAGCACTGTTGAACGACAAGCTAATTCTAAAAACAAAGGTCACCTGCGTAAATGTCAAGCTCTTCAGTAAAATGAATGGAGCACTTTGGCTGCTTGGTGTTTGTTTATGTTTGTAAAAACAATATGCTAGATTTGGCTGATCCATTTTGTTGAGTGAAGATGGCTTAGTGGTAGAAGCTCTGAGTGACACCAAATCGGTTGGGCTTCAATCTGGGCTTGAGGCACTCGGTTGTCTAGTCGCACTGAGGAGCTGTAATACAGCGAAACAGTACTGTCTGCGACTGACATATGAAATTTTTCTCAGTAACAAAAAAAAAAAACAAAAACAATAATTGCAAAAGTACAAAACACTCAAAAAAGCTTAAAGATTATTAAATTTAAAATTGTATAAATTACTGGCACCACATATTGCCATAATCTACTTTAAGTGTTATATTACTGAATGACCATTTATCATATAACATATTTTCATAAACTGTCAGGTCAAAGGCTATCTGACTTGCAGATAGTGCACCTATTACACAATAATTGCTACCTGTCAGGTCAAAGGCTATCCAACTTGGAGATAGGAATTATTGTGTAATAGGTGCTCTATCTTAACCATTAGGCTAACTTGCCATTAGTGGATATATTACACAATAACTGTTACCATAAATGTCATTTTATCTAAATTACAAAGAGTGCATGATGATTGCTGTCTTACTCATCATTTGATCCAACTTACAGATGCATCTAGTTTTATCAAAAGTTTGACACATTCTATGTGCCCCCAGGCACTTGCTTCATGCAGTGCTGTGACCATATCGAATGTTTGACTGTTGGGATTCAATCCATGTTTGCTGATTAGTACTTCCAAGACATCAAAGAGACCTTCTCGTGATGCTCGATGCAGGGGGAAAGCTTCATTCACTGTAAAAGACAAAAAAAAAAAAAAACCATAATAATAATTAAACAAATGAAAATGTATCTTAATTCAAAATGCATCCAGTCAATTTTCTCTCACTGAACCAAAGTATATTTCTCTTCTACACTACCAGACCCAGGGATTGAACTCGCAACTACCATAGAACCAGATATGTTTTAACCAATGCTTTAATTCACATGTTCAAATTCTGGTTGATTCTGCTTCATTCACATTGTGCTTATGCCCATGAAAATGACATGAATGCATCTTTCTCCAGCTATGGGTTAAATAGCAGGGCAGACTAGACTCTCTTGCATCAGTTGGCAACCATTCTAGGAACTCTGAATTCAAACCTGAGGAGAGCTGATTGGAGACTTTGTGGCACTATACACCATTGTTCTGTTATCAGTTCTTTCAATAAGTGTGGTTGGTTCTACATAAACCTTCACCACTATAATCAAGTCATCTATGTTGGAAGTCCAGTTCTAAACTAATTTGCTGGGCCTTTATAAAACCTGATAGGTGAGTCTATAATCCACTAGGCTATGTGGTCACATTTTGGAGCCTTGAACCTAATATTTGTATTCACCCATTAGGCATAAGGCTCCAACATTTCACCACTGGATTGTCCAAGAGATGCTTAACCAAGTGACTTAAAGCATTGGTTAAGTGGAAGAAGCACGCAATCTACACCCATGTATTTAATAAAGAATTAATTTTAAAATTCCAAGATTAGCAAATACAACAACACACACTTGAAGAATGTCAGAGGGTACAAAAGTAAAAACATTGTGTTTAAATATCAAAATGAGCATGCTTGTCCAAATAATGAAGCATCTAATAGAGCAGTGGTACAATTACAATTCATGGTAGAACAATGCTAAACAACTTTCTAATCTTGAGACAAATTTATAATCTCAAAACTTTTGCTTTTCTGTCCTTATCAAAAACAAAAACATTTAGGAGTTCCAATATTCTAGTTTGTTAAAAAAAAAAAATTGCATAAAGTCTCACTTCTTACTACATCCTAATATATGAGGTGTGATGATTTAATTCCCAGAATGACCACAGTATGTCACTCAGGTAATGTGAAAACATTTGTACCTATGCAGGTTTCAGATTGAGATGCAGACCAGGAGTCATTTGTTGCTGAGCAGTATAGGAAGTTATGTGTTTATGTTATACTGTTAGCAGAGAATGAGTGGATGGAATCTGTAGCAGTGGATTAACATCAAGTTTTGTGTGAAGATTGTTTTTCAGGAAATGCACAGCTTCAAAAAAGGCATAATTTGAAGGTGACAGTAATTAATAGTGACCAGGTAAGAAACTTTGGTTTCACAGGGTCAGCCTGGGAATTAAATTGTTACACCTTGTAAATGTGTCATTGGATATGAAGAACATTGGGTTAGTTTGTTTGCATATAATGATTATGCTACAATTTGATTTGACTTTTGTCTCAGGCAACACTAGAATCTTTTGCTAGTCATTTTATAGCAAACTATACGAGTTATAAAAATGCTAAATTGAAGGAGAACAAGCTAATATTACTGCTTCCAGTGGATTAGGTTTGGCAAAAAAATATTCTGATCATAATTTTTAAAGATTCTTTCATTCGATCAATTAGTAATTTCTTTTTTCAAAACTTATAAAAATTATTTCCTGCTTTTTATCAGCTATAATTTTTTCTAGTCAATATACCATGTATCTTAAACCATATTTGCAGAGATCATAAAAAAGAAAATATTTTTAACAAGAAGATGGGTAAACAATGACAGCAAAAAGGGTATTGTTAAGTTCAGCATTTCAAACAAATTTTGCATGTGGTGGAAGGCAACCATAGTTGTCTCCCCCTGGAACTACTCAACAACAAAAGTAATGGTTGAACCTCACTTATGGGCAATAGCCAAATTGCATTAAATAAAGCTTCACTACAAGCTTAAATGTTCTGTTTGTGCTTTACAGCATAATATTGATTTACCTCCCTTATATACCACAGTTTTTTTTAAAAAGTCAACATTCTGAGTCCTCATTTGGATTTGAAAAGTTATTTCAACTATTTTTTCTGTAACTAAAAACCTGAAATACAATTCAACATTTGTGACCAATCAATAAACTTGCATTTATTTTTTTTTTACAAAATGTAAGCAGAAAAAAAAAAAAAAAAAAAAAAATCGCAACCCATTTTAAAATTTTTGCCAAAATCAGGGAATTATCCGATTCAAATGTAGGGGAATAAATTTTCTGCCATCAAGGAATTGCGGAATCATGAATCTTAAATGGAATCTTGGTTTTTAATGTAATTTTCAATAATAAATAAGGAATTATTTGATTTTTTTTAGATTTTTTTTAATTCTTTCAAAACTTAATAATCTCTCCGATTTTGTTAAAGGTTTTAATATAACAATAATGTAACAGTTATTTCCTTAAAATTTGTTTTTACAAATTGTAGGTATTTTCCTTATAAAACCCAAAAAATAATTAAGAAAAATGTTTACATAAAAAAAAAGTGGGTTGTTGATTTTTTTAGAATATCTTGGCTATTCTATTTTAAAATATTTTATAACTTTTCTTAGAAACTATGTTGCAAACGAGATGAAAATCCATTGCTAAAGTGAAAATGGAAGACAGATACTAGTTGATATCAAAATTGGAGGGGGGAGAGAGATGAAGATCAAAGAAATTCATTTCCTTTAGGCCTCACACAATTTACAAGTAAAAGAATCTAAATAACTTGTAAGCTTCTTTTAGAATATGAAAAAATAAATACTATCATGTGCCTACCATACAATTTAGGAATAAAGGAAGAACAATTCTCCAAAAACACCAATCTATGAAAGGCCTGGCTTGTAAGCTTACTGTCACAAAGCAATTCTCCCGAATTAATAATTGCATCATCTTCAGTGTTTCACCATTGTAAACAATTTTAAATTGAATAAAAAAAATCCTATAATAACATTAACTGTCAAGGATTATTTTTAAATATTTTATTGATATCTTGTAATCTAAACTAGTTGTATGAATAAACAACAAATTGCCAAGATGACTGAATCAAATAGTGAATCAACCTCAAAAGTTGGGCCTCCTGCTCCTTTGGAAAAAAAAAAAAAAAAAAAAGAAGAAAATGACCACAGTATCTAAAATTTGTGCTAAAAATCCAGAGTAGAGCAATTTCTTGATGACTTAGTTTTATGCAGATGAAAATGTTATTTTGCAAATTCTATATCCATAGTATTAATTCCCAAATTAATAAATTAGCAATTTTAAATTTGAGCAGTATTTCAACTTGGGATAAGTTGTTTTATTTAAATTTTGAATTAATATACATAATTTATTTTTGATATTTTGTTACAAAGATCCAGTTATTATGATTTAATTACTGTTTTCTAAAATTTTAATCAAAATGTTTGAATTTATTCAGATATTTATTGAGATTCAAGTTATTTGGTGTTGATACTTTAAATGTAATTTTATATTATCTATCAATAATTATAAATCACTCTAAATCCTTTTTACTTAAAAAAAGAAACAAAAACAATTTGTTTTGAACATGTTCTTAAAGAAGGAAGCTCTGATTAAAAGTTCTACTTCAAAGATATGCACTGTAACATTCCATCATTTTATTGTCTAGTCATGTTACATTTTTTATTTTTATTTTACATATAATTTATTTTTGGACTTTGATTTTAACATTTAAAAAAAGATTTGTAGATATTTGCTATTTCTTTATATGCAATAAAACTTAAATTATATTTTTGTTTTCAGTTTTAATAATAATTATAGCAAATTGTATTGCAATTTTCTCATAAAATACTATAAAAAAAAAAAAAAAAAAAAAAAAAAAAAAAGAAATTTCCCAAAAGTAAAAACAGTAAAAAAATAACGGAATTTACCAAAAGTGGAAACGGAATCAAAGAAAATTTGAAACGGAAAATCGGGGGCCCTACAAATGAAATTCTCACTAATGACAGAATAGGTTATTTTATTAGAAAACTTTGTGGAAATATTTGAGGGGGGCTATTTCAGTAAAAAGTTTATGCAATATCAAGTGTGAACATATGGAAAATTTGTCCCATATCTCACTTAACTCAATAAAACTAAAAAAAATACATTTTTCTGGTAGTTGGTATTTGCATAATTCAATGAAACTTTATTTTCTTTCAGACTGGACAGAAAGAAAAAAAACAAAACAAAACTAAACAACACTTAATATTTATTTTTTAAAAACTTGTAATTTTTCATTGCGATTTTGAAATTCATGCTGTTGCTGTTCATAAGAGTTTAATTTATCAAGTTTTTTTAATTAAATAAAGACATGTTTGAAGAATCAAAAAATGTCAAGGTTAATGCCATTTTCGAGTGCAAATTTTTTTTTTTTTTTAAATTAAATTTTTATTTCATTTTAATAACTGTTTGATTATTTTTGGTATGTATATTCAAAAAGGAAATAATTCTGAATTACTGACTTTGTCTAGATATATATGATAATTTTAATAACTCTTAAATTCAGAATTAAAAAAAAACCACAAAAAACAATGGGTGCAGTGAGATATTGTAAGACATCAGACAGGTAGGAATGTAATAAAAAAAAAAAAAAAGCAATGTATTAACCTGAAAGTATCATTTAACTAAAAAAAAAAAAACTATTTGTAATGTAGTATAAAAAATAAAATTACTCGTTCTCCTAAGTTTCATGAAATCGTATATAATAAATATATTCTTAAACTATTGGCTAAAAAGGTTAAAGATAATTCGTTATTGCACTGCAGTATTTCTTTTAATTTTAATTTTTCGCGCGCTTTTTTAGTCAGGGGTGCATATTTTTTATTTATTAAATACCTCTGACGCCATGACTTATCGTGCGTAAATAAACGTTATTTTCGGTAAGCTTTAAGTAAAAAGTAAACATTTCTTTTACAAAATTCAGTTAATTAATCCTTAATTTTACTAAATGAGCTCGAAACGTATATTTAGGATAAATATTGGATTTTATAATATTTTATTTAGTTTGTTTACTTAGTACTACATTTTCCTATTATAATGGCGGTTCGATGAGTGACGACTGAACTTTATTTATATACGGTAATTTTTTTTTTTTTTAATTCAGATTAGTAGCGTTGTTCTATTATGATCGTTCAAATAAAAACAAAATTTAGATAAAAAAAATAGGCATTTAAATTATTTCAAATACGTTTTTTTTCAGGAAGTACCAAAAAAATGAATGAAACAAATGTCGAACTCGAATCTAACTTCCTTGGAAAAACTTATGCCGATGCGCAATTCACCAGAAAGAAAACGAAAGATAGCGTTCAAAATGCAATAATTTAATTTTTTTTTTTTTTGTATTTGTATTCTTTATGGGAAAATTCAAAAACAGTTGTTGAAATAAATTACCGAATTTTCAAATCTAAAGTCGGACTCAGAATATGAGTCTACTTCAAAAGATTTATGCAGTACATAAGGGAGGTAAATCAGTGTTTAGTATGTAGAATTCATTTGAAATGCCAAAATATCCAGAAAAAAATCTTATTATTGCTGTCCTTGAATGCAGAAGGCAAAATTTCTCATACAACCTAATAAATAAATAAAAAAATAGATAAAAAAAAGGATATCTGCGTAAAAGATAAAAAAATCATTTTTATAAGGTTATTTATTTATTTATTAGAAAAATAATAAGTTAAAAAAAAAATAAAATCGTTTCTGTCTTAAATTTTTTAACCATAACAGTAGTAGATTTTTAAGATTTAAGAATATTGACTTTCACATTGTTTACGTTTGAAACAAGAAATATTTTTTGTTTATTTATTTGCATTTGATTGCAAAATGATTACGTCGCTGTTTAAGTGTTCAGTTACACCTTAAAAAAAACCATTAAAAATGACATATCACATGAGAAATGGCTAAAATTAATATTTTTGTTATATTTCAGATTTGTATAGCAAAGAAAATATCTTAGTCTCCTCTTTGTTTTTGCTCATCATTTATTGTCCTTTTCTCTCCACCTGAAAGTTGTGTACAGCATTTTTAAACCGAAACGTAAACAATCAGAAAATATTTCGAGTTAGATGAAAAATAATCATGCATCGAAGCAAATCAGAGGTTGCAAAGAAAATAATAAAATGTAGTTTCTTTTGCTTTGTACTTACGATATTCTTGAATGACACTTTCATCGATATTGGTTGGAGACATTTTTGTTCACGCTTCGGGTTCAAGTGACTGTTGCCATACTGAATCAATCGTGTCGAAATTGACCTCAACCATCCATTTAAAGGGGAGTAATTCCAAGGAAATGTCACTTCGAAGCACCGCCATCTACCTATAATCACTGGATTGGCCATGAAAACATGAAAGTTTTCTCAACACTAGTGCACTCACAATTATTGAATTAGGAATCGCAAAAGACAAAAATTATTCAGCTCTGTTCGGCACTTCCCATAATCCCTAAGGACGCTCCCAAGCTCTATGAGTCTTCGAGGTGTCTTCATGAGACGCGAAGCGCGTGCATGTTAATCGAAGTCCAGTTCCAGATGACCATTCACTCAGATGGAAAATAAAAACACCCCTCTGCACTTAAAAGTCACTCCCTGATATCTGAAGCGTCATAGTAAAAAGGAAGTGAACAATTTCTGGTACTACCAACGTATGCGAGTTACAGGGTTCCCTGTCATTTCATTATTACCGTGTATTAAACCTGCGGGAAAGAAAATCAAAGATCACCTCTGGCGCTGACCCTATCCCTGTCGGTGCAATAAAGAAAATCATAAACTCTTTCAACTTTTAAAAGCCTTTAAATTAAAAAAAATATATATATATATTGAAAAAACGTAACCCCAAAGAAAACAGAATCGTCTCTGAAGAAAAAATTAATCATCTCCTCTTGTGTGGAGGTGTTGGGTGATGTTTAAAAAACCAATTTTAAATGAAAAATTAAATTCTCAATAAAATTCAAGTTTTACCCATGTATGATCTTACATTAATATATTTAATAATACACAAGAAGACTAAAACTGCCGATTTTGTTCTCAGCTTCTTCATAGGAAACTAACAAAACTACTCAAAGAAGCAGACGATCTTAAAATTATACAATGTTCACAGATAAATCTTTATTCTTATAAATAAAAAATTACATGCATATTGTTCCATATGCTAAGTAGTAATGAAAATGATGAACAAAAAATAAAACTGATTTACTTACATGAATAATGTCAGTCTATAGAATGAATGTATCCTTCTACAAGCAGACAAAAAAACATCTTTTCTTTTTTTAACTTTTTCTTTACAATAAACAAATCTTGTTATAAAATCTTTTAACAATTTCTTCAAATTCTATTATCTTCTTTCTTCAAATACTTTTCTTTTTTTTTCTTCAAATTCATCTTTTTCTTCTTCTGAAACTCGTTTTCACTTTCTGAGGAGCTGAATGCGTAAATTAGAAAAACACAAAAAAACCTAACCCAGTCTAGGATCTTAAAATCTTCTTATTCCATGAAGAATATCCTTTAAAATATTTTAAATCTTATTTTAAAGTAAAGAATGTGAATAGGGGCAGAATTCCCCGCATCGAACGACTCTGCCAAACAAAAAGAAACGTTGACTCTCCGAGTCAACAAACAAATAAATAATGCAATAATTCCCTTTCTAGGGAATTAAATTACTTTTTTAGCTTTGGATTTTCTACCGAAGCTAACAAAATCTTTTCTTCAAAGTTTTTCAAATATAAACAAATCTCAACTACGGAATTCTACCGAAGCTAATAAAATTTTCTCACAAAGTCCTTCGATGCTAAAACTCACCCTCCCCTCATCCATAAAAACCAAGCTATTAAAAGCTAAATATTAACTATAAAAGGTAAATAATTCGATACTGTAAGTCGAATTATTAAAGGTAACACTTTATTTTACGTGGTTAACTAAATTAGTTAACCACGGAGCCTGAATAAAAAACGTCTTAAATGACCGAGGATAAATATCTGACTGAGGATAAAATCCTCTGATAAAAATGAGTCGTCTGCAGCTTCCGATTCCATGAAAAAGAGCGGCAACAAAAATTATCGTCTGTTTTGTCATCAGACGCGTATTATACGAAATATAAATAATATTTTACCACTGAAGTTATTGAAAAGATGTTTTCTCACTTTATTAATATTCTAAATGTCTGTAAAAAAAATTTCCAAACCTCTTTCACTTTCTTGAAGTTTATTCAAGAAAATTACAGAATTTTTTAATTTAGAGATTAGCTGGAAAATAAATTAAAATATTGCTCATTTTTTTCGTTTTGCATTGGTTTTTAAAAGAAATAAAATAATTAACGAAAAATTTATTTTTTTCAAAGCATTTTCTATCAAATATTTCTTGAATTAATAAGGTCTTTAAAAAAGTTTTTTAGATTTGTCAATGTTATTTTTTTTTTACTAAGACGTTCTTTAAAAGTTAACAATGCCAAATTTTGCAAATATAGTTAAAAAAAAATAAAAAAAGACACCTGCTGAAAGTTTTTTTTTTTTTTTAGCCTCCTCTTACTGATAAATCATAACGAAGAAATTGTATTAAGAATGAGATATTTTTTTCGTTAGACGTTATTTGCATAATAAGGGCCTAGAAACATACTGATTGCTGAGTAAGAACTTTTCTTTGCTCTGCCAGAAGATTACTGGCAGGATTTTTTATCTGTGCTCCCACTCAAACATAATTTTGGCACAAGGTCAAGTTTAAAGTGGGATTCCACTCGTACATGTGACTGGAGGCAGAAATAGTTCATTCCTCTTTGAGGGTGCCAGAAATTAATCTTAGTCAAGACAAATCCAGAAAGGATTAACACTTCTTCCTGGGAGGGGTACTGCCTGGGGTGGATGGGTATTTAGGACCGTGGGAAATTGTTGACAGATTAAGAGCATTTCAGGGTAGATAAATACATCTAAATAAACATAGTTAAAACAAAACATGAATTATTTCCCTTTTGATTTCCACACTTCTGCTAGCGATGTGCAGGTGGCAACATTAATTACGCTGTCACCAGATTAGATAAAAATCACGCGGTACTTTTTAACATAAATGATTTCTAAAGCACACCTCGTGTTAGGAAATGTAGTTTACATTTTTTTATAACAAAAAAGAAAAAAGGAATAGGACATTATTCCGTAATTTAGATGAACAATGACGATTATTGAAAATAAAATCCATTTTTTAAAATTTATCATCATGACGATTATTATTACTTTTTTTCTTTTCTTTTCTTTTCTTTTGATTTGATAAACATTTTTAGCTGTTTTTTTTTAAAATTAGCTTTCACTTGTCATGTTATGAAGACCGAATATGCCGATAAAAAATAAACATTAAGTTAGAAAAAACATAAGAAAAAGAAATGCAGTCTAATTCTATTTTTTTTAAATATGCATTCATAAAAATTTGGATTAAAATTTTTAAATTAATTCTAGTAAAACTAAGAAATATATCTGGAATAAAATTTTAAAATATTAATCTTTAATCATGTTTCTAAAAAATAGTGTGTCTATTTCAATCCGAAAAGCTTTGGTCATTCCTAAGGACTTTAAAATGTTTAAAAACTAGGCACGCTGTAAAATAAATCATCATAGGTAGGTACCACCAGGCATTTCCTAAAAAATTCGAAAAATGCATTTTAAATAATTTAAAAATGTCTTCTTTGAAGTTAAATTAGTTTAAAGGTAACGTGTATTAAAAGAAACATAAATTTCTGTATGTAAATAAAATTTTTAGGTATTTTTCAAACACTGGCACAGCACATTTACTTGCCAGTTGCCACTCATGGAACTGCCATTATAAACCAAAAATGTAAATTACAAATCTTTAAAAAAATTCGAATACGTGTCCTAGAGATGTGTTTCAAAGTTATTTAGTAAATTTAAGGATTAATTAACTGAGTTTTGTAAAAGTAATGCTTACTTTTCGCTTATAACTTAAATCAATCTATGCACAATAGTTTGTAATTTCCTACTTTTATCAATGACTTCAAAAGCGCGCGAAAAATTAAAACAAAATTGAAAGAAATACGGAACACCAGCAGTGCAATAATAAAAAAAAAATATTTATATTTAAAAATAAATTTTCTTTAACTTGATATAGTCAATAGTTTAAGAATATATATTTTTTTTATTCCATACACTTTTATGAAACTAAGTAGAATTAATAATATTATTTTTTATATTACAATAGAAGTGTAAAAAAAGAAATTAATTAAAAACTAGTGAAATGAAGTTTACACTATTTACATGTGAACTATTGTACTTATATTTGTCGCTGTCATCACATCATTTCGGCCGTTGTGCTTTCCAGCCTTCATCAGATGTATGTTGATACAGGTAACCTATAGGGAATTTCGATATTAACCCTTTATTTAATGTATAGAGGTAGATTGTTCTAGTTCTACTGCCCATGTCTAGGGATATCTCTTCTGGTTCTTGTTTTTAGTACAGCCCGCCCCGTTTCCAGTGAATCCAAGTATACTGTCCGGCCTAGAGACTGAACTCACAATTACTATGTCATCAAATTCACGAATCCACTAGGCTATTATTCCGTGGGACAGTTTGGTATGGAGAGATTGGAGTCTTAAACCTAATCTGCCTGCTGACCCGGCTGCTGTGCTGCTTGTCATGCTTGACTGCACTTACCGAAACTTTTCTTCTTTTTTTTTGTTACAGCTGCTACTGCTGTTAATGTTTTCTTTCTTTATTTTGTAGCGGACCGTGTCGGCGATGAGTATAAGTAGATGAGTACACGTGAGTTAAGATTTCCTGCTAGCCGGTCCAACTACATGAGAAAGTTGGGCTTTAATTAAGTTCAAAGAAGACAAGGAAAAGCAAACAAGACCGATAAATATATGTAAACAAATATATGTATTAATAACAAGAAAGGTTACAAGTTACATGAGCAGTTACATGGACAGAGTGCGTGTGGTGAATATTATGTGTGTGTGTGTTGTGTTGTGGTGAGTGTTCGTACGTACGTGTATTGTTCTTAGCGTGTTCCCAGCATTTGGGAAACGCTGTATCTGTGAGCGTTCACATCTTGAAGTGGTAAGGCTGAAAGCCTGAGGCAAAAGATTTACCTCAAGGTGGCGGCCCAAAGGCCCGAGGGAAGAAGAGCGATATTTATTCTGTTTTCTACAGAAATGTGGCACAAGGCCGAAAAGGGGATTGGGGAAAGGACGGTCTT